GATGATGGTGGGCCAAAAATATATATGTTTTTCACTAATCTTGCCCGACAGACTCCACGTGAGTTTATGCAATGTCACGACGTCAACCTTCGATTACCTAAAGGAGCTGAAGCGGTTTTTCCTAAACCTGGCGTCTCTTGATCAAGGGGATTCAATATAGTATACATGGAGGGTTTGGGTAGAGCAGGTTTGTTTGGGGATACATCTGTAACATAGTTTATCCGTTTTGGAAGAGTGGATATAAACCTTATCTTGCATAGAGCATCTATGGGTCAAGACGATTCAAATATCTACTTAATAAATAAAGGGTATGGAACCAATAACGGAATAATGAAGGGGAGCAATGCGCATCTAATTTGACATTGAACATATTTTGGCCATAAAAATTCAGTGTTGTATAATGAAGAATGTGACGTCCTATGGGGACAGGGCATCACCCGAAGTAGAAAACTACATTTTAAGTTCGAGTGAAGGGGTCTGAACCTTTCCCGCAGAACATCCTTGTGTCAAAGTTTTTCTTGTTATATTTAAAAGTCTACTTCCTTAGTAAGGAGTGAAGGGATTTTAACCTCTGTTTGGTATATTTCCTTAGGAAAATGGGATTCATGGCTGCCTGTACAAAAGGAAAGTGTGTCTGTCCTTGAGTTTGAAGTGGGGGGAAACCTGTTAAACTTCTTCTACAGTTCCGATAGACGAATTTCAACAAACTGTGCGTAAATGATGATCTTATGACCAAGACCGGCTGTTGTTTTTCAGGCTTATTTGAAATCCAACAGTAGGGCAACGTTTGGCTCAGTTGCCGGCCTCTGACTGAATGAGACGTTTTCGGCTTTTTCACAATTTCTATACATTATATGTGTACCGACATAAATGATCTAGTCCACTATTGAGCGATAACACACCACGTGTGCATCGTGTGTCATCTGTACGTTTTGTCACGTCAGGTCCACAAAGCAAGAACGGCGTTAGTGAACACAAAATAAAACAAAGCACACTTATGAACACAAGGATATAAAAATTGATATTTTATATCACACAAGAATATGAAATATTTCCGAATCAGATAATGATAGCGACCATAAAACTTGCTCAAATTCTTCATCAACCTGCATCATTCAAAATCAGATATGTTGTAAGGTTGTCTGTCAGCTGTTGACATCAATAATGGAAATCATGACATTCGGAGTAAGTTATTGAACGAGTCAACTGTAACCTGTAAACACCGTACTAATGAAGTAATAAGGAATTTGGATAATGGTTCGGCTGAACAGCAACATTGTATACGGATTCCTGTGATGTTTTAGAATCCAATACAAACGAGGTGGGTCCGTATCTTTAATCCCTAATCAGTGTTTGGAAAGATCATATCACAGAAACATGATAAGCTAGTATTCCGTCCTTCAACAAAAACGGAAAATGTATTGGTAGGGTTTCCTTGGTTATGAAGCAAGCTTAGTTCTTGTTAAAAGCAGTAAATGTAATGATGTGTGTAGACAACGATTGAGTCTGTATACCTATGCAGATTGTGGAGTGTGGTTTAAACATCGGGGTGAAGAAATACAGACTTGTGAGAACACCGTTGGTTTTGGCAGATTTTACGTAATTGTGATGTATTGGCTTTCAGGTACTCAATGGCTGTGTGCATTTGGTTTGCTCCAAGCAGGAATGGCTCGGAATGTCGTCGCCAAAGCGATTTGTTTTCATCAGAGCACGATACTGTGTTAAGCTCATTATCACCTAGCCCAAATTCGTTGACCTATTGCGATCGTCTTTTGTCTAGCGTCGTCTGTCCGTAAACAATTCACATTTTTGACTTCTTCTCTAAAACCACTGAACGAATGTCAATAAAATGTTCACGGAAGTTCCATACTAAAAGAAGAACTAAAATTGTGTAGTATATGGATCTAACCCCCAGGGGCCTAAAGGGACCGGTTCAAATCTGTTAAAATATCAACGATCTTCTTCTTCAGACCCAGATATGCTAGAATCAAACCCTCTTCGTGGAAGTAAAGGTCCTAAGCTTCATCAAACTTGTGAATTTCCCTACTCCCGTGACATCCATTTATCCCTTGTGGTGAGGTAAATCTGAGCATTGTCAGCTAGATTAGTCACTCTTCAACTTTATTATAGCAAGGGAACCACCGTCAAAAAAACATATTTGGATTATAGGTATATTGTATTGCAACTCATGTGACCATTAAGGCCGATGTGCCTCTTGTTTCTTGAAATGACTTCTTCTAGATATTCAATAGACCTAGGGTGATGATATTTGGCAGATAGTATACTGGGATGCAGGGCTACCAAGTCTGTTAAAATGAATGACATTGACCCACGTTTAAGGTCACTAGGGTTGAATGGTGAAAACAACTAAATATCTTAATATTGGCCATTAGCCTGCAGGGATGAATGGTGACAATGTTTGTTTAAATGAAGATTCTTGACGGACTTTCAAGGTCACAGGTGTTAAATGTGTCTTTAAACAACTTCTGAATATTCCAAAAGGTCCTGGTGATGATATATGGACAGTTTCTAGCAGAGGTGAAGGGCTACCACGTTTGTTCAAATTAATTACCTTGACCAATATTCAGGTCACTGGGGTCAAAAGATTAAACATCTTAATGAGTTATTTTTAATAACCAAAAAGTCAAAGGTAATTTTGGCCAATTCCATGCTTGGAAGGATTTCTACAAAGTTCTTTTCATATTGATGTTTTTTAAAGGTCACAATGGTCAAATATGTTAAGCCTTTCAAATGACTAGTACTCAATAACCAGACTTTCCAGGGTGTTGACATATGGCAAGTACAATGTAGTATGCTTGAGTGTGGGGATACCAAGTTTGTTCAAATAAGTGACAACTTTCAAGGTCACAGGGGTCAAATGTGTCATCATAAGAACGTTTGAATAAAACAAAAGGCCCAGGGTGATGATATTTGGTCAGTTGCTTGGAGAGAGTAATGGCTACCAAATTTGTTCACATGATTGACCTTGACCTACTTCTAAGGTCACTGAAGTCAAATATATAACCAAAAGGATGAAGAATGTTGGCAGATAGCCTGCAGGTATGAAGGGCTACCATGTTTGTTCAAATGAATGACCTCGACCCACTCAATGCCACTGGAGTCAAATTTTTGAGAAAAACAAAATCAAATAACTTCTTAATAACCAATCGGTCCAGAGCAATTATATCTGGCAAGCATCGTGCTGAGGTGAATGGAATACAAACTTTTTTTTAAGTTTCAAGGTCACAGGGTTCAAATATGTTAAATGGGTTTAAACAACTTTTTCTCAATAGCCAAAAGGTCCAGGGTGATGATATCTGGCAAGTAGCATGCTGTGGCAAAGGGCTTCCAGGTTTATTCAAATCAATGAACTTGACCCACTTTCCCATTTTGGTTCCATAGGTGTCGCTTTGCAGAGAAGCTGCCCCAATACATTTTCAGTGTAGATCAATGCTGGTAATCAACGCAGATATCTGCTATGAAACACTCACCGTGAGGGCCACATAGCCCAGGATTCATAGTTCAGCAGATGTCATTTTAAGTTTTAATAAATTTGGCCCTTGTGAAATTAATGCGAGTTTTAGAAATTATTTGAACCATATTGATAACCCTGTTCCCCTGCAAAATATGAAGATCCTAGACCTCAAAGTTCTGTAGAAGACACTATTAGAAGTTCAAATACATGACCTCTGTTATCTAGGAAATGGACAAAGTCGATAGCCCATCAATACAGAAAGCTAATCACCAAATATCATGATTCGTTGCACCCATCATAATGTCTTTATGTCATGTGAGCTTAATACTACATGTACCAATGGATGACTGAGTGGATTTTGAAGATATCTTTGGCCAGAAAGGATTTAAATTCTCATACCCTAGTAAACAAAACCACTTTTCTGAATAATTACACATAAATAGATAAACGTATGTTATTTCCCAGAGCAAATGCTTAGGAAACAATTCTGTAATTTTGTATAAAGTTTTTTAACTTCTTCAAAACTTCCATAAATCTTGTCCATCCATGTACATTCCCTTTGCAATCACTTGTATAAACATATGTAATGAGCTCATTCTGTACAGAACAAGATAGATTAATTAGCAGATAGAAAATAACAAAAACAACACCACCAGCACAAGAAACAGAGTCACTACTTATAATATCATTTATTTCAATTGAATTTTTTTTATGAAACTAATTTGCTGTAAGTATGCAACACAAGACGAAATAAACATATAGTGTGTTTCAATTCGTTGGTCACTTCTTCTCAATAACCAATAAACATAAAGCTTCTGAGAAGTATTTAAAAAAAAAAAGTGTCTGGAATGTGTTTAAGAAAAGTAAGTTCACAAAAGCATAACAAAGATACAGGTTATATCACTATGTAACTGCTGATGTAAACATAAAGATCATTCCACACCAACAGTGAAACATGCAAGGTTCATCAATTAAAATTAAACTATTATGACTGCAATAAGACCATAAAAGGACGGATCACACGCTTTGTTAACTTCTTCCTTGGTGTACATGATCGTAATGGATTCCATGTGAATATAACTTCTTATTGGCAGTTCTTGTCCAGGATCAGGAAAAACTAGGGATTCGGTTCACCTAATCATCCAATTTTTACATTTATGTTATATATTAATGCCATGATTAGATTTTTTTCTCCCACCTCTGCATATGCAAGATACACTTGTCCAAAATTGAAAACCTGTGTTGGATAGTTCTATTGGATTCCACTTAGGTGCATCATAACCCCCAGTTCAGGAATTTCATTGTCTCTAAGTCCTGAACTGGGGGTGCATAAAACAAACATTCGAGCTCAAAATATTGAGGACCATATGGCCCGACATTCTGAAATGAGACTTTATAATAATTTACAAAATCTAATATATCTATTGTTGTATTAGCAACATCATTCGTTCAGTGTCTACTTTCACTAAATTCCAGATTTAGAGGTGGGAGAAAAGACTTCATCGTTATGTTGGTATAGGGGATAGGGAAACTCTACCCCCGGGTGTAGAATTAGGGCTTAGAGCCTCAGCAATGACTTGGTTCTTTAAACTCTACCCTCGGGTGTAGAATTAGGGCTTAGAGCCTCAGCAATGACTTGGTTCTCACCTAAACTCTACCCTCGGGTGTAGAATTAGGGCTTAGAGCCTCAGCATTGACTTGGTTCTCACCTAAACTCTACACTCTTGGTAAGAACTTTCTTATCTCCAAGATGATACACTTTCATAAATTATAATTCATTTTAAAGCAATGTCAGAAAAGGTAGGTTCATCCTAACGACATCAGACAGGTCGAATTCAGATATTTCAATCAGTCTGCAAGTCTACATGGAAGTACATGAGGGATAAGGAGATCACTGGGGTACAATTTTCATATCCCTAACACCTACTGGTACGTACAGTTTACTCCTTTTACATCATATTGTGACCTTTTTAAAAAAAAACCAAAATGAAAATAAAGATATTATTCAGTTTAAAAGTCTGCTGTCTATACAAGCCTCCCTGCTACTGTGACATCATCTAACTATAAAATGTGAAGTGTCATTCAGTTATATTTTTTGTAACATCAAAATTGACTATGCCAATAGGGAATACAGATATCCTACACCCTAAAGTAACTAGATAGATCTCTCCTACACCTACAGATACATGTAAGGGAGAAATACACATCCTACATTAGTACAGTTATAACAGTCCAAAAAAATAGGCCATTATCATTTACACATTTTCAAAACAATGGGTAGTATCAGTGACCAGGAATGCCCCTGATTACAGATCATGATTGAACATAAGGAATTACAAAGACAGGCACTAATACTAAACAGACATAAAACCTCCTATTCTCCAAAACAAAGAAGACTTGAGTCTTCAATTAGAGTATTAAAAAATACTGGAAGGTTCTTGCTAAAATTTTAATACAAACATGGCTATTTAATTTAGTATCAATATGGTTAAAATTCACTGGCTGCATACCAAGAAATTGATGAAACTAGCATGAATTGATAAAATATCAAAACACTATAAATAATGATATAAAAAAACCAGGCTGAGACTAGTTATGACTTATGTTTTGTGTGTGCATATGGGCATACCATGTCACAAGTCTACAAGCACTTTTCAATGAGAAGGCATTGGCAGCACAGCTGTTCACCATGTCAGATCAATTTAATAAAGAACAATGGGTATAAAAATAGAACCTACCAGTGACAAATGTATCTACATAATAAATAAATGTATCTACAGACATAACAAAATGATTAAAGCAGTTGCTATCAGTCCACTTTCACAAACACCTTTGATCTGGAAAATATTTTCTTTGCTTCATCTACCTCAGATAGTTTTTTCTCAATTTCTTGCTTTTGTGAACGAATTCGAAAAGTGTCCATTCTTAAAGGTAATGCTGACATTTCCCGTACCAGTTCTTCTTCCTCTGTAAATATAAAAAATAAAGTTTTAGTTAACAAACAATTCAGTGGTTAACCTTAGGCATTATTTACTCATCACATTAAAGCTACCCAAGGCCTTGTCGATAGGACCAAGAATGAAACAAAAATGACCTAAATGTGAAAATTAGCACATCAAATTACTATTAATATATGATGTCTATCAGTGTGGAACAGTTTTACAAAATAGATGTCCCAGTAAGGCAATGCTCATACCCGTTAGTGCACACTTCTACCACAGAGGAGTAAAACTCTCAGTAAGGAAGTGTGTATACCATTAAGTGTACACTTCTACCACAGAAATGTAAACCCCACAGTAAAGCATTGTGTATACCATTAAGTGTGCACTTCTAACACAGAAAGGCAAACCTCACAGAAAAGCAGTGTGTATACCTTTAAGTGTACACTTCTAACGCAGAAAGGTAAACCCCACGGTAAAGCAGTGTGTATACTATTAAGTGTACACTTCTAACGCAGAAAGGTAAACCCCACAGTAAGGCAGTGTGTATACCATTAAGTATACACTCCTACCACAGAAAGGTAAAACCCACAGTAAAGCAGTGTGTGTACCATTTAGTGTACACTTCTACCACAGAAAGGTAAACCTCACAATAAAGCAGTGTGTATACCATTAAGTGTACACTTCTAACACAGAAAGGTAAACCCCACAGTAAAGCAGTGTGTATACCATTAAGGGTACACTACCACAGAGTGAAATTGTGTATAGAACAATAATTGTGTTTCAAACACCATCCTTTTACTGTTCAATTTTTGAAAAGATGCCATGAAAGTTAAACATTTTTTAAGGCAAATGTTGTCCATGACCAGGTTTAGTAAAATGGCATATTGTGCCAAGTGGGGCACAAACAACCTTCTTTATCATTCTACAGACAAATTAAAAAAATATTCATTTTTGTAATTGAACATCTTGACTGGTGAATTACATTTCTCCCATGTAGTTAAAACCATTTTCCCCACAGTTCAGTCATACTTGTTTAAGTCAAAGTGCATAACATGCAGAAAGTTTTTGTGAAATCCTAACATCATTCCACCTACTTTTTATTAGCAGATTCAGTGTTGTGCGTCTCTCAGCTTCTGGCAGTGCTCTGTGGCCGGGAGGCATTTCTGGGTCTGGTATGTTGGCTATGCGATCTTCCTCGTCCTTTTTCCATTGCACTTTCCGTGATGCGAGACTAAGGACATAAATTACTGGATTGTACATCCCTTTACCTACTTTCAGCCATTAAACCTTAAGATATCACAAACATTATACAGCAAAAGTATGAATTCGCTCATATCTATTTGTCCAAAGATGGTCAATCTCAACATTTCCACAATAGTTTTATTTACATAACATGTTTAGTAATTTAAAAAAAAAACTTTGATATTTATATAACGCATGAATGGAAAAATATTCAAATTATGTGCAAAATATTTTCATGAATACCTGGTAAAGAAAATCTCAAATTTTTCCTAGCTTACATTTGTACTCAAATTAAGAGATCTTTCTTTAGAAGGTCCGAAAAAAATATTAAGACAAATTGAGACTTCATCAAGAAATAAAAAATAATTTATGTGTACAGGCTACACACACACTCGCTCAATGACCATTGTTCCAATAAACTAGAGTTATCATCCTTTGAATCCATTTGCCCAAGAATGCTCTAGATCTGAAAAAAATGATTTGAATATTTCCTTCTGTAAGGAAGGAAAAGGATTTTAAAGATTAATCTATTTCCCCTAATGAGCCCTGCCCGTCTGCCCCAGGGGGTCCACATCCTCTGTTTATGCAGAATTGAATTTTCTTTGCCAATGGATACTTTCCACTAAATTTGGTTTAAAAAATGTAATTTGTATGAAAGGACAAGGGAATTTAAGATTTACCTCCATTTCTCATACTGGGTTCTGCCCCACATCCCCTGTTCATATAAAGTTACCGTAGATGTGCATATAAAAATGGCAGGGTTATTTTTTAACAGCTTAAGTTCCTTGATAACAAATGGTTGGTTGATAGCTTAAGCAAAGAAATGCACTGGGTATGATCTCTTAGTTAGGGGAAAACAAAGCTTTTAGTTAACAGTAACTTTTTTTCAGTTCAACTATTCAAAATAGAAACACATTCTTTTAACAAGACTTACTATTTAGGGACCTCTCCAAATTTGTGCTTTGTTGTGAAATCCTCATTCCTGCTCTTCTTGAGGTCATCCAACGCTGTGAGACTCGGACTCCTCATTATTGGGGACCTCCTGGCATTTACACCATTAATCTTTATGAAGTCAAAGTTATTCCTTGTCATCTTGACCTGACAAAATTAGAAGTTGTGTGTTATGTAAACTAGTCCCTGGTTATTTGTCCACTACTTGATGGTAACAATACAGACCATTGTAATTTCACAAAAAGAAGTGCTGATGCATACACTTAACAACAATAGGCTGCTTCCATTCTTCAACGTTAACAATAGCTATTTAATGTTTCTTGTTTTGTACAAAAAATGATTGCCTTTATTTGTATTTAAGTGTTTATAAAACAAACACAAGCCTTTGATTGACTTGCCTATTATTTACATTACATACTATGTTAAGTTAGAAACCTACATCAGTAGCTGAACTTGCACGGGGAACTGTCAGTTTTTCCTCTGGTACATTGACTTCTGGAGAGCTAGGACGAGAGGGAAACTTAACCGACGGGCCTGAACGGGAATGTGCCCTGGTGAAACATGCAGATTGCGGTCTTGGTGCATCTGGCTCACGCTAAAATAAGCAAAAATCACACATTAATGTAGACAAAGTCAATAAAGTGCCACAATGATACATGTATGTATTTGAAAACAATGATATTTTTTAAATTAAATCTTAAAATCATTTAAAAGCATCAAGAGCAGAGATTAATTATTTCAAAACAATTGAAAGATATTTGTGGAACCTTTCACATGCCATTTCTTTTTCCACATCGATGAAATTGAGCATTTCCAGGAGCAACTATTGGCACTCAAAAACCTATTCTATTTGGTACAGACTGCACCACAAAGGTATACAAACCTCAATATCACCCTTCACTCGGGACGGAATATCACGGTACTTTTCTGACTTCCACAGTGCCTTCACTGGCTTGTGGCTTTCTGCTTCTCTTTCTTTACTTTTCCTCTGTATTTGTCTCATGCGTCGTACATTGTCCATGTAATGGTTTTTTGGTTTTGTTTCTGAAAAAAATATGTGAAAACTAATGTGCTTATTGCTCTTTTTGTAACTTCTTCACAATTTATGTGGAAACTCCTGAGAGCATCTCTGAGATGAATGTGGACTTGGTGCCCATTTTTTAACAGCTGGGTAGACTAAAACATCAGGGCAAAGTGTCTTGTTTAAGTCATAACACTGGTTCATTTGTCAGCATAATGCAAACCAACAGATACACTACCAAAAGTGATTTGCTGTCCTTGAGATTTGGTATTTATTTTTGAAAAGCAAATATATTTTTGAAACTATACAATTTTTTTAAAACAAGGCAACCAAGACAATAAGTGCACTGAGTGATAAATGACATCAATTATTTTATTTATACTGTGCTTGTAGTAATGTCGGTACAAGAAAATTGGAAATTCAAACTTGTATATGAGGTAATTTTAATGAACATGTATTTTTTAAAAGTATATTTTCTTTTGTATCATGAAGATTGGATATAAAGAAATGAAGTCTACAAAGCAGCAGCAAAAACACAATTTATAGTAATGGTGACCTTGTTTTTTACCCTTAAATCAAAATGCAAGTTGAAATGTGGACTCAACCGGAAGTTGGAACAAAAAGAATGGTTAAATATTTTCACATATTATTGAGGCATACCTTCTTTTTTAATTAAATTAAAACCAACTGTTACTAGTACTAATTTATCCCCTTGGTAATAACTAGAATATCTTAATTGATCAACTGTGGTTTAATGCAGTACTTTTGCCATATAAGTGTAGTAACTGAAAAACAAACTAATTTTGTCCTAACAGTTTGATTCTTAAAATATATACATCTAATGTTAATTATATTATAAATAAAGATGAAATTCAAAATTAGAATTATCCCTTACAGGGAGAATCAAATGAGCTAGAGTAATGATCGCCATTAAGTTCTTGGATGTCTTTACCAAACATGTACCTAGCTTTCCCACATGGGAAGATAAATATAAAGAGTTACTAAAAATATGATGAATTCATTTCTGTACAAATTTGCATGTGGTTGATAATTTGCCAAAACTGGGGATATTGATGGGGCCACAAAATGTTTTGCGTCCATCAATTTCATTACAGGTGGTATGAATCAGAGTTTTCATCATCTCCTTAGACTTCCTTAGATCTTTTAATAAGTATATCATGCACCAAAAATTGTTTATTTTACTTAAAGCTGCATCAGAATGTGATAATACAATGGTTCTCAAAAAGATACAACTATTACCTGTTCCATATTTTTTTGTTGAACCATATCCCTGACCATTAACAAGCATCATTCCACCTCCGCCGTGCATGATGACGTCTCTTTACGTAGTTAATATAAGTCAAATCTCTTTTAATCACATCACTGTACCATATCTTTGCATTCCCACAAAAGCCAGCTGTACAATCTGAAAGAAACAATACAAAACTTACATCATTTAAATGAAAAAAATATTGCATGTTTTTGTTGTAAATACCAAAACAAAAGGAGGGTTTACAGATCCAGAAGCATGCTGAACAGCATGAAATTGTGAGAGTGTTTTGGGCTCAACACTTGAAAACCTTCTTCAGCAAATTAAATACAATGTAATTCAGAAATTGATGACAAGAACTTGTGCAATAATATATACATGTGTACATATATGTTCCATTCCTCTGACCAACTAGCAGCTATTTCATTAGGTTTGGGTTCCAAAAAATACAATGTTGGCAAAAAAAAGGGTGGTGTTTTTGTAATATACATATATGCAATTTTTAGACATTTTCTTTCTGCTGGTAAGGATTTATGCCTCCCTTTAAAAATAAAGAATAGTCAAATGTTAATGGGGTAAATACTGCATATATATTGTTTGTTAAAGATAATTCATAAAAAGGGAGGAATCACAACGAAATGTTTTCCCCATTGCTCATGATAATCTTTTGACAGATATTACCATTAAAATTGTAATAGAGACGGAAAACTCTTCAGATTCATGCTGGGTCAGACAGGGATTCAAACTTAGGCCTTTGAACTCTAGTTGGAAGCTCTAACCAACTGAGCTACCTGGTCACAGGCACAAAATTATATACTGTATATATAATTTGTATATATATATACCGCTGAACACTTCCTTTCTATTTCTAAGTTTCACCTGGAAGACAACACCATTCACAACTTTGGTCCATTTAATCCTATGTCAAGCACACATATGGAACTTCAAACATGATTCAACTCCAAACCTCTTAATACTAGACAGACTCTTACCAACGGAGCTGCTACCAGCAGTCACCTATCTAGTACTTATATCAAATACTTGCCTCTCTGACGATATAATAAGATCCGGGTCGTTTTTGCCCGAAATACTGTTCACACTACAGGTTATTTCACCATAAATCCAGTTGGCCCAGTTGAAAGCTCTCATATAAATATATTTTTAATATATTTTTAAATAAAGATATAGTTTTAACTCATTCACCCCTGAAGACACATTTGAACTCCTCCAATTCAAAGGTTAAAATAGTTCATTATGAAATTTCAGGGGTGAATGAGTTAAGCAATATTACAAATGGTACATTCCTTTCATTTTATAGGTAGTTGGATTATGAGATACATATAGTATCACAGACTTAGATAATCTAAGTCTGTGATAATAGTAAGTTGGTCCTGACCACATAGCTTTACATGGTGATCTTCCCTTAGCACGGGTTTGGGAGTAAACAAAACACCCGCAATCCTCACCTGTGATCATAAAAAAAATACCATTACAAGTGGAAAGGTCTCTTTTCAATGAATCTATTAATATAATTACAAAAATAATGTAATTTTGTTATGCAGAATTAAAATTAACATGCCATTAGACACTACATTGCTGAACATATGTAAAAATAAGTAACTTTTACAGTTGACTGCAGCCGGGGTTCGATCCCCGAAGTTGTTGCATGCATGGAATATCAGAGACAGTGTTTTTCCCCTGCCCACACAACTCCAACAACCCAGGTGGAGTATAAAATGGTCTGGGGTGGATGTTGCGGTATCTGTGATGTAGCATTCAAGTGAGGTGGCACTATAAAAGATGCCGTTGGAAGCACGGTTCCACTACAAACCGAACACAATACATCTCCAGCACACACGCAGGCATATACACATAGGGAGATATTAGCCTTGTAGCATAGGACTAGTAGTTAGCGCCTGATAAGGCAGCTCCTGTGAATTCCTCGAAAAATGTATATCCTAATTGTATTAATTGTATATCTATGTACTGTAAAGCGCTTTAGAGTGGCTTATGTTAGCTAGGTAGGGCGCTATATCAAATGTTGTATATCATTATTATTTCATTCTAGCTGTCACACTTACAAAATAAAAGTTGGTATTAGTGTAACCTTTTAAAATGTTCTAAACGATTCCATTGGTGAGATAATAAAATATCTTTATAATTCTGGATCGGGTTTTTAGTCCGGGAACGGCGTACAAGATTTATGCCCCCTATCTTTTCGGCAAATCCCTACCAACAAGGACTTTTACAAATACTCTTTCTTCCCCCTAACCATAGTCCAATGGAACGCCCTCCCGTTAGGAGCTTGCAGCAGTCCATCACTTGACACCTTCAAGAAGGCAATCAGTGATACTCCCTTTGTTAGGCCATAGACTATGTCAGCATATTTTTAACTTCACCCCTTGTCATCATAGTTCACCTACCCGAATACACTATTTCTGGCTCTGTATTGGAAAGAGTTCCTAAAGGTGGCCAGAGTTGATATGACCAACACCGAATCAGAACTCTTTCCAAATACAGCTCAGTTTGAGTGTATGTTACTGTATATTAGGTAATCAATCTTCAAACTATTATTATCACCCCCCATCCCTCACCCCCCCACTCAAAGTCCATAATAGATCCGCTATTTTGTACAACAGGAGCTATCAACATCCGTAGAGGTTCCATAAAATATGCCCTTGTATGGGCAGTAGCAGGTCTAAACTTATAGACATTTCTTAGCACCAAATACTCTCTCATCACACTTTTCTTTCTTTCCTCTCCCTCTGCCTTATGCATGCACCAGTCCGCACTTTAAAAATTTCTATCTCGGTCACCACACAATACCTTTTAACATGCACAGACGCGCACGCTGCACATAATACTCGAAAGAGGGTGATGCAGAATAGATAGATAGATAGATAGCCTACCCCCGACCCCACCGCACCTGTCTATTGCTCTAAAGATGTTAGATTACAACTAGATTAAATTACATTGATATGCAATAAAAATCGTTTCGCAAACAAATGAAGCTGTCGTTTAAGATTGATACAAATAAGTACACAGTTTTTATGGGCGATACAACTTACGTCAAATAGGAAAAAAATACCACGGCATATTTTGTTTACATCTTTGCCCGGTGACTCAAGTCCAAACACAACATTTGACTACTAAAATCGACCTGTTCGTTGTGAAACTTTCAGCGCTGGTGTCATTTGAGTTAAAAGAAACAAGCACCGACATCCAAAAACGTAATTCACGATAATCAAATAACTAACTTACAACAAAAAGGTATAATACACAACCCGAGTTTTCAATGCCAAACGCAACGTCTGTCGTCCTCCATATTGAATTTTGCTTCAGAATCACGTGATTATCAAAGAAATTTCACAAACGGTTGCTATTTTCCACAAACAAATATAATTAAGAATATGATTCAAATCAGTTGAAAGTATTAAGTGAAAAATATATTTGTACTTCATCAAAAAATTGTACTTTAAACAATTCTCGTTGGAACGGGAATGGTCGTCGTCATGGATACTCAAACATCCGCTATCATGGACGACACAGGCAAAAAGTAGTAGGAAACGTCAACAAACATGTAGATGTGGATTTAGTGGCTATGCGTTTATAACAGCCACCAACGTTCGAGCGTTCTAATTATACGTGTTACTTGATAAACTATCATAATGTCGAGAGCAGCCGTTTCAAAATCACGGGCCGACAAAGGTGCCAAGCCCGGACCACCTGCACACACACCTGTGGTGGCACATGAAATCGTGCCTGGAAAATTTAATGACCAAGACTGGTACGATTCATCTATGAGACATGTTTCTGAGCATACATTATTACTTTTATAGCACACAAATTTTCCATTCATTTCTAATATTGTTGGATGAATTGTCATTGGTTTGTATTGTCATTCTTTATAGTTATTTATTATTTTAAAAAAGTAATTTGCACAGAGAAGTGCTGCTGTGAAATGTAGAATAGTATTATAGGTTATGAAACGTATCCCCATTTTCATACATTACTATGGGACATAGGGTAAGGACAATTACCGTTTGATACAATCATAGCTTAAATTCTCCTTTCCATGTAATATGTAATTATTACTTATACCAGCATTTCACTATATGTAATTAGGATGTCACTGAGAGTTTGCATCATGTGTCATTAATCAATATCTAAAATCTTACTTTATGGCAACAGCCAGTTAAATCCCATTGTAAAATATATGTGCCTCTGGTATATACTAGGAGTTCAGACATTTCTGTACTCGGTCATTTTTGGTACTAGTTATGTTTTGGTACTTTTTTAAATATCACTTTGATATTTTCTGCACTTGGACTGATGTTTAGACTTTTTACTTTTACTCACTTTTTGGTCTTGTGTGTTGCTGAGTTTATATTTGAAGATTCTTAACTAAAATGTACCAGAACTTCATAATCTGTGGTACCAAACTATACTGGGTACTGAAACCCCTTTTTTAAATTTGATTCAACAATTCATTTTTTCAGGACATTTATGGTGGAAAAAGATGGTTCTGAAGAATTCGTAGAGGATATTATTGATGAACTAGTGGATAATACTTTAGATGTTATATATGACAATTACATTGGACATCAGTTACTTCCTTTTACAGTCACAATGGCTAAGGATGCAATTTTACAAATAATTGAGGTAAGAATTATGGCATACACTCATTGACTAAATGAATCAAGGATGCATTTGAGAAAATGCTTTTAAAAAACATGCAATTTTAACCAGCTATAAACAATAAGATGTAAAACAAATACATGTACAAAATATACAGTTTTATTGCAAAATTATTTCTTCCGAGTGCATGCAACTTCTCAATAGGCATAATATCATTCCCATTTCAATGGTTTTGTAGTGGCAATTTTTATCCAGAGATGAAGGTGAGCAGGATGTAGAAACAGATCCAGGATGGATGCAAGATGAAGGTAATTAAAATTTCATACTTTTGTTTTAATTCTTTACTATATATAAATTAATAGCAGCTAGATCTATGAGAGGTGCCATTGTCAGTTAAGCAGTTCAAGCTTGTCATATACCTGGTACATCTGATCAGTAATTAATTAACCTGCATGTAGGAATTCAAAGTCGCAAATTGCAAATTATGTTTACTCATTGCTAGCTTTTGATTGTAAAAATATGAAATTTATAATATAGATACACATTTACTTGCAGATAAAATTAATTATCATTTCTGTTTGCATGGTAGAACCTGATCCTGCTGTAACAGACTGTTGGGCCCAGGGTTCTGTACCAAAAGCACTTGTTCCTGAAAGACCGATGACACCTGTTGAAGAGGAATTGGAAGAAAAAGTGGAAGAAACTGCAGTTATGTATGTATTTCATGTTTAAACTATTAACATAATTCATATGTGCTTGAAAAAAAATAATGATTTTGAACTTGGCAGAGCTATGATGGGTGACTTAAATATACACTTGGTTCATATATGATCATTTGTATGTTACAGAGAAGAGGAAGAGGAGAAGGTGGAGGAAGAGGAACCCCCAGAGCTGGCTGACAAAGTGTCTGATACAGAGGAGGGGGTGAATCAGGAGGAAGAACAAAAAGCCAAAGAAGAAGAAAAGGTTTGCCTATTGCTATTTTAGTTTATTTGCATGTCACATACATCTTGAACTACAGTCCATTTTATAAACCTTTTAAGAATACTAAATTGTGCACGGACACGAACACGTAACAGTATGACATTATGTAGCTTTTTATTAAGTTAGTGGAGTTGCATTGTATACATTATTACAGATCCAAGTTGAAGACGGTTTATCCTCTAAGAAATGACCTCTCTACAGTGGGCTATGCAGTCAAAAAACTCAGTAATCATAAAAAAAAAGTTTTATAATTGAAATGTTGAAGGACTTATTGGTCAGCTTATGATGTGATCCTTGTCCTGTAATACACATATAAAAGTTTGAAGTTCGAATGAAGTAAAAGTACCTACCAGAAGAATTTAAAGAACATTCAGTTTTTATGTCATTCATTTGAAAAAATTCTATAGAATCAGAAGAAGAGGACAAAATACAAACCATACACAGGAAGAGTAAAGGCAGGTAAAGGCTTAAACCAGATGACAGAGTCTTTGGAACAAACAGAAATGGCTATGATGTATGAAGAGTATGTGAAGTCACAGGAGTATGAAGCAGCAGATAAGGCCAGTGGACTCCTCAACATGCCAGTCTCATGTCACTCCATACTGAAGGTAAATGTGAAGGATGACCATTCCAAAGTATCTGGCAGATTATACTATAGTTATGATTATGGTACCAGATTATAATAACAAACACTAAAACAGTATTCCTGATTTCTTAGATACAAATATATTAAAACGAACCAATTAGATTTTCCTTGATTGTTATAAGATAAAAGACAAAGTCTGCTTAACATGGTTTAAAGAAATTTCTTTTCAGCAGATTGAATGTTCATGTGAGTGTCCCCTGATAGAAAAAGAGTTTCTAATGATGACTAGTAATATTTTGCTCACTATTCAATTAAGGTTATGTATGTGAAATTATATTTAGTTTGTACATAAAATGTTGTCCTGTCTGCAGGTTCAAGCTGGTCGCCCTCCAGGCAATAAAGATGTCATGTATGATGACATGGGCAATGTCCTTGCAGTCATCAAGCTGAATCCTGAAAAACTGCCATCTCACAGGTAAAACTTGTCATTACACAGACATCTCAGAGGCAAAACAATTTAGTCATTACACAGACATCTCACAGGTAAAACAAGTCATTACACAGACATATAACAGGTAAAACCTGTCATTACACAGACATCTCACAGGTAAAACTTGTCATTACACAGACATCTCACAGGCAAAACGATTAAGTCATTACACAGACATCTCACCGGTAAAACAATTAAGTTGTAACACGGACATCTCACAGGTAAAACTAGACATTACACAGGTTACTCACCAATAAAACAACTGGTAAGTCACTACACAGACATCTCACAGGTAAAACTAGTTATTACACAGACATATCACAGGTAAAACTAGTTATTACATAGACATCTCACAGGTAAAACAAGTTATTACACAGACATATCACTAGTAAAACTTGTGATATCTAACATACTTTGTTTATATTTTCCCCTGGTCACAATGACTGAAGTGCTATGTACTCACTGACCTTTTCACTGATCAGTAATTGTTCCTGTTCTTCAGAGTGAAGGTGAAGTATCAGGTGGTAGACCCTGCAGTGGAGGCCGCCCAGACTAGACTGGAGGCCATGAGGCACGGTCGCTACATGAGTAGGGCCATCCAGCGCCGAATCAAACGCAACAAAGTAGAGGAAATCAAGCCAGATGAAGGTAACTGTATTAGATAACTGGCAGGTGCCATATTGTAAAGAAAAGGATGTTGGATGAGTTTCCTTTTGATATGATACCTGTTATGAAAACAATTTAATAATGATTTCACTTTTGTGAGCATTGGCGAACTAAAGATGAAAAACATTTTCAAAATGTTCATAAATATTATATCATCAATGTAACTCATTTGAAATTCTTTTTTATCATATGACACTGGCATGAACCACCATTACCAGGAAAAGTCCATAATTACCAATCCAAAAACTGAGTCTTGCAGGCTTCCATTTTGACATCATGATATCGCTCTGTTGTTTCTATTACGACCTCACAACCGAAGTGAAGTTGTTGAGGCCTATCAGAATGTCATAGTGCAATTACACATCAAAAGTAATGTAATGGAATAACACAGTAGTCGTATGATAAAAAAAGGGACCTCCCTGCTCTCCCCTACATAAAAAGTAGAGGGTACAGGCTCGAATACAAAGTCATCACAGTATACGGAGGGAGTTTATTTTTCACTTCTCATGTTCTTCTTATAATTTTGAGATAGATGGAATAAATCATTTTTAAATGAGTGGAATTGCATTAGATTGTTAATATTGGGATGTCACACATTTACTCTCTTCCTTCGGGAATAAATACAAAATGGATGGGATTTGTTGATTTATACACTTATCAAGGTTCTCCATTGCTAGGTGGGAGGTTGGATGAGGGGTAAAACACTAACAATGTCAGTCCTGTACATTCAGTTTTACACCACTGTACACGAATATATTGTTGAAGGTTTTCTATGGGGTAAATCAGTTCTTATAGTGAATCAAATATTTTAATTGGCATATAATATGTACAGAGTAGTTCATTTAACACAACACATGACTTTCTGATCAGCGGGACTGGTTTCGTTTTGATTGTGATGTCATTGTAGATACATTTGTATGACATCATGATGTAAATGGCAGCCAGGGCTCAGTTTTTAAATTGGTAATCATTCTGCTTTGGAATAGAATCTGGTGGACATGCGATTATTGATTCACTTATTTTGTTTTTTTTCCATCTTACCACAAATACCATCTTGGTACAGGAAATCGGTACAGCGTGTGGAAATATGAAGATCTGCTTGCGATTGAAATGTGTCAAAACTCGATGAAAAGAAATTATGTTGCTGTATCCACACATCCGACCCACCGAGAGCCAAGCTACACTTCCATTCCCTGTGGTAGTCAGACTGTCCACCTCACATCAGCAGTGGACAGCATCCCACACGGTGCTGGTTTAAAGCTGGATAAGAATCTACAGGAGGAATGTCTGATACATGCATTAAACAGCCCTAGTGCTCCTGTACAAAACCACACAGGTGACAGTGATAGTTATAGCGTTCATGATCTTGTATCAATGATCACAGACCTTCAAGCTGATGTCAAAAGACTTCATACAAAGTTAGATGAAATGAGTAATGTACCAAATGAAAAGCCAGAAATGGTTGAGTGTGGTACTCAAACAAGTCAAGCCGAAACTAGTAAGGACCTCCTTTATAAGACTTATGCTCAAGTTGTGTCTCAGAGTTCTGTTGTAGTGAGACAAGGAACACAGAGCAACCATACATTTAAACCATCGACCAACATTCTCTCAGCCTCATCTCCATCACCATTATTTGTGACAAAGGAAGTCGCCTCACATTCAACCCCACGATTGACAAAAACTGAAAGTCCCCAGAAGGCAGTTGGAGATGAAAGAAGAAGCCAGTGTTGTACTCTACTTGTTGGATCATCCATCCTCAGACTGGTAGAGAGAAAGAGACTTCAACTTAACATGGACGTCAGGACATACCGCGGAGCCAGGATTAATACAATAAGGGAGAAACTGCAAACAATGACAAACTATCATCGCATAATCATTCATGTAGGTGGAGATGATGTCTCCAGTAACCATAGTGAACAAACCATACAGAACGACTATAATGAGCTAACATCTCACATTAAGTCCTCAAACCCCGAAATACAGATAGTTTATGTGGCCATAACCCCAAGAACAGACTGTGATGTTATTCCCACAAACAGGACTCTTCAGGAAATGTGCAATGAACGTCATACACTTTTCATTCCAAGCTACAGAGTGTTTGTGGACAAGGACAACTTTCAAAGAAATGGACTTTTTAGTAGAGATGGTATTCATCTGACTAAATATGGGACAGCAGTGTTTCTAAAAAACATTGATAGATGTTTATCTCCTGGCATACTGAGTACTAATGATTCAAACTCTTCCTATTGTGAGGCTGTTTCATAATTACTGATGTATGCTGTACGTGTGTGACAATAAAGAAAATAAAAACTCAGTTAAGATGGTCTTTTTATGAAGCATTTTGAAAATTGAATTCTATTTTTCTTTGCAATATCTTCCTTTCTATGGAATCTACATTTGTAGGCAAAAGATCAAAATTTCCCATTAGTAATCTGAAATAAGGAATATAGATAATACTACGACCTGTACATTTAGTGCACTTCATTATGAAATTAACATATTTCAACTTCTGTAAATGGTTTTTTTTTTAAATACACCTTGTAAAGCTACCAAATTAAATATAATTTGTGTATTCAAGTATCAAAATCACATAATCCATTTCTGTTGAGAATTCTGTTCCTATGGATACAGACAACTAGTATGCCTGGCCTTATATCCATGTGGTACATGACATATAACATATACAACAGATTAATCTAATTCTAACAATGATAATGAAAATAGCTCAGGCAAGTAAACAGGGTATGTGGCATTCAGTATTGTAAGCAGGTATCAGAAAACCAAGGTTGATAGCATTCAGTAATATCAGGTGGTAAGGCAAACCAAGGTTGGTAGCATTCAGTAATACTTATTGGTACAGGCAAACCAAGGTTCACAGCATTCAGAAATATCAGGTGGTAAAGGCAAACCAAGGTTCACAGCATTCAGTAATATTTAGTGGTACAGGCAAACCAAGGTTCACAGGACTCAGTAATATCAGGTGGTAAGGCAAACCAAGGTTCTCAGCATTCAGTAATATCAGGTGGTAAGGCAAACCAAGGTTCTCAGCATTCAGTAATATCAGGTGGTAAGGCAAACCAAGGTTCTCAGCATTCAGTAATATCAGGTTGTAAGGCAAACCAAGGTTGGTAGCATTCAGTAATATCAGGTGGTAAGGCAAACCAAGGTTGGTAGCATTCAGTAATATCAGGTGGTAAGGCAAACCAAGGTTGGTAGCATTCAGTAATATCAGGTGGTAAGGCAAACCAAGGTTCTCAGCATTCAGTAATATCAGGTGGTAAGGCAAACCAAGGTTCTCAGCATTCAGTAATATCAGGTGGTAAGGCAAACCAAGATTCAAAGCATTCAGTATTATCAGGTGGTAAGGCAAACCAAGGTTCACAGCATTCAGTAATATTAAGTGGTACAGGCAAACCAAGGTTCACAGCATTCAGTAATATTTAGTGGTACAGGCAAACCAGGGTTTGTGGCATAAGGATGGTTAGGAGAAACAAAACCAAGCTACATTTGGTGGCATTTAGTATGCATAAGAGATAAGAGATACAAGTAAGCCTAAGTTGGTGACATTCAATATGTTAGGATCACTGGCATGGTTAGGAGATACAAGTAAGTCTAAGTTGGTGACATTCAATATGGTAAGATCACTGGCATGGTTAGGAGATACAAGTAAGCCTAAGTTGGTGACATTCAATATGTTTGGGTTAACTGGCATGGTTAGGAGATACAAGTTAGCCTAAGTTGGTGACATTCAATATGTTAGGATCATTGGCATGGTTAGGAGATACAAGTAATCCTAAGTTGGTGACATTCAATATGTTTGGGTTAACGGGCATGGTTAGGAGATACAAGTTAGCCTAAGTTGGTGACATTCAATATGTTAGGATCACTGACATGGTTAGGAGATACAAGTAAGCCTAAGTTGATGGCATTCAATATGGTAGGATCACTGGCATGGTAAGGAGATACAAGTAAGCCTAAGTTGGGGACATTCAATATGTTAGGATCACTGGCATGGTTAGGATATACAAGTAAGCCTAAGTTGGTGACATTCAATATGATTCGATCACTGGCATGGTTAGGAGATACAAGTAAGCCTATGTTGGTGACATTCAATATGGTAGGATCACTGGCATGGTAAGGAGATACAAATAAGCCTAAGTTGGTGACATTCAATATGTTAGGGTCATTGGCATGGTTAGGAGATACAAGTAAGCCTAAGTTGATGGCATTCAATATGGTAGGATCACTGGCATGGTAAGGAGATACAAATAAGCCTAAGTTGGTGACATTCAATATGTTAGGGTCATTGGCATGGTTAGGAGATACAAGTAAGCCTAAGTTGGTGATATTCAATATGTTAGGATCACTGGCATGGTTAGGATATACAAGTAAGCCTAAGTTGGTGACATTCAATATGATTCGATCACTGGCATGGTTAGGAGATACAAGTAAGCCTAAGGTGGTGACATTCAATATGTTAGGATCATTGGCATGGTTAAGAGATACAAGTAAGCCTAAGTTGATGACATTCAATATGGTAGGATCACTGGCATGGTAAGGAGATACAAATAAGCCTAAGTTGGTGACATTCAATATGTTAGGATCATTGGCATGGTTAAGAGATACAAGTAAGCCTAAGTTGGTGACATTCAATATGATTCGATCACTGGCATGGTTAGGAGATACAAGTAAGCCTAAGGTGGTGACATTCAATATGTTAGGATCATTGGCATGGTTAAGAGATCCAAGTAAGCCTAAGTTGATGACATTCAATATGGTAGGATCACTGGCATGGTAAGGAGATACAAGTAAGCCTAAGTTGGTGACATTCAATATGGTAGGAACACTGGCATGGTTAGGAGATACAAGAGAAACTTTCACTTTATTTGAAAATTTCTGCTAATGCTATATACATTTTGTATTTCATTGAGCAAGCATAAACATTGATACTCCCAATAATTTCTTTATTGCTGAATTTCAGCACTTTTAAATGTTCCATATTTCTACAAATGTTTCCCAAACAAGTACCAAAGCCATCTTTTGTCTATATTCAGATAAAAAAATTGTCACCAACAGATTAGATTATCAAATATATTTTGTTTTCCAGAATTAGAGAATGGATTTCAAAAAGATAAGAAAACGCCACTGCCTCCTCCTCTTGTAAGTATATTAACATAGTCAATGTGACACACTTTCAGTTAATTAATAATTACCGGTATGTAATTTAAAATTAAATGATGTAAAGATGTAATTTTTATATTTTGTGAATTCTGTTGCAATTGGATGATTATCAAACTGAAACTTTTTTTCATATCTGATGTCATTATATTCACATTGTTCTGTGTTTTGTGACATCATTAGTGATAGTTAAAATATATGCAAACACAATAATCAGTCTTTTCATGTGGTTAAACTGTCACAAATGTTAACATTGCAGACTGAAACCATGGAGATATCACCGGGAGTCACAGTGCGTGAGGGTGGCCGAATAAGGAGGGGACCTGCTCGGGTGAGTCTCATGTTCAGTAGGTCAGACATCTATAGCCTTGGAGGATACTACATGTCTCATTTCATAATTTCATTATTAAGTAGATCTGCTGTCTCCTAGCAGGTCGCTGTCCTAGATTTGGTAATAACCAGAACAAGTATCCGTTGTGCTGTTTGTAATCTATGTGAAATAAAAGTAAAAGATGTGTGAATATTATGTAGTGCAGTGAAAAATATTGAACAGTTGGAGTAATTTTCATGTTTATTGATTTGCAGTATGTACGAAAGGTGGATAAATTTACCGAAAGCCAGCAGTCGTTACGGCCCGTGGCTACCCGGACTACAGCTCCAACCATGGATGTGGCAGACCTGTTAGATAGACAAACCCCAATTCTACGAGTGATGAGAGACTCACCACCACTACCACCCATAGTGCCCCACCCCCCAGCACAGTCCAGAATATCCACGTAATCTGGGGCCATACACTCAATGCATTCAAATAGGAATACAAAATTACTCTTTGTCAAATAGCATGTAAGACAATGCTGGCACTTTAAAGAGTATGTCTCTTAAGTTCCAAGAGACTTTACAGGAATATTGCGATAAGTCATTAAGATAAATTTCATATCTATTTTCATGAATATATAAATGTTCATACCTAGAATACATTTGTGGAAAAATGTGATATGTTTGTAAATAAAATACTTGTAAAATAAACTTGTATTCACAAAGTTAATTACATGTATATTGTACATAGCAAGTATTTTATACAGATTCTAGTACAACTACATATTATTATGTACAGTTACAATGTATAAATTAACTATATGTACTATATTTAATTTGCATGTATAAATTAACTATATGTACTATATTTAATTTGCAGACAATTCTTTACAAAATATGCATAGCTTATATGAACTTGTGATATTAAATTAATTTATTAAATCTAATTGAGTTGACATCAGTTATCTTTTGATATTTTTTTATTTCGGTTTATTTTGGTGTCCTGATTTGTTACCTATGAAGTACAGGATAGGTGAGCAAACTCTCCAGGTCACAGGTTAAAGGCCATTCTGGTTCACTTTTGGAAAACTTCTTTTACATCATGTTTTAATGAAAACTCTTTCCTTAACTCGATAAATTTTATTATCTTTTTGGTAGAGTATCATAATGATTTTATTTCATGTGTTTAATAAAAAGGACTGTTAGAGTACACAAAGATGTACATGTAGGTTGTACCATATCCAAACCAAACATGTGTTGCTAAATATTCTTGACTGATTCAATGATTCGTTTAGTCAATAAAACATATGATAAGATATAGTGTTGCTTTGTGTGTATGTCTTGAGTAGGCGTTGGACTAAATAAATGTTCTCATTGTCATATACAACATCCTCTAGTTTCATGTGTTGTGTTTGCAAGGATTTGACAGCTGACGTTTGATTGAAAATTCCATTTTGATCCTACACTAGCTACTGTCTGAATGTACAATACAACTGGTGACACCTGCCAGTATCATCCACAGTGAAATACAACAGTGAAATCAGCCAGAACAATACTACAGTGAAACCAGCCAGTACAATACTACAGTGAAACCTGTCAGTACAATACTACAGTAAAACCTGCCAGTATCATCCACAGTGAAATACAACAGTGAAACCAGCAAGAACAATACTACAGTGAAACCTGCCAGTACAATACTACAGTGAAACCAGCCAGTACAATACTACAGTGAAGCCTGTCAGTACAATACTACCGTGAAACCTGCCAGTACAATACTACAGTGAAACCTGTCGGTACAATACTACAGTAAAACCTGTCAGTACAATACTACAGTGAAGCCTGTCAGTACAATACTGCAGTAAAACCTGTCAGTACAATACTACAGTGAAACCTGTCAGTACAATACTACAGTAAAACCAGCCAGTACAATACTACCGTGAAACCTGTCAGTACAATACTACAGTAAAACCAGTCAGTACAATACTACAGAGAAGCCTGTCAGTACAATACTACAGTGAAGCCTGTCAGTACAATACTACAGTGAAGCTTGTCAGTACAATACTACAGTGAAACCTGTCAGTACAATACTACAGTGAAGCCTGTCAGTACATTACTACAGTGAAGCCTGTCAGTACAATACTACAGTAAAACCTGTCAGTACAATACTACAGTGAAACCTGACAGTACAATACTACAGTGAAACCTGTCAGTACAATACTACAGTGACGCCTGTCAGTACAATACTACAGTAAAACCTGTCGGTACAATACTACAGTGAAACCAGCCATTACAATACTACTGTGAAGCCTGTCAGTACAATTCTACAATGAAGCCTGTCAGTACAATACTACAGTGAAATCAGCCATTACAATACTACAGTGAAGCCTGTCAGTACAATTCTACAATGAAGCCTGTCAGTACAATACTACAGTGAAAGCTGTCAATACAATACTACAGTGAAGCCTGTCAGTACAATACTTCAGTAAAACCTGTCGGTACGATACTTCAGTAAAACCTGTCGGTACGATACTACAGTAAAACCTGTCGGTACAATACACTACAATACATACAAGATCTAGGGTGGTGATATTTGGCAAGTTGCATGCTAGGATGAAGGGCTATGAAATTTGTTCAAATAAATGACCTTGTTAGACTTTCAAGGTCACAGGGGTCAAATGTGTAAAAATCGTTTAACAGGTTCTTTTCAAAGATACTGATATTTTGTAGCTTTATTTAGGTGCACTTTTAAGGTTACAAGTGATTTATACCAGGTATGCAATGCATGCCCATTGGGCCTCTTGTTTTGGCTACAAAATCATGTCAGATAGCATTCAGAGTTGTAGGAGACATTTTGTACTACCGGTATGTTAAGTGTTGGTACACTTAAGTTTCACTGAAGCAGAATTTCTCTGTACTGCCACTTTTAACACCACCATATAGTGAGGAGAGAGCTACACAACTCAAAATACAATTGACATTCACTTACACAAATTTATTTCATGTGAACATTAAAATTAAAACCAGCATAAATATTTTGATCTATAAAATTCTATTTGCAATTAAACCTTATGAAACGTTGATACCAGAGGTATCAAAAAGCATTCTGAAGTTGATTAAAGGAACATTTGACAGCGATAGCTGCATTATAGTACAATGAAATGGCTCAATTCACCCTTTGGATCAATGTCCCAGCTTAAAAGTAGTACAGTATATGTTATCCACATACACATCCCTACTGTAACAAGATACAAGACATGTCAAAAGGGGAAAATTGGCACACTGAAAATGTCCACTTCACAGTTGTAATAAAATGGCTTACTACCGCTATACTAAAACATATAATACACTTATGTAATTCTACACACAACCAGTTACATTTACTTACCCACCTAAACATCCAAACAAACAGCCACTCGTTACCACATCAATCAGTATTTAACAATTCACAACAGTCACACTACACATTGCTATCAACATTTTATCATTTACACACCAGTACAAAATCTCACTCCATGTACTCCATCTACCTCCATTAGCGTCCTGCTCCTTCCTACTTAATGTACTATAGTTGTATTTATACATAATAAGTTACACGATAGAGTAGCTTATATCTGGATCTGTAAGGTTCACTCTGTCAGGTTGTAGCAGTTTTTATAAATAAACAGATGAATAGGTTGCGTCTGCGATGATTCCCTGTTTTATAATGTCAGTACTCAATACTGAAAGCTGGGCATTCAGTCTTAAACAAAACCACTGATTTCTAACATTTATCACATAGTGCTACTGTATCACGTGTTAAAATGGCAATGATATTTTCACACTTAGAGCGAGAAAAGTATAGTTTGTTAATTGTTATGTTGACAATATCACTACATATTGATATCACCATTTCATGAAAGGTCAAACATAGAAATTTGAGCTGCATATCATACTTGATTTCCTTCCGTATTTTTGAAGATCATTTTCACCTGCTGAGTTGAATAGAACTTTGAGTAGAAGTGCCAAATTGTGGTCTACATTTGACGTGAAAATGCAACCACCTCATCAATTACCCGTTATGCAGTAAACAATTAACTAGAATCTTTCTCCAAAAGTAACACTTTCCTAAACAGGAATGAATGGTTGTCCCAATAAGTACCGTGCTCTCATCCATCAAGCATATAGCGGATTTTGTCCGTATTTTTCCATAAGCAGAAAACAGAAGCAAGTCCAAAACCAATAGCACCTCCCCTGAGCATTTTCTTATAACCATCTGTAATATAAATAACATAAATTAATAAACAGATGAAATCTGAAGAAGTTCCTAGGAAACATTCACACAAAACTGATGTCCTGTCAAGTACAGTGAAACCTTGATATATGTTTCATTTCATTAGCAATCTCACCTATTGCCACAATTGATTAAGTGTGTGTTTTCTTTTTTCTCTTGGTGGCTGTGTAACAAATCTTACAGTAGTGTGGTCATACAATGAACATTTAATCTGCCCATTCCTGTTTTTCAGTAATTTATTAGTGTTTGGTTTCACTTCTCCTTAAGACCAGTGAACTTGCTATTCAGCTTGTGTAGCATAGTATCAGCAAAGTAGAAGTTACAAGGGCTTCTCTTGAGAGACTAGTTTTTCTACCAGTAAAAAGTTCACTTAAAATACACAATGGTTGCTCATTACAGATTTGTTGTTTGTTTCTGATTATGAATATATGTAAAATCACAGTCTTTAAACTTAATAGTCTTTCTTTGGAGCAAGTTTCAGCAGGAACAGCTACTGTAGACTTACCAGCCATTCTGTATAGAGCTCCTGTGGCGGTGGCTGATGAGAGGATGTTGATTTCTCCTTCCACTCCTGTGGATTTAGCCACTACTATTCCTAGGATACTGTACACTACAGCTAAAACACATACAAAATACTTTTACTTTCAAATAAACTTTGGATACTATGAAATGTGTAGTTTTCTTACTTTCAATCTTAAAGCTTTTCATGGTATGGATTTTTTTCTCATTTTCAATGATACTACAATATCTATGTTTTATAGTGTGCCCATACAATAGTGTGCCCATACAATATCTATGTTTTATAGTGTGCCCATATGTTCTAGCATGCATAATTTCATAATGATTTAGTAAATGTTAAAAGTTTGAACTTCCCACTGCTCAAAATTTTCCACTTTTAGGACATACATGAAAAGTAATCAACCTAAGACCCTAATGGATCAGTTGTATTCACCTAATATCAATTGTACATAACTTAAATTTATTTTGTAATATCACCACACATGTTACAAATAGAGTATGTTTGGAAATCTATGAATGCATGAATTTCGATAGTGATGTATGTACAACAACAAAACAATAATCCAAGAATTGGAAGTTAAAACTTTGCAAATACAGTAGAAGATGTTTTTTTTTAATTAATTTTGTGTATCACCCTAGTCTGTTATTCCCTGACAAGTACCTGATTGTAGCACTTTATCTACCCACCGACAAAATACAGGCGAGTTTGGTGTATATTGACCAATTTTAGCGTGATGGATTACCTGTTTACCATGGGATGACCTCATATACAATTACATTTAACTGTTCTCATATATACACTATACCGAACAATCATAACCATGGTTCTATACATTGCATTGGACTGTCAAACCCATAGTTCTATACATTGTACTTAATTGTCATACCCCTAGTTCTATATATTACATTGGACTATCAAACCCATAGTTCTATACATTGTACTTAATTGTCATACCCCTAGTTCTATACATTACATTGGACTATCAAACCCATAGTTCTATACATTGTACTTAATTGTCATACCCCTAGTTCTATATATTACATTGGACTATCAAACCCATAGTTCTATACATTGTACTTAATTGTCATACCCCTAGTTCTATACATTACATTGGACTGTCATACCCATAGTTCTATACATTACATTGGACTATCATACCCATAGTTCTATACATTGTACTTAATTGTCATACCCCTAGTTCTATATATTACATTGGACTATCAAACCCATAGTTCTATACATTGTACTTAATTGTCATACCCCTAGTTCTATACATTACATTGGACTGTCATACCCCTAGTTCTATACATTACATTGGACTATCATACCCATAGTTCTATACATTGTACTTAATTGTCATACCCCTAGTTCTATATATTACATTGGACTATCAAACCCATAGTTCTATACATTGTACTTAATTGTCATACCCATAGTTCTATACATTACATTGGACTGTCATACCCATAGTTCTATACATTACATTGGACTATCATACCCATAGTTCTATACATTGTACTTAATTGTCATACCCCTAGTTCTATATATTACATTGGACTATCAAACCCATAGTTCTATACATTGTACTTAATTGTCATACCCATAGTTCTATACATTACATTGGACTGTCATACCCATAGTTCTATACATTACATTGGACTATCATACCCATAGTTCTATACATTGTACTTAATTGTCATACCCCTAGTTCTGTATATTACATTGGACTATCAAACCCATAGTTCTATACATTATATTAAACTGTCATACCCATAGTTCTATACATTGTACTTAATTGTCATATCCATAGTTCTATACATGACATTGGACTATCAAACCCATAATTCTATACGTTGCATTGGACTATCAAACCCATAGTTCTATACATTGCATTGGACTGTCATACCCATAGTTCTATACATTACATTGGACTGTCACACCCATAGTTCTATATATTACATTGGACTATCAAACCCATAGTTCTACACATTACATTGGTCTGTCATACCCATAGTTCTATACATTACATTGGACTGTCATAACCATAGTTCTATACATTACATTGGACTGTCATACCCATAGTTCTATACATTATATTAAACTGTCATACCCATAGTTCTATACATTACATTGGACTGTCATACCAATAGTTCTATACATTACATTGGAATGTCATAACCATAGTTCTACACATTACATTGGACTGTCATACCAATAGTTCTATACATTATATTGAACTGTCATACCGATAGTTCTATACATTACATTGGACTATCAAACCCATAATTCTATACATTAAATTAAACTGTCATACCCCTAGTTCTATATATTACATTGGACTATCAAACCCATAGTTCTATACATTATATTGGTAAGTCATACCCCTAGTTCTATACATTACATTGGACTGTCATACCCATAGTTCTATACATTGTATTTAATTGTCATACCAATTGTTCCCAGAGCCTGTCCATGAAACGCTGCCCGCTTTCCAACTGTATTAACCCAGCTGTGAATATGAGAGAACGACAAATTTTATAATCTTGCAACTAATACAACAAGAGTACCGCGGGGCGGAACAAAATACGCCAGTCGAATGCCATATAGTATTATATACTTTCTTACATTGAAATAAGATCTACATCATTCTAAGAGTGGTTAGCTGATATGCTATAAAAAAAAGTAGGAGAAAATCTTCAGACAAAAAATCAAATACTGAAATGAACAAAGGGCAATAACTTTTGGCAAAATTGTCGAATCATAATTCTTTTAAGGGAGACACAACTTCATATCATGATTATCATGTATACCAAGTTTCAAAGAGATAGGTCGAAAAATGTAGGAGGAGATCTCCGGACAAAATTCAAATACTGAAATGAACAAAGGGCAATACCTTTTGGAAAAATTGTCGAGTCAAAATTCTTTTACAGGAGACACAACTTCATATCATGATTATAATGTATACCAAGTTTCAAATAGATCGGTCGAAAAATGTAGGAGGAGATCTCCGGACAAACAAAGTTTACGCCGGCCGGCCGGCCAACGCCATACCATAATACTACCGTCAAATTTGACAGTCGTATAAAAATGGCATTCACAGATTGTTTTATGAAGCTTTTATATGAACCAAGTTGCCCTTCTAGATCTGTACATTATCATAACATTAATTTCAAACTACTCAATATTACTGATAATTAAACAAAACTATTGTTTGATTTAGGAAATAACTAATATAAAACCGAAGATTTTTGATAGTGTGAATATTGGCACGACAAATATAACTGATAAAATTGAAATCCTTCCCTGCCCATACATTCCCTGGTATGCCACTGTGCTCTGCTACTTACTCTGTATATCTAATCCTGGCTGTCACATCAGTCTGCCCATGTTTCTTCCACAGATACGTTGCATTCAAAGTTCCATATAAACCACCTGCACAATCAATGTCATGCCAATATACAATCAATGGTAGCATAATTGTTAGAATTTCAAAGAGCTTGTAAGTAAAGCCAATTTGCCAACTCTCCTAGTTCCTACTTAGGAGGGAGAGTCCTTATTTTGAACTGTTAAATTTAATATTTTCACCAGTGAACTTGCTAAACAACTCCTATATTCTATGATCTAACGATATAATCTGAAAAACTCAAAAACTGTTACTGGTTATTTTGTCCCTAGGGGTTTATTAAGACACATTTTATTAATATTTTTGATTTTTCAGAATGCAGAATCTCCCCATAGACGTTTCAAAATGTTGACAAGTATGTTAAGGGATTGCAATAAGTATTAAAAATAACAGAGCAATTACAAACTGTTTTCTTTCTATAAATTCAATGCTTTATGACTTTCTTAGAAAATTTCTGAATCCTTGAAAATTGTAAAGATACAGTTGCTTAAATACAACTTTCAGTAACAAAGACTTCAAAGCATTAAGATAAAATAAAAATAAGTCCCAAGGTATATTTTTGTCGGTAACAGTATTATCCCCACCTAAAAACAGGAATATATAGAGACAATCTCTTACCTGCAAGAACTGCACCACCTATTTGTGAAAAGGCTACTTCAAATCTGCCTCTCTGCTTATCAGCTCCCTCAGGAAATATAAATTCTGCTTCACCCTGCAACACAAAGAATAACTTGAGAGAAAGGCTGGTATTCTTATCCCAATGTTGAGTTAAAATAATGCAATTCAAGCTCTAGAACAATGGACCAAATAACACACTTAGTCAGAACAATGAGTTGTATCATTTCATATGGACCAAATAACACACTTAGTCAGTACAATGAGTTGTAAAATGCATCATTTCATATGGACCAAATAACACGCTTAGTCAGTACAATGAGTTGTAAAATGCATCATTTCATATGGACCAAATAACACACTTAGTCAGTACAATGAGTTGTAAAATGCATCATTTCATATGGACCAAATAACACGCTTAGTCAGTACAATGAGTTGTAAAATGCATCATTTCATATGGACCAAATAACACACTTAGTCAGTACAATGAGTTGTAAAATGCATCATTTCATATGGACCAAATAACACGCTTAGTCAGTACAATGAGTTGTAAAATGCATCATTTCATATGGACCAAATAACACACTTAGTCAGTACAATGAGTTGTAAAATGCATCATTTCATATGGACCAAATAACACGCTTAGTCAGTACAATGAGTTGTTTCATTTCATATGGACAAAGTGTCTAAGTCATTAACAGGCCAGGAATTTTCTCAAATTTCCCGATACTAAAAGTTAACTTATCATGTCAACAAGACTTTTCACTCATTAGGTCATACCTTGACAGAGGAACCGATTAGTTTTTAAAATATAGTTGCAACATGTTACATACATACATTGTGAAATGAGTAAAATTTCATTTGATTTCTGGACAGTAATTTAATTCAGTTTGGAAATAGTTTAATGACATTTTGAAAAGCGACCATAGGTTATTGTACCTTAGAACTGTTAACATTATATATGGGACAATTAAGGTGACTCAGTGATACCATTGACGAACAGTTCCAATATATAAAGGTTTTGTGGTACATTTGTCCAGCCATTGTTTGACAAGTAAATAATACAGTAATTTAAATAAGGTAAATAAAGAAATTATGATCACAGAATATATACCTGGCAATGACTGTTAACTATTCTCATCAGCATTACTGTCAAAAGCTTATATTCATAAATGACGGTTTAAATACCATTTTACTGGTAGCATTCACATTCGTACAAAAATGGACTTCACTTATCTGCCTTAAATATATATACTCACTGTTTTAATATAACTAGGGTCAAAGTTCATATATGGTGACATAACCCCAGCTTGGCCTGCCGTGACTGAAATGGAAAACAAAAGAAAATCATTGGAAAGCAAGGTTATATACTTCATTTCTGTTTCTTTGTCAGATTTTCATCAAATAGAGTTGTTACCAGTTTTTTCCCACAAGTTTTGGGTATTATTTTCCTTTATTCATTTAAGTTATTTTTTTAAAGTTAAACTACAAACAATTTTCCAAATCAGAAATACACTGGTTTATTGATCAAATCTTAATCAAAGGATGGTTAACATATTTCTTTATTGGTTTGTTAGTTAATATTTACAGTTGATAAACTATTTGAGAAACTTGCCCTAATTTGATTGATTAGGCAAACTTTAAAATCATCAACACACTACAAATACAACTGGAGTCTGGTTTTCATTATACATTCTGTATTAAATGTCACACTTTGTAAGATTCACAATGAGCCATCATCATCAAACAGGGATTACAAAAAATGTGCAAGTGTATCATTATCATCAATGACCATGAAAATACTAGAACTGTAAGCCAAAGGCCAACTAATACCCCCGGCTCCTATATAAACCAGAACTGTAAGCCAAAGGCCAACTAATACCCCCCACTCCTATATAAATGAGAACTGTAAGCCAAAGGCTAACTAATACCCCCGGCTACTATATGAACCAGAACTGTAAGCCAAACGCCAACTAATCCCCCCGGCTCCTATAAAAACCAGAACTGTAAGCTAAAGGCCAACTAATACCCCCCCCGACTCGTATATAAACAAGAACTGTAAGCCCAAGGCCAACTAATACACCCCACTCCTATATAAAAAAGAACTGCAAGCCAAAGGCCAACTAATACCCCCCCCTCATATATAAACAAGAACTGTAAGCAAAAGGCAAACTAATACCCCCCACTCCTATATAAATAAGAACAGTAAGCCAAAGGCTAACTAATCCCCCCGGCTCCCATATAAACCAGAACTGTAAGCCAAACGCCAACTAAGACACCCGGCTCCTATATAAACCAGGACTGTAAGCTAAAGGCCAACTAATACCCCCCCCGACTCGTATATAAACAAGAACTGTAAGCAAAAGGCAAACTAATACCCCCCGATCCTATATAAACCAGAACTGGAAGCCAAAGGCTAACTTATAACCCCCGCTCCTATATAAACAAGAACTGTAAGCAAAAGGCAAACTAATACCCCCGACTACTATATGAACCAGAACTGTAAGCCAAACGCCCACTAATACCCCCGGCTCCTGTATAAACCAGAACTGTAAGCCAAACGCCAACTAATACCCCCGGCTCCTGTATAAACCAGAACTGTAAGCTAAAGGCCAACTAATACCCCCGGCTCCTATATAAACCAGGACTGTAAGCTAAAGGCCAACTAATACCCCCCCCTCATATATAAACAAGAACTGTAAGCCAAAGGCGAACTAATACCCCCGGCTCCTATATCAACCAGAACTGTAAGCCAAACGCCCACTAATACCCCCGGCTCCTGTATAAACCAGAACTGTAAGGCAAAGGCCAACTAATACCCCCCACTACTATATAAACCAGAACTGTAATCCAAAGGCCAACTAATCCCCCCGGCTCCTATATAAACCAGGACTGTAAGCTAAAGGCCAACTAATACCCACCGCTCCTATATAAACCAGAACGGTAAGCCAAAGGCTAACTAATACCCCCGACTACTATATGAACCAGAACTGCAAGCCAAAGGCCAACTAATACCCCCGGATCCTATATAAACCAGAACTGCAAGCCAAAGGCCAACTAATTCCCACCACTCCTATATAAATGAGAACTGTAAGCCAAAGGCTAACTTATACCCCCCGCTCCTATATAAACCAGAACAGTAAGCTTAAGGCTAACTAAGGCATTGCATTACAAAGCAATCCAGTCACCTTCCAGTAATCATTTCTTTATTGGGTGAGCTGTACACTTATTTAAGCATATATATATAGGTCACTCACATACTTCCTGTACCCCCTATTAATGCCAAAACATTTGGAGAAGTTGTGCAGGCTAGCATTTTTCAACAAAGGGCATAAGTCGGTAAGAAAGGTCAGAAGAATTTATTTTTTATCCGAAAGCACAATATTAGATGATAGTTTTCAGTTGAAATTGGCCTCGTAGATTTGGAGGAGTTGTTTGGACAAGGATTTTTTAACTAAGGGCAAACTTTAACTTTGTAAACAAGAGGCCCGATGGGCCTGCATCGCTCACCTGGTATTAATCTCACACTTGTAATCTTAAAAGCGGACTAAAATAGAGCTACAGGCAGAATATCAGTGTTTGATTCATAAGAACATATTAAAAGATTTAAAACGATGACGCCTGTGACCTTGAATGTCGAACAAGGACATTAGGTTGAAAATGGGTCAATGTCATTCATTTGAACAAACTTGGTAGCCCTTCATCCCAGCATGCTACAGGCCCGCTTTCAGTACCCTGGGCCTTTTGGTTATTGAGAAGAAATGGTTTGAAGATTTTAAGACATTTGTCCCCGTCACCTTGAAAGATGGTCAAGGTCATTCATTTGAACAAACTTGGTAGCCCTTCATCCAAGCATGCTACAGGCCCAATATCAGTACCCTGGACCTTTTGGTTATTCAGAAGAAGTTGACGACGGACGGACGAAGGACGCCGCACCATGCCATAAGCCATACCATGCCTAAAAATTGACACCGGACAGAGGACGGATGGGGGATGGATGCCGCACCTCTGCCCCGGCCGGGTATTAAATCGATCTCATGCCTTGTAATTGCAGCAAGCCCGGTGTGAATCACACCAGGGCGATTTTAGAATTAATTGACAGCACATTGGTCAACATCCATAAATAAGGTTGTAGTATGAACTATTTCTGTTGATATCCTGCACAACATAAAGTTAAACTCTGCCTAAAATGTCGTTAAATTATCAAGTAAACGTAGCAAGCGTAATCGAAATCTGAATTGACAGTCTGACTGCCTTTTTTCATCTCCTTCTACACATGTCTTATCTAGTTTTAACACAGGGTCCGGGTGGTAATCTATTTGCTTAAAAAGTTTGTTGACACTTCAAACAGAGATTGATAAAATATATTCAATAGACGAAAGGCACAGAGTGAATCTGATGAAATGCTAACAGCTTAGTTACGTCAATGTGACATTGGTCAAAGACGAAGTAAATGTATAGTGTCAATTCGTTATTAATTGTTGTACTACAGTACATTTATCATTAATTATTACCTGGTACATTAAGAGTTGGGTCTCCCGCTGAGTATGGAGCGAAAAATCTTGATTTGTTTCGTTCTTGATCCATTTTAGTTTATGTAAAAGTCTAATAGAAGTGAATCTCGAACATGTGGGCATTTACACCGGAAGTTGTCTTTTACGGAATAACTCGGGTGTTTTCTTTCACACAATGGTAAAAAAGCAGATAGTTACCGAATAAACTTTTCATCATTTAAGATCATTTGAGCTAAAACAAGAATTATATTTCAAGGAACGCTACTCAAGATTATACAAACTTATTTCTAGACCTACATTTAACGTAAGATAAAAATAGAATATTTAAGTATTCCACTTCCTGTTTGTAAGGGTCAGGGTTCAAGGCTGACAAGTATCTCCACATGGTTCCGGTTTTGCTGTGTTTGTTGTTAACAGGTAAAACTCTATCTCTTATTTGTACCATGTCTCAACAGCAAGTTTAACATACACGCATGAGAATGATAATTTAATAACAAGGTAAATATTACAATATAAATATTTTTTAACAGCATGGCCAAATGATAGTATTACCTTGATTACCAGTACTGTAAAGTAGCAACTACACACATTGAGACCTGAGCCTCATGAGGATTATAATAGTCACAGTGGCAATTATGTCTCAAAAGTATTATCGTGCCGATAAAACCTCCAATACTCTTTATGTAAACAGGGATGTATATCAATACAGGTCAAGTACACCCTGCCGATTGAGCTATATGAGTCCTCAAGGATCTATACTGGGGGCCTCTTCTTTTTAACATTTTTATCAATGACATGTTTTTATATGTAAAGTCATCAAAATTGTACAATTACGCTGATGACAACACTGTAAGTGATACAAACAGAGACCCACAAGTTTTAAAATCAAATATAGAAAAAGATTGTGTACATTTAATGGAATGGTTTGAATCAAATCATATGAGGGCAAATCCTGAAAAGTTTCAAGCTATATGCTTAGGAAAGAAATCTGTTGATATTTTTAAATCTTTTAATATTGGAAATGTAAACATTGAGCCAGAAGCTGTAGTTATACTCCTCGGAGTACATTTTGACTCCATGGTAAATTTTGAATTTCATGTCTCCGAACTATATGTACAAAAAAGCCTCACGACAACTAGGTGTTCTGAAGCGCTTAGGCAATTTTTGACGAAGCAAGGTAGGAGTGTGATATACAACTCTTTTATTGTCTCAAATTTTAATTACTGCCTTCTAGTTTGGCATTTCACCAGTATGAGGAGTGTTAAGAAACTTGAAAAGACACAGGAGCGTGCTCTTCGTTTTATCCACAATGATTATGTCTCCTCTTTTACTGATCTTTTAATATTGTCCAATGCAGATTATTTACATGTAAGAAGACTTAAGGATATGGGATGTGAAGTTTTTAAAAATCTGAACAAACTTTCTCCTGATTACATCCATGATCTTATAAAACTTAAGTCTTCAAATCATAAACTAAGACAGGAGAATTCGGCAGAGGTGCCTAGAGGTGGTTTTTTTTTTTAATCCACACTATGTTAGTGTATATCATGTCAATTTTTACCCTTTGCTATAGTAGCATGTATGTATAATACACTTGCATAGATTACAGATAGTATTTTAACATTCACTGTAGAAACTCATCGTTCATAAATATATGTGTCAAACCTCTGAATTTTATATAATAATAGGTATACATAATATAAATAAGTGTCAAGCCTTGTGATAATATTTAAAAATCAATTGTGCAATTGATTCTAACTTACATGTGATATTACCGTGTATTTTTCTGTAATGAAAAAATGGTCTGCTATGCTATTTATATTAACTCATTACTACTAATACTATTATTACATTATGTTATTGTTATTTTATATACTTGTGTTTGTCGCAATAATAGCTCTCAAGAGCTAATATTCCATGTTGATGTGTATGCGACTCTTAATAGAGCTTCTTGTATCTTGTATCTTGGGTAATAACCTATATTTGGGGAACAGTTACCCATCTGAGTAACAATTTTATTACTGAAATGGGGAATAAAGTAAAATAAAAACCCACCAAGTTCTTTTACATATTATAAACAAAAAAGGGTGCCTTCTTTCAACATAATCAAATAAAAAGTACAATGAGCTTCAATTGTGCATAAAAATATGTTTATTCAGTTTTCTAAATTTTTGTGAACATGACAAAATGTATCACCTCCATTGCTTATAGTGTGTTGTAGAGTAGCTATACTAAATAGCACAGAAAAAAATCATGCTTACCTGTCACATTTGCACTGAATGGCCCCATTGCCTACACACTGAAGTCAATGCAGAACAAAGTCAGTGATATGGTTTGTCCTTTTCACAAAACGTTAGACATCAGAATTGATACATTTTTGTGCACAAATGTACTTCATTGTGTTATTTATTGGATTTAGTTGAAAGAAAAACGCCCTTTTTTGCTCCAAGTGTTTAAAAGAACTTTGTGTGTTTTTATTTCACTTTATTCCCCATTTCAGTTATAAAATTGGTACTGTTCTCCAAATGCAGGATTATTACACCCTGAGCAGTCGGTACGCAAACGTAACAGTACTCAGTAGCTACTGGTATGTTTACCTGTACATATTTTGAAAAGTAAGGGAGACAAATCTGCAGAGTAAACGTCGGTTTACCACGACCGCGTAAATTACACCCGCACGTATAGTTTTGACCTTCGAATCGCATAATTTTCACCCTGCGTAAATAACCACATTTACAGTATGACAGCTACACTAATTAACTCAACCACCACATAAACAGAGGTCAATCCTATCCAACAGCACTACCAGTAGACCACATGTTACTAGCTCCCTATAGATCCATAGCTTACCATTATGTATTGATCCCTTAATACACATACAGTGATTCCTATATAGCACTCTATCATAAGTAATCCTAAGTAGCCATGCTTGGCCGAGTACTGTTATCAGTACCTCTGCTGCACTGTTACCAGCGCATTCTCCAGCAGAAGAAGTGAGCCGGCTGCCCAACTGTATCAAGACACTGATCCCCGTGAGAACCTCCTGTTTTATGCCACCAAGTGGCCTTAAAGATGATTGACCAACTGTTAATCTCAAACCCAGTCTCACCATCTAAAAGCTGAAAGTAACAGATCCCTGTCTGTTGATTTATAAACAACAATTATACTTAAAAAAGTAATACAAATGTGAGAAGTCAAAAACCTAACTTCTCACAGTACTATAGGAAGCACTTGTTGATGTTTTCTCCTATTGCTATATTATTAGCTCACTTGGCCCTTCGGGCCAAGTGAGCGTCCATCCGTCATCAGCTTTTTACTTCTTTTGATTAACCAAGAGGCCCAGGCTAATGATATTTGGCCAGTAGCATGCTGGGATGAAGGGCTACCAAGTTTGTTCAAATGAATTACCTTTGCCCATTTTCAAGGTCACAGGGGTCAAATATGTTAAAATCTTTTAACAACTTCTTCTGAATAACCAGAAGGCCCAGGATGATGATATTTGGCCATTAACATGCTGGGATGAAGCACTACCAAGTTTGTTCAAATGAATGACCTTTGCCTATATTCAGGGTCACAGGGGGGTCAAATATGTTGAAATCTTTAAATAACTTCCTCTGAATAACTAGAAGGCCCAGGATGATGATATTTGGCCAATATAATGATGGGGTGAAACACTACCAAGTTTGTTTAAATGAATGACCTTCACCTATATTCAAGGTCACATGTGTCAAATATGTTGGAATCTTTAAATAACTTCTTCTGAATAACCAGAAGGCCCATGATGATGATATTTGGCCAGTAGCATGCTGGGATGAAGGGCTAACAAGTTTGTTCAAATGAATGACCTTCCCCTATATTCAAGGGCACAGGGGTCAAATATGTTGAAACCTTTAAACAATATCTTTTAAATAATCAAAATATCTAGGGTGATGATATTTGGCCATTAACATGCTTGGATAATTATAAAGGGCTACCAAGTTTGTTCAAACAAATGACCTTCACTCATATTCAAGGTCACAGTGGTCTATTGTCTTAAAAACCTTTAATTGACTTCTTGTGTATAACCAAAAGGTCCAGGGTGATGATATTTGGCCAGAAGGATGTTGGTATGAAGGGCTACGAAGTTTGTTCAAATTTATGACTTTTGCCCATATTCAAGGTCACAGGGGTCAAATATGTTGAAATCTTTAAAAGACTTCTTCTGAACTGACCTTGACACACTTTCATGGTCACATCTGGTCCATAGTGCATAAATCTTTTAAGAGTCATCTTCTCAATATACAAAAGGTATATATAAGGCGGTGATATTTGACAAGTTGCATTCTGGTAGGAAGGGCTATGAAGTTTGTTCAACTTTAAATGTCCATGTTTGACTTTCAAGTTCACAGGAGTCAAATGTGTTTTATCGTTTAACAGGTTCTTCTGAAGTCAAGACACTGATATTTTTGCCTGTAGCTTTATTTTAGTCCACTTTTAAGGTTACAATTGTGAGATTAATCAAACAAAAACGTCACACTACTTCATCTGTTAATTGTTGGCATAAAGCATGTCAGGATGAAGGGTTATATCAAGTTTGTGCAAATGCATGACCTTGACCTACTTTCAAGGTCTCAAGGATCAAATATGTTGTAACCATATAACATCGTCATATTGAAAAAGGCCTAGGATCAGGCTATTTTGCCAGTAGCTTGCGGAGATGTAGGATAACAAACTTTGTTCAAATGAATTACCTTGATTCTATTTCAAGTTCATACGGTCAGGTCACATTGTTCTAGAGCAGTATTCAATGGACAAAAATCAAATCTTGTACATACAACATTTTATACTTTAATTCTGAAATGTTTATTTCCTATTTTCCTTCCAGGTTGATGCATATTTAAGTAAACCAAGGTACAACTAGATACAGAGGAGTTGACATCTGGTTAGATACATTTCTACAGTTATGGAAGTGGTTGATTCAAAAGAAATCATATGTGAGGATGCTGTTGAAATGAACAGTGATGTCACAGAACAAACCCTGTCATCTTCTCACATTCTCACACCAGATGTTGATAAGGAACCCTCGGCAAGTATTGAAAGCCAGGTAGTAGCAGGGTGTATAGAACCAAATAAAGGCAAGTGTGCCTCCATGGAAAAAAGATGTGATGAGAGCTTTACCATGGACACGCATACCAACATAGTCTCCGACTCCTGTGCAGACTCCGACATTGCAAAAGAAGCAGACAACATGGAAACGACTATGATTGAAAACAAAAATTCTGAGACATTAAATGTGGACACAAAGACCGAAATTGGGATGTCTGCAATGAACAGAGAAAGTTTGGCAAAGAGAGAAGAAAACCTGGAGACTTCAGAGACTGAAAACAAAAATTCTGAATCGTTAAATGTGGACACACAGACGAAAATAGGGATGTCTGCAATGAATGGAGACAGAGAAGAAAATTTGGAGACTTCAGAGACTGAAAACAAAATTTCTGAGTCATTAAATGTCCACACGCTGAACAAAAAAGAGATGGCCCCAGTGAGCGAAGAAAATAAAGCAAACAGAATAGAAAACCTGAAGACCACTGACACTGAAAATAAAAATTCAGAGATACCTACAGTCGACACTTTGAATGGGGATTACCCAGCAGGTGGTCAGAACAGCATGGAGACTACTGCTACAGAACATAAAGCTGATGTACTGCTGAAAATGGAGAAAGAGTACAGAGAACAGAACAGTTCTGACAGCGACTCGGACAGCAGTAGTAGTAGCTCCAGTAGCAGTAGCAGCAGTGATGAAGAGGAGGTCATACCTTCACCCAAGAGGTAATACAGTTGTACAGTTGTTTTAAGTTTGGGGGGTTTGTCATTAACCTAAGACATGCTTTTTTTAAATGGTTTTAATCTCCTGTCTATAACTTTGAATGTTTTGATGTATATCTATCTATGTCATACAGGGTAAAAAAAATATACATGTCTCAACAAAATACTTCCTATCGTGGGTAGCTTTCAGTGACCTCCTGGTTGCCTTCTTCAGTCTGTAGCTCAGCAGGGGATCTTGGTAAAGATTTTTGGTATTTGGAATCCAGCGGAGTGTGATCTTAAGCGCATGTGACTAGCGACAAGTCAAGATCTCTATATAGTGTTACCAGACTCATTTATTGAGAGTTGGTTTTGCTGACATACATCTGGGAATTTGGCACAACACTCGGTCCAAATAGGGAATGGAAATAGGTCCTTTCACTGGGTCTTTCTGCTGCTGTGTTGGTTCCATGCTAACAGGTTTGTACATGATGATTTGGGTGAGGGTTATGATCCCGCTGAGATTGTGTTCCAGATGTTGGTGGAGCCTGTCAACCTGCAGCTAACCGTAATAAGTTGTTTGGGTCTGCTTGTCTGTCATACGCACTGAATGACCGAGTGAGAGGGGGTGGCAATTATAACGTTTGAAAGATAAATATATTCTGACTGTACACATTAATGCAAAAGAGACTCTGGAATGTAGAGATGAAAATGTTTCCTTATTCATTAATGACATTTCTTTGTTTAATACAATAAAGTATGGTGTACAATTGTAACAACAGCTGCTGCTGCTGTAAATTCTTACCTGATATCATTTGATTTCAGAGCAACTCCAGTAACAGAGAAGGCTACCAACAAGATTCCCTTTGAAGATCTCAGAACTGAAGGAGAAATTTGTCTTGATGTGAGTTTGATATTGTTAATGTGGGATATTTCTCATACATTTGTTTGTTTCTGTATACATACATTCTTTTCGTACTAGCTATAAAAAAAAATACAAGTGATTTCTCCATTATTCCATTTCATTTAATTCTGTTGCTTTTTAAAATGACCATACATGTTAATAGGTTACTAGATAAACTTTCAAATTGTGTTGCCAAGTCTACAATTAAAAATGTTTTTCTGACCAGAATCTGCCACCAATAGAGGAGTTATCCCTGGACATTGAGGAAGGGTTAGAAATGGTGTCTGTGGGAACTGTCTCCAGTGTACTTGGAGTACTGGGTAAGTGTTGTCAAAAAACACATTTTCACAGGTCTGTGAAGTCTGTGCTGCATCCAATTACGAAGTTTTGCATACTTTCACTGTAGAGATAGAGTTTTATGGGATACATTGTCCAGTCTTGATACTTCTATCTATGAATTTTCATTTTAACAAGATGATGATTTATTTAGAATTTATGGCCTGGACAAACCTTTCAATATGGCCTGAAACACTTTACCTCATGATGTGACCTTGACCTTTGGAAAACAGATGAACAAGTTTTACACAACACATCATCCATTAGTGATACATCCATCTGTGAAGGTTTATAAAATATTCATGAGCTGTTCAAACTTTTTGGTGTCAATAATAGTAATAGGAATCAGACATGTACAGAACAATTTCCTATTCTCAGGTAGAGAACTAATGAATATATACATAGGTAAACTTAGAATCATCAGCTTTTCATACATCAGATGCTTTGAAACGTAATATGTTTTTACTTCTAAAACACATATAATCAGGTACAAGTGTGAAAACTCACAACTTTGTCACAACTTGAATTTTTGCAGAAAAAAAGTGCCAGGTTTATCTATATACATAAATGTAATGTATTCTGTTTTGTATTTCAGCAATAATTCAGTCTGCAGTTGGAGTGCCTGCTCTCAATGAGGACACCATCTTGTTCACTGAAGGTCCAAAGGCATTTGGCAGGGTAGGTTGTTACTATTGTAACAGCAAAATATGTAATACATGTACAATGTACAATGAAATCTGGGAATGCTGGCTATAAACACATGTGCCATAGGGAACAAAATGTTTGTCTGCGATTGTCATTGTTTCTCCTCTACCACTCTATTTAATTTTACAAAGCATGATGCAATAAGTAAGAGTTGATATAAAGAAAAACTTATCAGCAGCCCACCCACCCCAAACCAAAAAAAACAAAACTTTATTTTCACAAAAGTACGATGTACATATTGTTTTGATATATGGTATTATCTTATAGGAATTTTTATAAAATCACATTCAAATTTGTTCCATCCAAAATCTAGTTTTTTTATTATGTATAGGTATTTGAAGTGTTTGGACCAGTGAGTACTCCGTGGTATTCTGTGAGATTTAACACTAAGGCTGACATCGAAACCAAAGGAATTAAAAGTGGGATGCAAGTTTTCTATGCTCCACAAAAGGATGATTACACTAAATATGTGTTTGTCAGTTACCTGAAAAAGTAAGTATCAGCAATAAACTGTACAAAATGTACAACTGTGAGTCAAGTGCAACAGCCACTAGTGTTACCTTAACCTTTAGTTATCTAAAATGCTAGTGTAATGGTAATTAATGGTATTTGTTGCTTAAACCATTAGTGTGATGCCAAAACCATTAGTCTTACCTGTTGTAATAATGGTTGAAACTGCAATCACTAGTGTTTACCTTGTGTGTGGGTTAACACTGACATTGGTTGATATTTCCAATGTCTCGTAGTGTTATTTCTCTGTTGGTGTCATCCCTCAGAAAAGAAGGATCTCGGCACCATTGCAGAGGCAGACCTAGTTCAATTAATGTGTTGTGTGTTGAGGGAGGACAAGCCACATTTGACGTTGGGGAAAGTAACTTCCTTAAAGGGGAAAAAAATTGACCCATTTCTTACCATGAAAAATGTCATGATTTATCACCATACCAAACATTGATATATCATAACAAGAATTATCTGGTGGGGTTTGTCACTAGCAATGGTTGCAAAAGTGTCAGTTGTTACATTAGCAACAATTGAGATAAAGATAATTATCATCACTAGGTTATAGAATGTGTTGGAATAATATTTGGCTTTAAAACAGCTTCATGCCTTTACCTGAAAAGTTAAGGTCACATTGTTCTGGCCAAATGTCAATTCAGTGCACATATCTGCTTTTTGACCATAGCTTTTGTACATGTGAGCATTCAATTACTGGGTATGAATTATTACAAGGTCAAATCACTCATTCCTTAGCACAACTGCTTACATGAACAGTTTAGGTATATCTCTTTATAAAATATATATTTATAAGACCATACTTTTTATTTTAACACATCCTGTTTTTATTGTTTAGTCTGAAAGGATCTGATGCTTCATGGAAGGATGACAATGAACCACCAGAAAAGGTAATCACTCTTACTTCACTTATAAGTTACACTGCTCAAAATAAGGAAGCATCTGTTGTTTGCCTCATCGTATTTTTTTTATTGTTATCAACTCAGTAACATCTAGTGTGTAGATTTTTCGTAGCAATTATGTACGTACAGAAGTGTACAAATTTTGTGTATGGTAACCAGTTGTGCTGTAATTTTGGTGGACTTGTAATGGAACTTACAGTAGAGAGACCATAACACACAGCGAGCATTTCTTGTAACATAATTATCATACTATTTATATTGAATAACAGTGTATGGGTCAAATTCTTACAAAAGTGTTTATGTAAGTAAGACGATACATTTTATATTTTTCATATCCAGTATAAGGAATATTCTGATGATGATGAAGAAAGGGCATCAAAGTCCAAATCAAGAGCTAAAGATCGGTCCAAATTCAAAGACGAGGCTGACGCAAATGAAGGAGATCGGTTACCAGGTGCTAAGATCAGAAAGTCCTCGGTGAGGGGAACAGGCAGACCACAGAAACACTGGTAATTATATCTTCTCAAAAGTCCATAACATGCTCCAAGTTTTGATTCTAATAATTTATTAAAAGAAATTCACATCTATTGGAAGAATTAATATGAAGACGATTGAATACAAAAAATAAACAAATGTTTTAAAGCTTTTCAATAAAAGTAAAACATTCAACATTCAACATTAAAATCTATTAAATCAAAATGGTATTTTGTCATTCATGCAATAACTTGTATTGGTGGTCACTTTTATTATAAAGTAACATGTATTATATTTCAGGAAGGACACCGAACAGTATGGACAAAGTGATCAATCCCAAAATAGCTGGAATAATGGAGGTTTGTATGTGATGCATGAAATGATTTATTGGAGAGCTGTCAAAGTAAAACATATAAGGCAGATTATATACAGTCTTTGTGAACAGTATGATTGGCAGTAGTTCCCAGGCCTTATCACTTCCAAAGACATACAGATATTACTGTAGTGAAACTTCCTATAAAATTAACAATCATTAGGTTGTGTACTTTCTGTACCCTCATTCAAACTAGGGGTGCCTTTAAGATCACAGATTCTACATCAGTCGTCTATGTTGGATTGACTTGCTTATTTTAATTTTTTTGAATACTTTTTGTTATGACAGTATATAGTTTAAGAGAAAAAATGTTGCTTAGTCAGTGGTTAGCGCATTAAAAAATAAGTGTTTTTTTTTACCTATGAAGCAAGAAGATTCACAGTGAAATGGTAGATTTTCACCAGCTCTATTAATCCTGATACATTGTATTGGATTTGAAATTCACATTTTAATTGCTGTGTGGTGCCATCTTTGATTTCTTGTTCTTGTTCAATAATCTAGGATGTAGACAAATGTGTAGCCTAGCATTAAAGAGGAATGATATAATTAGACCTATGTCAAGGTCTTTTGTATGTAACTATACATCGTTACTGATATATTGTTTACTTACTACCCTAGAATCTGCACATTTAAAGTTCATTTATTACCTTAACATTTTGAATGGTCATTTTATTCTATTTTGCACAACTGTCTACCCCATACTGAATTTGCCCTTGTTCAAGGGAGATATAAAATGGGGCTAAACAGTAATCTGAGATTATTTCTAACTTTACCAGATGAATCCTACAACAGTAGAAATGGAGGTCCGCACACTGGTTACAGTAACCAGCAAGGGAGAGGAGCAGGTCCCAGATATGCTGGTCAGACGTATAGCAGAGGAGTAGCACGACCTCAACGGTTCAACTACCCCAGACCTAGGAGTCAGGGGCCCTTTGGTGGACCAGCCAATTTCCAGTCGGAGCCTTCTTACAACATGAACAGAGGTCCTAACCAGTATTCCCGGGATAATAACAGAATGATTTCCCCTGGTAGATTCTGTTCTCCAGATAGTCAAATGAGACACAACCTGCCTGTGGGGAACGCACCTTTTGGGTCAAATTTTACTAGTGGTGGTAATGAATGGAGCAACATGGATGGTTACAAACAGTATCAATCACCCAGACAACCCATTACTGATAACAGACTGATAATGAACCAAGACAATCAAATACGGAACTTCACGTCTCCTCCACCACCCTCCAGTTACAACCAGAATGGTGGTTTTGATATAAATCAGCAACATTTTGCACCCTCACCCCAATCTACACAACACATCTCTGCCTTTCAGTCCCCTCCCCCTTCTTTGAATACTAACATGAACCAATTTAATGGCCCTCCTCCATTTTTGCCTTCCTCCAGTAATGCAAAGAACAACAACAGTTTTATACCCAATCAGTCAGCTCCTCCCCCATCTATACACAATCTTCCAATGGGAAGTCAACAAATGACAAGACCCCCCTTCCCACAACATCCTACAGTATTTGGAGGGCAGCCTCACTTTACCCAGGGTCCAAGTGGTAGACAATAGTGATGCTATAAATCTTATTATTATCTAATAACCCATCATAATACTGTATTTTATCACATAGACCTACCTACAGTAAAATAAACTTTTAGATAATAAATTCTGTCAATAAGTGTACATTGTTAATATCTGATGATTGTTGTACATGTCTGGTACATTTAACAGCTGACGATTTGATAATTTGTTTACATTCTAATTATGTTTACATGTATAATTTGTTAACTACCAATAAAAGATGATACAAGCCCCCAATCAGAATATTTTGGTTATTTTTCATCAATCCAGATTTACTACATGTGCCTTATAGGATCATGTTTTACTTCAAAACCTTGAAACAAGGCAACACAACAATGAACCAATGTACGAACATTTTGTAGGTGAAGTAAACAAGTATATACCAAGTGGACATTACTATTTGCTAGATATCAGATGTTGGCCCCGTCAATAAAATCTTGTTTACTGTATATCATTATAGTGTGCATATGTACTACAAAGGACTAAGGAAGTGCTACAGTTCCTTTTTGTATCTGATGGTACAGTTTTTATACGACCGTCAAATTTTGACAGTAGTATTATGGTATGGGGTTGTCCGTCCATCCGGCGTAAACTTTTGTTTGTCTGGCAATCTCCTCCTACATTTTTCGACCGATCTATTTGAAACTCTTTTTTTTTGTAATTTGTTTTTTATTTTCAGTTTCATGTGCAATATACATCTTCATCAAATTAGCAGATATCATAGTCATCATTCATCAAGCATCATCCATCATAAACAATAGCCTCATTACCAACACATCTCACAGACATGCACCATCCTCATCATCATTCTCATCATCATTCTCATCATCACTTCTTCTTTTTTTATATAAAACAACATCTCATCATATTACATACAATGCATCAACATCATCATCATCATCATCATCATCAAAGTAATATCACAGTAATATCATTCAATATATGAAAAAAATACAAATCAACACTGGTCATTACCATAAATACTCGCATCATGTACATGTGATCATCATCCTCACTGTCATTATCAAGAAAACAAGAGGCCCAGAGGGCCTGTATCGCTCACCTGTTTATTTTGTTACATGCAACTGACATATAGGTAACTTAAGACCAAATTTGGTAACTAGAACACGACATCTTAACATCTCTTAAACGGTTTTGAAGATATTGTTGTTTGAAACTTGAAATTTCAATTTTAAAGCTTTTAACCTATATTGACCTTTGACTCTCGACTTGCACTTAAAGTTGACCTTTAACCTCATTACTGTAATAAAGAAAAAAATCACACAGCTTGTCTACATAACATACCCAAGTATCATGACTCTAGTCCAAATGGTTCTTAGGATATTGTTGTTTGAAGTTTTTAACATGTTTGACCCCAGTGACCTTGAAAGTAGGTCAGGTCGTTTTAATGAGGAAACTTTATAGCACTCCATCCCAGGTACCTACTGTAAATATCATGACCCTGGGCCTAATGGAACTTGAGAAGATTGTTAAAGCCTTTGACCCATGTTGACATTTGACCCCCGACTAGCATTTAAAGTTGACCTTTGACCTCATAACTGTAACTGAAAAAAATAATTGCACTGCTAATCTTTATAACATACCCAAGTATCATGACTCTAGTTCAAACAGTTCTTAGGATATTGTTGTTTGAAATTTTTAACATATTTGACCCCTGTGACATTTAAAGCAGGTCTAGGTCTTTTTAATGAGGAAACTTTATAGCACTCCATCCCAGGTACCTACTGCCCAAATATCATGACCCTGGGCCTAATGGAACTTGAGAAGATTGTTGAAGCTTTTAACCAAAGTTGACATTTGAACCCCGACTAGCATTTAGAGTTGACCTTTGACCTTATTACTGTAATTGAGAAAAATATTTGCATTGCTGGTCTTCATACATACCCTAGTATCATGACTCTTAGTTCAAATAGTTCTTAGGATATTGTTGTTTGAAATCTTTCACATATTTGACCGCTGTGACCTTGAAAGTAGGTCAAGGTCATTTTAATAAGGAAATTTTATAGCACTCCATCCCAGGTACCTACTGGCCAAATATGATGACCCTAGTTCCTACAGTTCTTCAGAAGAAGTTGTTCAAAAGAAAAAAATGAAGGACGGACTACGGACGACGCAGTACGGCATAAGTTCACATGGCCCTTCGGGCGAGGTGAGCTAAAAATATACCAGGCATGATTTCATCACATCCTCATCAGCATCATTCATTACCGCAAGTCATCCATACTCTATATCTCATCATTCCTACACATTATATTTTGATCACCTTTCACATGTCACATGACGCTCACGTCCTGACATCATGCACATAAAGTGGAGGGAGCAGTAACAAAACAAATATACAATAAATTGTCTATTGTATACCTGCAATGATATTAGTAAGGTCAGATTTACATGTCTATTGTATACCTGTAGTGATAAGTAAGGTCAGATTTACATGTCTATTGTATACCTGCAGTGATATTAGTAAGGTCAGATTTACGTGATTGTATATTGCACTATATTGACAGACAAGAGAAAGTAGGAAGAATTAAAGACGTTTAAAGAAAGGAAAGGAAAAAAAGGAAAAAAACAAAGAAAAAAAGTGGAATAAAAGGTTGGGAGGTAGACAAGACATTTTTCGACCGATCTATTTGAAACTTGGTATACAATATCATCATGATATGAAGTTGTGTCTCCCTTTAAAGAATTTCGATTCGACAATTTTTCCAAAGGTTATTGCCCTTAGTTTATTTCAGCATTTGATTTTTGTCCGGGAATCTCCTCCTACATTTTTCAACGGATCTCTTTGAAACTTGGTATACATTATATTATCATGATATGAAGTTGTGTCTCCCTTAAAAGAAATTTGATTCGACGATTTTTGCAAATTAATTGCCTTTTGTTCTTTTCAGTATTTTTGTCCGAAGATTTTCTCCTACATTTTTTATAGCATATCAGCTAACCACTCTATGGCATTCGACGGGCGTATTTTGTTCCGCCCCGCAGTACTCTTGTTCTAAATATTAGGTATGTAAGTTTAAGACAAGGACCTGAACACTTGCAAATGTAGTGTAGATGTAGCAAAATATAACGTATCACTTCTTTTGATTTTCTTCATTTTGTTTATTATTTTAAAAACATAGTATATAGATTTATATATATGTATATATTTGCCAGCAACTTTTTCTTGGAAATTAACAAAGTTTAATTTTCCTCACGAGAACAAGCATCTGTTTCATTCATTGAACTTGCACTCGGCACCTTTCTTACAATACACCAAGTAGCCATTTGGGTACAGTTTCTCCCCGTCATTCACAATCCTATACATGCAACAAACCTTTTTGTATTTGATTATTACACTATCGTTCTTTTAACAAAAATCAACAGTTCCATTAACAGAGCCACAACGTAAGGAAGAATAAATACAATGAATTTGTTTAATAAATTTATACGTTTTTCAACTCAACTGAAATGGGATTGATTTTGACATAGCCATTATGCATTTTCCTGTAACACCAGTATAGGTGTCGAGGAGACAAATCAGGGTGGTCACGGGGTAGAGTTCTCTCAGGAACTATTCCATTTGGTTTCTTGTCATGAGTAACCATTCCAATACTACACTAAAAATCCATTTATATTGTATATCAAGGAGTACAAACAGAACTTTACGCTAGTTTCCTACTTTTCAACATTTCTTGTTTCTTTTCATTAAATAAAAACATTAGTTACAAGCAAAACTAAATTGGTCAATGCAATTTAATAGTTTGATATATTATTGAATGTTTTCATTATGATATTTTTCATTAAATATTACATAAAAGATAAATGTATTTGGAAATATTATCATACCAGGGTAACTCATATAAAACCATTCGAGAGATTTTAGTTTAACCATGAGAAACACGGAATAAAGAAACGATATATATATATATATAGAACATTCATTTATACTTCAAACCTAGGCGATTTCAACGACTAAATAATGATTTTGTGGCCCAAAAAAAAATCAGAAAATAACATGTCAATGATTTTTGGAGAATGGAGAGACAGGACTAGAATACATGATGTTACATAGAGGTGAGTATTGTTTAAATATTGCGCAGGAAAGGACGAAGCAACGTCCAGCGGGCCTTATTCAGAAAGCAAAATGTAATGAAACACACCTGTATTAGGCCTTGTTTTTATCGTGCCATTACAGGTGAATACTTATCTTAAATGGAAGGCCTTGGAAGACAGTCGTCACAAAGCTGAAGGAATGTTTCAATTTCTGTCTCCCCAGAAACAATCGGTGCACTATTTCCTTTTTTCCCATTTAAAGTGGAAGACAACAAACTTCTGTCATGAGGCCAAAGCAAAGGTAAACGTATTGAGGTGATGTACTGGCTATCAATAGGTATGGCTGGACAAGTGAAAAAGTAAACCTAACTACACATATATATCTGTTCCAAAAACATCACATTCTTAAACATCAAGTACTAGGGTCAACACTGAACAGCTACCCTATACTTTAGATCACTTATTAGACAACACGACAGAAAGGCATTTTGATCTTGTACTGTATTTTATAACATTATATAATTTCTAACAAAAAAATAAAGCACTCATTTATGTATATAATCATTTGGAAAAATACCAATTCTGTCAACATTAGGTGTTACACAAAATCAATATCATCGCGAACTTTTTGACCAAGATTGACTTTTGCATAATGTCCTATAATGATCAACACTGGTATGTTAAGGATATCAACCATTGATAAGAGGAATCGCTCTTTCACTTAAATCATAGTTCAGGACATATTGTCATAGAAACATCTGGATTAGCATGGTTCTACTCTTATCCAAGATATATCATCACCAAGAAGCCAACAATAACAAAGCTACTACTGTCTACACCTGGACAATGACCAGGAGGTATAATACCTGTTGTGAGGTGTCCTGAGGTATGGTAAGGTCAGGTTTGTTTGTATTTTATGTCCTATTAACAGCTATGGTCATTTAAAGACGTGCCAGGTTTTGGTGGTGGAGGAAAGCCAGAGTTCCTGTAGAAAGGCCACCGACCTATGGCCAGTACCTGGCGACTGCCCCATGACCCAGTGGTAAAGGGCTAGTGGTAGCAGAATATGTTAAGGACATCATACCTCATAAGGTACAATACCTGTAGTAAGGTAAGACACCTGTCATGAGGTTTGACACCTGTTGTTAGGCAACACATTTCATGAAGTACGACACCTGTTGTGAGCTAACACCTGTCATGAGGTATGACACCTGTTGTGAGCTAACATCTGTCATGAGGTATGACACCTGTTGTGAGCTAACACCTATCATGAGGTATGAAACCTGTTGTGAGATAACACCTGTCATGAGGTATGACACCTATTGTGAGCTAATACCTGTTGTGAGCTAACACCTGGTATAAGATATGACAGCTGTCATGAGGTATGACACATGTTAGGTGACAGCTGTTGTTGAGTGACAGCTGTCATGAGGTATGACAAACGTTGTGAGGTATAACATGAGTCATGAGGTATAACACCTGTTATGAGGTTTGACACCCATGGTGAATTACCACACCTGTTGTGTTGTATGACACCTGTAATGAGGTATGATATATGATGTGAAGTATGACTCCTCTCTGAACTACGATTTTTCTTGCAAAAATATATTATTTAGTTATTTAGTCTTTAATACATGGGATTTTATTTTTGTCTAATGATGATCATTTTTAACTCTGAAGACGTATTTTATATTTCATGTTTAAGTTAAACAATGAAACAAGAAAGTTGAATACATCTACATTCTGGAAACCAAAGGAAGCTGGGTACAGCTACAATCAGTCTTTGGCATCTTGGGTTTCTTCAATAGTTGTATATCAGACCAGATATATTTTAACCTATTTTAACCAAAAACATTTTCCATGAGAAATATTCTTCAAACTTGTCACACAATGTTAATGATTCGTTAGCACTTCCTAGTATCGACAAGTTTCTTTTCTTCCATCAACATAAAAATGGCTGAATGTTTTTCCTGTCAAGTTCATTATGATGAATTATATTACAAGGTATTTTAATAGCTATCAAGAACACATGCTAGGATATTGATACATATGCAATGAACACAAAACTAAATGTGTGATTACAATGTACTATTGATGTAGAAATCGTTACATCTTTCATCAAAACTACATTTCATATTTGAATTTTCCAACACTTTCACAATATTAAGTTGTACAACATGCAAATGCAAAAAAGAAGAAGAAATAAAATGATAATAAATTCTGCATCAACAATACATGCATTCAATAGTTCTCTAGATATTTGTAATAATCTTGCAACAGAAAAACAGGTACAGCTGAGAAAAAACAGTTACAATAAAGAAAAGAAGATATATTAAATGCACAGCTGTCAGAAGAATCAACCTATCTTGTCAAAACAACTGAGGCTATCTGGTTAAAACTTGCTGCCAAACTTTACATGGATGCTGACAAGGGAAGAAGCTGCACACAGATATTTGTTCACTACACAGATATTTGTTCACTACGCCAAGGTTGGACATAGGCCCGACTAGCCACAGTCTGTGGTATTGGGATTCTACCAGGAATGACACTGTATAGTTTACAATGATATACAGTGGGCCTGACTGGCCACGGTCGTGATAATCAGTAGAAACATCCTGTTATTGCAAGTTTTCTATGTTGTCTCACAAGGCTGAGCAAGTCTAGCGAGGCCTATAGCATTTAAGCAGAATGAGGTCATGACTACAGTAATCTGTAGAGATTACCTGTAGAGACATTGGGCCCAGACAACATATCACCTGTATTTACATAGACACCATCTGTTGATAGGTTACCGAGGAGGGATTTGAACACAGTCATTATCTTCAGCCAAGGTCAGTGACCCTGAGTGACCTTGAGAGTTGAGGGAGTGCACTCCTATTGCTAGACTGGGTATACACTGCCTGCTGACAATAGGTTATAGTCTAGTAATCATTCACACAAGTATTGCTTGTTTTCATAAGGTAATGCCGGCGTGATTGTTGTTAAGGGGTGTACCAGCCGGAGAAGTCCGTGAGGAAATTTCTTTGCCTATCACATTCTCTATGATTGGTCGAATTTCGTTCCACACTCTGCTGAGCTGTAAAGTATGAAAAGAAAACAATTAATTTGATTTGGCCAATAAAAGTTGTGGTTCAAAGGTTTTCTGAAGAAATACTGTAAATTATTAATAATGATTTTGATCTTTTTTGAAAGGTATAATACAACACCTTCAAGTTAGCACAGGAAAACCATTGATGTGTCAATATGTTCGTTATATTAAATTCAAATCATTATGTGTTAAAATAGGGCTAGTGATAGTGAGGCCTACCTCTGTGTGTGATTTAGCCTGTGTTTCAGCCATTGCTCCGAGGACGTCGTATAGTATCTCAACATTTGCATATATTAATTGAGTCTCCATCTGTAGACAGTGTAAGCTGTAGTAATTCCTATTTTCCATGTTGGCAATCTGGCTTTCTTGCTGCAGGTAGAAGAATGCATATCTTGTTACAAAAAACATATAACAACAAGTTGTTGATCGAGGAAAATAAACATTTGATACTATTTACATATCATATAGCAAATATATAGGTTTATATAAAAGTGTTTGAGAACCAACCCAATTATAGCCATCTTAACCCTTTCACCCCTAGGTAACTTTAGTAGACTCTACCATACATTGATCTGGATGAGTCCATTATGGTCTACAGTGGTGAAAGGGTTAATTAAACATGTCAACTACTAAAACCTACAGTTACCGAATCCTTGGTGTTCACGCTCCATCACTTACCTACTTGTATTTACGTATAAGATGAAATACTGACAGAATACCGGTAGATAAAACCTGACAGTAAACAGAAACTTACTTGCAGTATTTTCTGTTCCAGCTGTTCTACTGCTCCTACCTACAAGACAATATTTGTAATACAATTTAAATTAACGATTCACTGATGTACTTTTTCCTTATTCAGTGCTTCTTCCTGTTGAGATAAAAAGTGAATATAAAGATATATCATTTAAGTCCTAGTGTCATCTAGACTTGTAAGCCACCCCCACCTGAGGAAAACTGTGACATCAATTTCCATTCAAGGACAGTTCTGGATTTCATTTTGATAAAAATTTGAGAAGAAAATTAGAAAGTGACCCCTATAGCAAGTGTAAATCCAAAATAAATCACAAATGCACAATTATGTAAGTAACTGATGATGAGCACAAAGTTTTATAATTATCAGCCGGGATACCTATAATCATTTAACTTCATTTAACCTCAAAACGGACTTATAATCTGTAATCATTATACCTCAAAACAAAGCATGACTAATATTAAAAATCACCAAACTTAAAACAACTTATCAACCACCATACCTCAGAGGTGGCAACAGTTGCCGACATCTTCTTTTTCTTGTACTGACCCATCTTTTGGATTGCCCGTTGGTGATCTTGGAGAACACCCTTTTCATGTCTCTCACAAAGTTCCTACAGATACAAAATACTTGTAATATAGACAAAGTTCTTACAGATACAAAATACTTGTTATATAGACAAAGTTCTTACAGATACAAAATACTTGTTATATAGACGAAGTTCTTACAGATACAAAATACTTGTAATATAGACGAAGTTCCTACAGATACAAAATACTTGTTATATAGGCAAAGTTCTTACAGATACAAAATACTTGTAATATAGACGAAGTTCCTACAGATACAAAATACTTGTAATACAGACGAAGTTCCTACAGATACAAACTACTTCTAATTTTGACACAGTTCCCCTAGACAAAACATACCAAGTTATACTAAGTTCCTGAACAAAATATTTCTTAAATAGAGAAAAATTCCTACAGATACAAAATACTTGTAATATAGACAAATTTCTTACAGATACAAAATACTTGTAATATAGACGAAGTTCTTACAGATACAAAATACTTGTTATATAGACGAAGTTCCTAAAGATACAAAATACTTCTAATTTTGACACAGTTCCCCTAGACAAAACATGCCAAGTTATACCAAGTTCCTGAACAAAATATTTATTAAATAGAAAAAAATTCCTACAGATACAAAATACTTGTTAGATAGGCAAAGTCCTTTATAAAATAAATACTTGTAATATAGACAAAGTTTTTACAGATACAAAATACTTGTTATATAGACGAAGTTCCTACAGATACAAAATACTTGTAATATAGACAAATTTCTTACAGATACAAAATACTTGTAATATAGACAAATTTCTTACAGATACAAAATACTTGTAATATAGACGAAGTTCCTACAGATACAAACTACTTCTAATTTTGACACAGTTCCCCTAGAAAAAACATACCAAGTTATACCAAGTTCCTGAAGAAAATATTTCTTAAATAGAAAAAAATTCCTACAGATACAAAATACTTGTAATATAGAAACAGTGTGTTACAGTCAAATCTATACACATGATAAATGATGGTAAAATAAAGGAAAAATTCAAAGTCAAGAATTTATTACATTTAACACTGCCACAATCCAGAGCCCAGAATTACGTGGAATGTAAAAGTACTCTATATACAATGTATAACACTTACCTTGTATGAAAAAAGTAAATCTTGAAAGAGTGCTAACTTTTCTACCACTTTCTCTGCTTCATCTGCAGCCTGCAGTAAAACATTTTATATCAATGATCAACATCAAATCGTAACTACAATTCTAAATGAGATATTGAAATATTAATGTTCTAAAAATAGAATAAAAATGTATATTCTATACAGCACTTAAGGATATGTGTTTCCTTACTTTACATGGAGACTTATGGAGTTATGCTACCTCACTGTGACTGGAGTCTCTTTAATAAAAGAGTTCCACATTACAATACCTGTAAAACATATTTTCTGTATGGTAATTTGAGCTTTACAAGAGGCCCAGAGGGCCTGTATCGCTCACCTGGATATCTAAGCAATCATGGCAAAATATTCTCCAAATGAGATCCAGGGGAATATGCCAGACCCCAAGGCCAATCCTTGTAACATATTTGTATTAGATTTTTCATGCCCAGCAATTTTATTTATGGTTATGGGGTGGGGATCTCAACTATTTCAAAGTTGTGACTCGGAAACTAGGGTTCCTAGGGTTGTGACCAGACCCCAGGATTATGACTGCATTTGTCTCTTTTTGCTCAGCATTTGTATTTATAGTTTTGGGGTGGGGATCTCAACTGTTTCAAAGTTATGTCCTAGGGGTTAAGTCTGCAAGGGTGGGGCAGACCCTGAGGTCAATTCTAATATCATGACTGCATTCGTCTCTTTATGCTCAACAATTGTATATAGTTTTGGGGTGGGGATCTTAATCGTTTCGAAGTTATGACCCAGGGGTTATTACCTGGTAAGTCTCCAAGGATGGGGCAGACCCCACGGCCATCCTGGAAGCGTATGTGCATTCATCTCTTTATACTCAGCAATTGTATATGTGGCTATAGGGTGGGGATCTCAACTGTTTCCAAGCTGTGACTAAGAAACTAGGTCCCTAGGGGTTTGGTCAAAATCTCAACCGTTTTAAATTTATGAGCCAGGGACTATGTCTCTAAGGGTGGGGCCAGACCCTAGGGCCAACTTGGAAGCAAATGTGCATTCTTCTCTTTATACACAGCAATTGTATATATGGTTATATGGTGGGGATCTCAACCATTTCCAAGTAATATTTTTTTTCTTGGCACCACCCCTTAGCCCGGGGGGGGGGGTCAGCCCCACCATTTGTACAATTTTGAACCCCTGCCTCCCATGAATGCTTCCGACCAAATATGATTGATATTGGCATAGTTCTACAGAAGAAGTCGTTTATAGATAGCCCTCAGCCCCCTGGGGGGTCAGCCCCACCATTTGTACAATTTGGAATCCCCACTACCTAGGGATGCTTCCAGTCAAATTTAGCTAAATTCCAATCACTGGTTAAGAAGAAGTCGTTAAAAGAAATTGTTGACGTTCAGACGACGGAGGGACGATCGACGCCACAGTATGGTATAAGCTCACCTTGGTCGTTTGGACCCGGTGAGCTATTGTTTATTGATACATTATAAATTTACAGGGAGATAACTCTTATAACCATCAAAGTATACAGTATGTGTACAGTAGCTTATGATCTGAAAAATTACTGCATGTTATGACCGTGTACTGGGGTGGATTCTACAAGGTGGACTTGGTCTGTTTACCTCTTGAGAAGCCTTGTCACCCAGACTAGCATACTCTACAGACAGGTGTTTAAAGCCCTTCTTTAAACTTTCCCAGGAGTCATTCGTTCCTGTAGCCCACGATGTCACTTGTGTTGAGTCATTACTCAGGACACTGAAAACATACATATTCTGTAACTATAAACACACATTAAATATTCATGGTAGTCAGGGATAGCATATCTAGATGAAGTCAGTAAACAATATGGACCACCTGTGTATAACACAATGAGTCAAAATATCACTTCTAGAATTATTTCTTTTTTCTTTTCAAATACACTTCATTCTCTCCTAAAGTTTCACTGTAGTAAAACCTGCTGGGTGTAATGTTCCTGGTTTCATTTGCCACTAGCTATCAACATGTTTCAAGGCAGTTTTTATACTTTGTTCTAAACAAAATTCTCGCTTATGTATTTTCCTCAACCTACAGCCAACAATTCACTAGGCAAATGTTGGCAACCAGGTTTAATTGCATGTCACAATTAGATTAAACTCTATTCAGAGGGTCTGTACAATATAACTAAAAGCCCCTTACAAGAAATCTTAGAAGTATAAACTTCAACTATATAAATGAGTAGCTAGAAGATAAAACCTCAATAAATATCAAACAAATTTCAAATCCACTTGAAATTCATTCAAAGAGTCCTGTAAGTTGATTACAGATATCTTGGGGACAGCTTTACCTTAGTTCCTGTCCAAATTGCAACATATCACAGGCATAGCTGGTCGCCCTCATCACCATTCTCTCCGCGATATCCTTTAATTTGGAAATACTGTTGCTCAGTATGCGGATGTGTTCTTTGCTGTTGCCAAGCTGGATCTGTGTATCCATAGGAACTAGGTCCTAAAAACAAGAGCACAACACAACTAGAGATTTTATTTTTGTGAACAAAAACATTTGTCTCCCTTTATTAGCTAACATTTTGTTCTCCTTCCCTTGTAAAATAAAGATTTATGCATAAGTCAAACAACAGTGCATCTACAATTTCTTAAACATATTAAGCTTATTAAAGGAACTGCCTACTAAATGATAATTGCATATATGAATAAATGCAATTCAAAGGTTATGGCGTGGAAGGGCACAGTACTCTAAAAGTTTAAAAGTACAACTGAAAATTTGCACTTATTTGACCTAGGTCAAGATCACAGCCACCTAATGACAGTGCACTACACATCATCTGTGCATGATGCAAATTAACTGCAAATTCATCAAGATGCTTTTCAAACATATGCACTTTATTGATTGTGACGAAGCTACTTTGACCTATTTATTGACAGTGCACTGCATTTCGTCTGTGGGTGATGCAAGTATAATACAAGTTTCTTCAAGATATTGTTAATGGTTATTATTCTATTTTTCTATACTACCTAGACATTGCAGACAAATCATTTCATTTATTAGACCAGTCGGTACTTTTGCCACAGCAAAACCTGACAGGTTCCTGTGTGCTTTTCAACTGTTATAAAATAATTTCTGGTATAAAGTTGTAGGTGTCGCTTAAGCAAAACATGCTACTCACCTTTGCCTGACTAGCTAAGTTACTGGTCATGAATTCATCAGGTATCCCTCGGAAGGCTTCCTTTATCTTGTGTTGCATATCCTGAAGGGAAGTAAGAGGAAATAAAGGTTTGATAAAAAATTCACATAAACGTGTCACAGAATACAATTGGAAGCCATTTTTCTCACTTTGACAGTGTTTTTTCTTGATATATCGAAGATGCTATCAACTGGTGCCTTGGATAATTATATCATGTCATATACAGTACACTCTGTCTAAACTAAACTCTTAAACAGAAACTGTGCAATTTAAACATATTTTTTTTACTGACAATGTACATTTTTACAGTAATGAACTTTCTGCAAACCAACCAAATTACATGTATTAAAATGAGGTCCAAGGGGTACATGGGTAAGAAAGAATACACTGTAATTACATCTCTTATACATAGTGATGGTTTAGTATACACTTGAAAATTACGTAAGGCTACATACCATCAATGTACCATAGTATGGCATTGATCATATGGTAGACTAGGAAAGAAAACTATCTGTACATGTGTATCAAACAAACACGAAGCATATCAGTTATAAAAGAGTAGGCACTACCTTGACCTGAAGATGATAGAATACACCTACAGCATTTATAATCAGAAGAAGTTCCTCTACATGTAGCAGGTAAAGATAACATCAGGAAGTTCATTTGATTGTTAAGAGGTGCTTACCTAGTATTCTTTTGTATCAATAAGGTTTGAAAGTAATTCACCAACTTTGATATTTTTTTTCTAATTATGTCTTTGCAATGTCAATGCATTTAACAAAGGAATACTTGAGTGCATAGATTAAAGACATGAGTGTAAAATGTTCTACCTATAGCCCCTATAGTCAAATAACCAACTGATATAGAAACACAATGTGTCTAAAATATCATGTTACAGTCTCAGTGTAATCAACGAATTTTAGTTTCTTTACCATAAACATACCACAGCCATTTAGCAATTTCTTTTTCAACATGGATGATTGTCAGTAAAATGGGTGTAACTTCAGTGGCTTTAAATTGTTAAAAAGAAATTCAATGTTTACTAGAAGGTAAATTTGGAGTGGTTTCAGTGTCTCAGAGATGGTACATTGGGTGTGGTTGCAGTGACTCAGAGATGGTACATTGGGTGTGGTTTCGGTGTCTCAGAGATGGTACATTTGGAGTGGTTTCGGTGGCTCAGAGATGGTACATTGGGTGTGGTTTCAGAGGCTCAGAGATGGTACATTTGGAGTGGTTTCAGTGGCTCAGAAATGGTACATTGGTTGTGGTTTCAGTGACTCAGAGATGGTACATTGGGTGTGGTTTCGGTGTCTCAGAGATGGTACATTTGGAGTTGTTTCAGTGGCTCAGAGATGGTACATTTGGAGTAGTTTCAGTGGCCAGGAATGGTACATTGGGTGTGGTTTCAGTGGCTCATAGATGGTACATTGGGTGTGGTTTCAGTGGCTCAGAAATGGTACATTGGGTGTGGTTTCAGTGGCTCATAGATGGTACATTTGGAGTGGTTTCAGTGGCTCAGAGCTGGTACATTGGGTGTGGTTTCAGTGGCTCATAGATGGTACATTGGGTGTGGTTTCTGTGGCTAAGAGATGGTACATTGGGTGTGGTTTCAGTGGCTCATAGATGGTACATTTGGTGTGGTTTCAGTGGCTAAGAGATGGTACATTTGGAGTGGTTTCAGTGGCTCAGAGATGGTACATTGCATGTGGTTTAAATGGCTCAGAGTTGGTACATTTGCAGTGGTTTCAGTGGCTCAGAGGAGGTAAAACAGGTAATTGGGTTTATGACAATAATCTCAGTCCCTGTTTGATAACTTACCGAACCATTAAAGGTGAAGAAGAAAAAGACAAGCTTGTCATCATAAATTTGAGGATGTCGAGCAATCAAGTTCAAAAATCTTCTCAGTGATTTTCTTCTTTGTTCAATAAACTCTCTACTGGCTGTAAAAATAAACAAAACATACTGACTGTAGTTTGTAATTGTTGTGTAATTCATCCAACCTCATCACAATATTTTTATACAAGAGGCCCATGGGCCTTAACGGTCACCTGATATATTTATACAGAGATCTAGAGTTGATTTTGTTTTTAACAGAAATATTATTCAAAGTGACAAAAAACAAAAAAAAACACCTTATTCAATATCTAGCATACAGATTTCAGACTAAAAAGTATTTGAAACTAGCACCTCTGATTCTAAACAAGGAAAATGAAGACATTTTAGCACACTGACTCCTTTGAGCCCCACCCTACAGCCCTTGGGGGTAGGGCTGGCTCAAAATTTAAAAAACTGTCAACTCAAGGTTATAATTCCAATCAAGTTATTAACATGTAATATTCAAAGTATCATTTGCCACTATAAACCACAATAAATTTTGCCAATTAAACAAATGTTGGTCCAAAATGTGATTTCCCTATATAAACTATAGTAAAGTTTATCCCCTCCCAAGGGGGAAACGCGAGACCCCAGGGTCAAGAAATTCACAATTTTGGTAAAGCACCTTAAGACCCTTCCATATATGAAGAGTATTTGATTCTACCATATCTGGGTCTTGAGAAGAAGATTTTTGAAATTTTAGTCAATCTGACCCTTTTTGGCCCCGCCCCTCAGGCCCCTGGGGGCTTGGGACTAAACCGGCCACTGTTTTTGTTGACCTTTGTCCATGGAAGGTCCCTGCAAAATTTCATTGAAATTGGTTCAGGGGTTTTGGAAAAGAAGTCGAAAATGTAAATTGTTTACAGACGTACGACGGACGACGACGGACAAAAGGCGATCGCAATAGGTCACTTGAGACTTTGTCTCAGGTGACCTAAAAATCTTAAACAAAGTATGAACTTATTGGTGTCAAGTACTTTCGCATGAAATCAATATCATCATATTGGAAAAAAAGGGTTTAAGCCACATTGCCTGTTTTCAATAAAACTTAATATACATACAATGTCATCAAAATCAGCCCATAAAGTGGAAGAAGTTACAATGTCATCAAAATCAGCCCATAAAGTGGAAGAAGTTACAATGTCATCAAAATCAGTCCGTAAAGTGGAAGAAGTTACAATGTCATCAAAATCAGTCCATAAAGTGTAAGAAGTTACAATGTCATCAAAATCAGCCCATAAAGTGTAAGAAGTTACAATGTCATCAAAATCAGCCCATAAAGTGTAAGAAGTATAACACCTTTTTTTCTCTCATAAGCTGAATATATGTTTTACCTCCCATCATTTTCTTAGGTGGAAGACTTGGAATCATTCGATAGGGGAATCTTGTCATCAATAGCTCGTAAAATGATACAAAGTCGTTGTATCTTCTGAGGACGGTCGCTTTACAATTCTGGATGAAAACATTGCTCAGATTAACATCATGTACCATATATGTTATTGACAATCCATTTTGCCATTATGTAACTATCAATTGCAATATTTTTCAAAGAAATGGCACTAGGTCAAGCAAATATACCCTCCAATAAGCTATTGACCTCTACATCTTATTCTGCATTTGAATTCAAATTGAATAAATCTAATTACATGATTGCAATAAAATCCGACACAAACATGTAGTTGGGTATACATGTATTAGTTTACACTTTTACCAGTATACTAACCTGACTAGTCACTTCATATTCAACATGTTTTAAGATTAGGCCTTTTTTCTCTGGAACAAGTTCTACTTTCACAGTATCTAGTTCACACAGCTCTCGGAATGTAAATCCCAGCACGGTGGGTGTTTTGGAGCGTCTCATCTTTACACTAGTAGCTCTCAGGTCACCCAGATCTCCTAACCCTGGTTTTGGAAGTTCTGAAAGAAATGTTGTAATGATTAATATATATGTACAAAGTACCACCAAATCAATTCTGCTTCCACTGGGAATTCAGGTAAGTAAAATCTACTGCCATGCCTGATGACCCTTACAGCCAGAATTTAACCTAGCTTCCATGGAAGGATACCAGCATTACTTTCTTCTCAGCACTGGTGCTCATTTGTACAGATGAGTAGACTGGATCAATCATGGTAAAATATCCTATTAAAGGATACCACTTTGGTTTAAATGACCTCTACCTTTGCAGTTCAAATTCAAGTTGGAAGGACAACGTACTTCTTTTCCCTAAACATTCCCATATAACTTACAGGTAAAAACTTTCGCCACTTTCGCCCAGCGCAACAAGGGGGATTCATCCTGACAGCAAATATTAGTATACATTATACAATATACAAATGTAATTGCATGTAAAGGGTAGCATTAACACTGGACCAACATAGATTTTAACGATGAAGTGCAGCTATTTTATGGGGAGTAAGTATTTCGTTAAACAGTATTAAACCATAGCAAGGTATCGTATATAAACTCTGTGCAACATTGTGCTAAATATTATTTCTTAGTTATAAGGAAGGTTGTTAGAAATGGACAGTTTATTTTAGAATAGGAATGACTTATCAGTAAAACTCTTTTAGGACAATCCTGTACAGACTAAATGACAACATTTTTGGCCTTAATAACTGTTCCTAACAAAACACACTAGACCTCACAGCCAACCAGGTATTACTGGTAGAGTTATTGAATATCCAACACATCAAACACACTATACCTCACAGCCAACCAGGTGTTACTTCCTGAATAAAGGGGGCCAATCAGGTGTGGATTTACTCTCAAGAGTAAAGGGGGCCAAAAAGATGCAGATGTTTGGGGAACTGTGCTCCAAGGCAAAAAGCCAATCAGATATGCTTGCTATTCGGTCATAAAGGTTCCATACAAGAAAGAGTAATGCTAAACATGTTTGTAGGCCCTGCACTATCAAGCTGTACAAACAATGCTACTTTAAGGTACAAGTGTCTTAAGCTACTTCACCCTGTGTTTGTTATACACATGATAGATGTCATACACAGTGTAGATAATGGTACTCTACCTGCTTAGGTCAAGTACCAGGTAATGTTGGTTAGTAGGTTATCTTACAATCACCTCATACTATTGATGAAGATGATGATGGTGGTTGTCAAGGATGTAATAAATATCACATGTGTATTGTGTATATTGTAAAACAGTGTTTTATAGCAGTGCAGATCTATGGGATGTAATAACACAAACACCATCAATTTGTCATTGACATAAATGTCATGATCATCACAAATATGATGTATATCATATAAATGGAAACATTCTGTAGACCATTATCTTATATACCTTGATATAAACCCTGAAGTGATAATACATATATACATAATTATAGTGGAAAGCGCATGAAATCAATAGATATGTTTTATACAAAATTTGATTTGCTACTACATGTACTGGATTCATAAGTAATAGATGCCAAGACCATACTGTACCAATTGTGTTTATTTTATAATACATGTACAACAATTACACTAGAACTGCACTACAGTGTTTATATATATATATCTCATTTAAAGTATGCTACCAAAGTTAATTTACAACATGAAAGTCAAACAATTCATTCATGAGATCTAATATAAAGAGATATGTGGTCATAAACATTCTCTCGCTGAAGTGTATGGCAATAATGATTACATGTGTCTCCATATGTAGGTTCGACATGTCAGCAATCTGACCCAACGCATACCTTAGGTATTAGGGATTCATGTCCTTTTAAACATTAAGCTGAAGCAAGCAGATAATCATCGCAATGTGCACGTACATGAATAAATAAAGGGTGGTATTTACATGACGTCTTTGCAAAGAGCAAAAGAGACTACCAGGTAATGGAAACGGTAGAATAAAAGTTATACCTACATAACTAGATCATAAACTACATGTACCAGGTATACAAAGTGCTAAGCATTGTAAGCTATATTCTAATCTTTGCATCGAAAATCACACACTCAACTCTACATACTTCATCATTACATGTCCGGTAATTGAAATAAGTGCATGACTTATTCAAAATCTCACTGAATATTTATGATCCGCATTAAGTGTTTGTAAATAAACCCAGTATTATATAACATGATGAGTATGGCCATGCCTTTATATGTACACATCTTCTTATCTTAGTCACATACAAACACATACCGGTGTATTTATCAATTGGCAACTTTCCAATAGTCCATCTCTGACCCGACCTGAAGTACCAACTCAACACCCTGTCTACCTTATTATAAATCACTAACCTTACTTGATGCAATGCCTTTTTGCATTAATTCACCTCTCTGCATATTATTGTCACTTGATACCATAAGTACCAAGGAGTTACATGTTGATTTAAATATAACATGCACTGATGTTAACTATAATTGAATAGTAAGTTTTACTGCATTGTATGTATGGTAAAAGCATATTAGTTTGGGATGTTTTATATTTTACAAATTATTGTTATAGTTGCCTTGTAGCTTTGTGCTACATGTTTAAGGAACTCCCTTTAGCTCAGTTGGTAAGGTATAAGTAGCAGACAGAGATGATAGGGGTCGATGGTTTAATACTCATTACGGCAGAAACATACTTAAAACTCTCCTGTTACATTTAATATATATGTGACCAAAGATTGTTAACTTAAAATAAAAACTAATCTTTAGATTCCTGATCTGAATGTGTAGATTTTTAGTTCTGAAGTAAATAACAAAATTTTACATTAGTTTCCTTTTTTAATGAGATTGACAATCCGCGGTACGGACATATTGTTACCCTGTTACAGTTTGGTTACTATATTTACTCATGGTTTACCAAATGACAACTCTTTTCACTTGTTCTGTCCTAGAAACAAGATTTGTTTTATCAAGAATTATTTGAGCTAAAATGGAACTTCCGGACAATTTCGTTTAATAAATTACATATGAAATGGAAATACAGGACCCTTTTTATTACATTTTGACATTATGGAGAATGTACCTTTGAATATTTATCAAATCTTTGCCCATTATCAAGCCTTCAGTGATGCTCTTTTATGTTAATTATCGTATCAAAATGAACTTGCTAGTTTTATAATAATTTTCTCAGTTCATTTTGTGTTTTCATATTTTATGAATTTAAAGTGAATCATTGTATCTAGTTCTACAAATCAGTGGACATGTTGGTAAACAACACAAATTCATGTTTTCACAAGGACAGTTGATATAAATGTACATTTACTCAGAGACAAGGAACATCACAATTATCACTTGGTGATGTCATCAGTCAAAACATATTTACACAACATGTACAGCTAGTATATACTTCAAGATAATTACAATCATATTATACGACCAATTTTAGAATTCAGAAGAAACATACTCATTATAATGATATTGCCAAATGATTTAACCATATAATGGTACAATGTACACATGCTGTAACTTGTCCAATTATTAATGTTTTTTAAAATATCATAGCATTACAGATTACAGTAATAATCTCCTTTATGTACCTACAGGTCTATCATATGTGTAGTACTTGACAACCTTAGTGAAAATTAGTTGATAAATAATAGTAAAATACAAACATTAGTGCAATTTCTATTTCAATACATCTTGTCTGTCATGATACACCAGGATCATGATTAGAATGGTACAGCAAAGCTAACACAAGGTATACAATAGTTAGCAGATACTTTAATTAGATATAAAACATATGTAATGTGATGATGCAATGTTATATTTTTTTAATGTTTTATTTATGCAAAAATATATGTATCGGACTATTATATGACATGACATTGCACATTCTGTGATTGGAATGAAATACATAATCATTTTCTGTCAAGCTTTTAACATAATGTTCAACCAGTCAAACAGATACATACATTATTGATATCATCTGCTCAATCCATTGGTTAAATGATGAATAGGTAAAATCTTACCCTGTCCTGAAAATGTTTCTAGGAGTTTTTCGTTGACTGATTTTCCTTGCTGGGCCAATGCTGTTAAGGCTAAAGCCTTGTATAGTCCTGTTCTAGACACAGACCCCTGCTTACTGTCCACTATATCCCATATCTGCATTACCAAATGAAAAGAAATACAGAACATTTTATCAGTTAAATATATACAAACTAACATGATGAATCTTAATGTCATTGGAACCATTTAAATGACTTTTTACAAAATCCATATTATCTTTATTAAATGCCACATATTTGTGTAGATTTGATTGATTTGGAGTTTTATACATTTTAAGTACTTATTTAAACTGATCGCGATAATTCTGTTAAAACTGTTTTAAAAATGGTGCTTAGGAGAAGTATTTATCCCTCTTAGTTTTTTTCATTCTGTGGGATTAAAATTAGACTATAATCAAGGATGTTTTTCATATTTTGAGCACTAGCCCGCAGGCCGATATTGAAAATTTCTGCTAGTCTGATCTCTATTTTCATAGTAAATATTGAACACTTTCACTATTATGTAAATTATACTCCATTTTAAGCCCTTAAGTTGTCTGATCCAGCATAACATGTAGGTGAGAACTTTGAAGGTTCAGAATGCCAGTGATGGTTCAGACACGAATTGGAACGAATAAACAATGATTGTGGATATGACTTTATCTGGCAGACTGTCCATCCACAACTCTACTGTAAGACCGGTCCTCGGTTATATTTAACCATGATCTCAGTTTCAGAAGTTTCTTTAATTGACATCTGGTGGGTGTGTTGGGTGATACTGAGAGCAATTTGTTCTTATCCACAATATTAGTGTTTTTAACTATTTTGTATAATTAAAACATGGCAGAATGAGATCCAACATCCGCCAGTTACGTTCAGTGAAGTTCAGCATCCTCTAGTTGATGGATTCCTAAATAGAATTCACTTATCTGGCCATATGATGATATGCATAATCAGAATTCAAAGAAGACAGGACCAGGCAACGTCAAAAGGGGAGTCTCTGCCCCTATTATCCAGTTAACATGTTTCGGACCATCAGAACAGCGCACAAATGTACCTCATTATTCTATTTTACTATTTGAAACATCACTATATACAGTCTGGTATTCTTTGTCCCTAGGCAGCGCATCACTTTTTATACTTAAGATATGTTTTGAAAAAAAGCTGACATATCCTAAATGTGGCATAATGAGCATTTTGTACAAATTTAGGAATGTCTCCATATTGATAACAGTAAATATTTTGAAAAAGAGTCCTGTTTTTCTGTTAAGTGTTACAAGATTCACACTGTGATCAATTTGCCATACTGCTATTTGCAAATCTGCACAACTGCAGTGACAGTTTGTTTTTCATAAAATATGTCTAATTTCATAATGTTATTGTTATATTTATAACCATAACTGTATATAAGCTATTGTGATCCTCTTATTATGGGTCAAGCATGAATTACTGATAAAGATGTTTTGTTTCCCAAATTTTTGAAATCTAAGATTAGGATAGTTAAGTACTTTTTTGTAGAGATGAAAAATGCTTAATCAAATCAAAGAATCGTCAAATATGATGAATATGGACACAATGGGGAAAAAAAGAAAACAAAGTATCATGTTTCAGCATTTATCAAAGTGCCGAAAGTCTTGCAGAATTCAAAACATTTTTTAGAAATTACTGAAACATCTTTTACAATAATAAGAAAACATCTTTGTACTAAAACAACTGAGTACCATATACTGCTGGTTTCCTTTTTTTATTAAATTATATTATTCTGGAGTGAATATAAAATATTACATGTACTATCAATATACCATATATACGGGAAAGGGAGAGAGATTTGATACAAGATATTGTTAAAACAATAGGATTTATATAGTTACATGTTGTACAAAATCACTTTCTACATTGCTGTATAATAACTTACAATACACTACATACATACTTGTTCTCTTTTAAATTAAATGCATGCATTAGTTTTACAAATATAGCATTTATAAAATCTGAAGTGTAAATGAAATAAGAGGCTATTACAATAAACGAAAACACTTCCGGGCGTGCTGTAACCCTTGCTAATTAGCCATCAGCGTGACACAGTTTTCGGTCACATCTCGTTAGAAACGACAGGGGCTCCGCCCACCACTTTCGCTTCAGGGCAAATTAGACATGTGTCAGTCGACAGTAATTTGTATCGTTGATACATGACAGATATTGTATCTAAAAACAAAAATGTAATAAACTCAATTACCTGTGAAATAGTCTGTCTTGGCAAATTGGATTTTAACAAAAGTTGTACAAACAAATCTTCATTCACTTGTTCCCCATGCGGGCACAATATTTCGTAAACTTCGCGATAATAGGGCGGCACAGACCCTGCAAAGAAAATTAATTCATTATTAAGCATAACATTGAAAAAATAAGATAAACAACATATCGTTATTAAGAATAAAAATATTTCATCCGAAATGCATCTTCGTCAAATTAGGAAAACATCTTTAGAGAAACACGTCCATACCGAACGACAGGTCGGCCGACATTTTGGCCTGATCATGTGACTAAAATGTTTTACTCTCTAAGCCAAACACAATACTTCAAATACATTTCCATTTAACGCCATTAGGTTTTGGACGTACTTTCAAATTTTCTATTCAGTTCTTGGGTTTACTAAAGTAATCCAATATCAAGTACTTACAAGAAGATAAGTAACCGCTTTCCACATAGAAGTATATTGGTTCGAGATTAATTATTATTTTCATTGGATGCAATGTTTACAAGCCAAATACCGCTCAACCTTGAACATGTACTCGTTTTCTAGGATATCGTGTGAATATTAGAACAGTGGCATCGTTTTGGCTAACTTTGCATTAGATCTTAATCTTGCAAACGTTATAGACTCTGAATTGTATACGAATATGTCATTTAATTGGAAAACCGGCTTGTTGGGAACCTGACATCAAGTTCAGGCACGAGGAGTTCTGTCTGGCAACAGACCAATCGTCCGAGATTGTTATGGATAGAAAGAAATCACAGGTATTAAACATCAATTGTATTGTACATGCACATTTATAAATCATCATAAAATGTATCATTTATGTAGAATCTTAATTCATCAGTTCACAATGCGCTTCCCATTGAGCCCCCCCCCCCCCCCCNCCCCCCCCCCCCCCCCGTGACTGGGATTCAAACCTGGGACCCTCCGAACCCTAGATAGACAGGCGCTCTACCAATTGAGCTTCCATGTCACCTATGATCAAAGATGAAAAACTTTTCCTAATTACCTAAACTACATTGATAGAAGAAGAAAGAGGAAGCTAATTTACTCGAAAAGGAGATTCCTGTAGACAAAGTCCAATTATATTAATCACTCTTGATGGAAGTATGCAGATGGTCTAATTATATTGAAGAGATAAAAGCACTCTGCCATGAGAAAACCTGAAGTCAGGTAGGTGACCCTACCTGTACCTTTTTACATCCCATTGTGCCGATCGGGGAATCAATCTGAGGGGGATTCCCTGCTGTCTTAACAAATAGCAAGTTTGTGCCACTTGACCAGTCACAATGTGTGGGTTTACCTGCCTCAACAATTCCCTAGAAAGCTGATTCCCTCTCATATTGATACCCTCTGCTGGCTACCATTTGGACCAAAGAGTGATTGATATTAGCTGATAAGCTTGTTTCTTAACTGGTTTAAATAAATAAATGGGGTACTGTTGGCATGGGCACGAAATCCAACAGTTCATAAAAATTGTAAGAAAATATTAACTGAGATTAAACATAAAACATTGTATTCCATACTAAGATCATGAGCACTTAAGCTGTAATTCACTTGTAAATTAATATTTATAACTTGCATTTTTTATAGAAATACCAGGCAGATGAATATGATTCTGCTGATGATGATGAACTGCTGGAAACACTGGTAAATAAATAATGTTGTATATTAAATGTTGTACAGTATGTTGCATGCAATCATGTATTTTATTTTACTTATTTATATTATGTATGACATGAAAAAAAATGAAACAAAATATGGTTTAAACTGAACTGAAGATCATTAATGGTATAAAGGGAATTAGTGTAATGTAAACTAAAGTAATCAGAGAGTAAACCATGTGACAGTGTACTTGCAATTAATTTGTGTGATCATAACAGTATTGACACTTAAAATGTATCATTATTATTTGTAATTATTAATGATTCATTTTCAAAAGATTTGTAAAGTTTACCTTTAACAAGGAATTGAGGTTGTTGTGTTACATTTCTATTTGTTTATATAAGCAGTAGGTTTATCTGTTAATGACCATTAAGTGTAGAATTTGGTTGCACTACGATTGATTGATTGATTATAATATTACTGTGTATAGATTATTGAATCATTGAATTTTACCATTTCAGATCGGAAGAAATCGTTCAAAGCCTAACAAGAAAAAACAAGGTAAATTAGACAGTAACTCAGTCAGGACCAAGAATGGTATTATCTGGTTCGATGAAGATCGTCAGATAGAATCATTGAAATTAAAGCACACTTTACTTTATAGAGTTTTTGATTACCTATAGCATGAATACTATTTCAACTGTAATAAATCATATTGTATGAATTGTGGACATTTAAGGTATATTTGTATATATAGGAAATTTATTACAACATTTATTTCATGACCTGAAAAAACTTTTCTTTGTTGTAATTTTCAGCTCAAAATAAAAAAAATCTAAGATCACAGACACCAAAGCCAAAGAAATCAGGTATTTTTTTATTTTCTATTATATTTTAATCAATATTAAAGTTGTAATGGGTCATAATCTGATACAATTTCTGTATTATTAATATACATTACTCTGCTTTCTCATTTGGTCTGATATCGATCCTATCACTTTAATCAGAAAGGGTTTCTTGTGGAGAAGCTTAACATGAAGTGGGATGTTTACTATCAATGAATATCAATATAGTATAGAGACTAAATTATACATGATTATAACTTTATTCAGTAACTTATACATTGATTGCTAAAAAAAACACTGATGCATAAGAAGTGCTCTTTAAAGAATATCTTGCGTGCAAAAAAGTGTCCTCTTTTGGTCAGCGCCCTACCCTTTTCAAATCCTAGCTGAAACACTGGTAATATGTGATTATACTTACAGCAACACCTAGAAATAACAAAAAGAAGACTAGGGACAGGGCACACAGTTGTCCTCCTGGTCAGACAGGGAGAGAACTCTGGTTAGCTGCCGTCAAAAACAGACAAACTGGTGAGTACATATACTTTTGGTACCATTAAACTCTGCCCAAAACAAAAAGTTGGGTGAATATGGACATTTGATAAGCTTAGATCAAAATATACATTTGGGACAAGAAAAGAGACCCCTGGTTAGCTACTGTCAAATATAAACATATGGTACAAATAAAGAGACCCCTGGTTAGCTGCTGTCAAATATAAACATATGGGACAAATTAATAAAATGACCCCTGGTTAGCTACTGTCAAATATAAACATATGGGACAAATGAAGATACCCCTGGTTAGCTACTGTCAAATATAAACATATGGGACAAATAAAGAGACCCCTGGTTAGCTACTGTCAAATATAAACATATGGTACAAATAAAGATACCCCTGGTTAGCTACTGTCAAATATAAACATATGGTACAAATAAAGAGAACCCTGGTTAGCTGCTGTCAAATATAAACATATGGGACAAGAAAAGAGAACTCTGGTTAGCTACTGTCAAATATAAACATATGGGACAAATAAAGAGAACCATGGTTAGCTACTGTCAAATATAAACATATGGGACAAATAATGATACCCATGGTTAGCTACTGTCAAATATAAACATATGGGACAAATAATGATACCCATGGTTAGCTACTGTCAAATATAAACATATGGGACAAATTAAGATACCCCTGGTTAGCTACTGTCAAATATAAATATATGGGACAAATAAAGGGAACCCTGGTTAGCTGCTGTCAAATATAAACATATGGAACAAATTAATAAAGAGACCCCTGGTTAGCTACTGTCAAATATAAATATATGGGACAAATAAAGGGAACCCTGGTTAGCTACTGTCAAATATAAACATATGGGACAAATAAAGAGAACCCTGGTTAGCTGCTGTCAAATATAGACATATGGGACAAATAAAGAGACCCCTGGTTACCTTCTGTCAAATATAAACATATGGGACGAATAAAGAGAACCCTGGTTAGCTACTGTCAAATATAGACATATGGGACAAATAAAGAGACCCCTAGTTAGCTGCTGTCAAATATAAACATATGGAACAAATTAATAAAGAGACCCCTGGTTAGCTACTGTCAAATATAGACATATGGGACAAATAAAGAGACCCCTAGTTAGCTGCTGTCAAATATAAACATATGGAACAAATTAATAAAGAGAACCCTGGTTAGCTGCTGTCAAATATAGACATATGGGACAAATATAGAGACCCCTGGTTAGCTACTGTCAATTATAGACATATGGGACAAATGAAGAGAACCCTGGTTAGCTACTGTCAAATATAAATATATGGGACAAATAAAGAGAACCCTGGTTAGCTGCTGTCAAATATAGACATATGGGACAAATATAGAGACCCCTGGTTAGCTACTGTCAATTATAGACATATGGGACAAATGAAGAGAACCCTTGTTAGCTACTGTCAAATATAGACATATGGGACAAATGAAGAGAACCCTGGTTAGCTACTGTCAAATATAGACATATGGGACAAATAAAGAGACCCCTAGTTAGCTGCTGTCAAATATAAACATATGGGACAAGAAAAGAGAACTCTGGTTAGCTACTGTCAAATATAAACATATGGGACAAATTAATAAAGAGACCCCTGGTTACCTGCTGTCAAATATAAACATATGGGACAAATAAAGAGAACCATGGTTAGCTACTGTCAAATATAAACATATGGTACAAATAAAGAGAACCCTGGTTAGCTGCTGTCAAATATAAACATATGGAACAAATTAATAAAGAGAACCCTGGTTAGCTGCTGTCAAATATAGACATATGGGACAAATAAAGAGACCCCTAGTTAGCTGCTGTCAAATATAAACATATGGGACAAATTAAGATACCCCTGGTTAGCTACTGTCAAATATAAATATATGGGACAAATAAAGGGAACCCTGGTTAGCTACTGTCAAATATAAACATATGGGACAAGAAAAGAGAACTCTGGTTAGCTACTGTCAAATATAAACATATGGGACAAGAAAAGAGAACCCTGGTTAGCTACTGTCAAATATAAATATATGGGACAAATAAAGGGAACCCTGGTTAGCTACTGTCAAATATAAATATATGGGACAAATAAAGGGAACCCTGGTTAGCTACTGTCAAATATAAATATATGGGACAAATAAAGAGAACCCTGGTTAGCTGCTGTCAAATATAGACATATGGGACAAATAAAGAGACCCCTGGTTACCTTCTGTCAAATATAAACATATGGGACGAATAAAGAGCACCCTCGTTAGCTACTGTCAAATATAAACACATGGGACAAATAAAGAGAACCATGGTTAGCTACTGTCAAATATAAACATATGGGACAAATAAAGAGAACCATGGTTAGCTACTGTCAAATATAAACATATGGGACAAATAATGATACCCATGGTTAGCTACTGTCAAATATAAACATATGGGACAAGAAAAGAGAACCCTGGTTAGCTACTGTCAAATATAAACATATGGGACAAATTAATAAAGAGACCCCTGGTTACCTGCTGTCAAATATAAACATATGGGACAAATTAATAAAGAGACCCCTGGTTACCTGCTGTCAAATATAAACATATGGGACAAATTAATAAAGAGACCCCTGGTTACCTGCTGTCAAATATAAACATATGGGACAAGAAAAGAGAACTCTGGTTAGCTACTGTCAAATATAAACATATGGGACGAATAAAGAGCACCCTCGTTAGCTACTGTCAAATATAAACACATGGGACAAATAAAGAGAACCATGGTTAGCTACTGTCAAATATAAACATATGGGACAAATTAATAAAGATACCCCTGGTTAGCTGCTGTCAAATATAAAAAAATATGGTACAAATAAAGAGACCCCTGGTTACCTACTGTCAAATATAAACATATGGTACAAATGAAGATACCCCTGGTTAGCTGCTGTCAAATATAAAAACATATGGCACAAATAAAGAGACCCCTGGTTAGCTGCTGTCAAATATAAACATATGGAACAAATTAATAAAGAGAACCCTGGTTAGCTGCTGTCAAATATAAACATATGGTACAAATAAAGAGACCCCTGGTTAGCTGCTGTCAAATATAAACATATGGGACAAACAAATAAAGAGACCCCTGGTTAGCTGCTGTCAAATATAAACATATGGGACAAATTAATAAAGAGACCCCTGGTTAGCTGCTGTCAAATATAAACATATGGGACAAACAAATAAAGAGACCCCTGGTTAGCTGCTGTCAAATATAAACATATGGGACAAACAAATAAAGAGACCCCTGGTTAGCTGCTGTCAAATATAAACATATGGGACAAATTAATAAAGAGACCCCTGGTTAGCTGCTGTCAAATATAAACATATGGGACAAATTAATAAAGAGACCCCTGGTTAGCTGCTGTCAAATATAAACATATGGGACAAATTAATAAAGAGACCCCTGGTTAGCTGCTGTCAAATATAAACATATGGGACAAATTAATAAAGAGACCCCTGGTTAGCTGCTGTCAAATATAAACATATGGGACAAATTAATAAAGAGACCCCTGGTTAGCTGCTGTCAAATATAAACATATGGGACAAATTAATAAAGAGACCCCTGGTTAGCTGCTGTCAAATATAAACATATGGGACAAATAAAGAGACCCCTGGTTAGCTGCTGTCAAATATAAACATATGGGACAAATTAATAAAGAGACCCCTGGTTAGCTACTGTCAGGTATAAACAAATAGGATAAAGACAACCCCAGGCTAACTGCTGTCTACATTTGGTTAGCTGTTGTCAAAAATAGACAAATGGGAAAATATAGACATTTGGTTAGTTGCTGTTAAACTAACAAACAGGTGGGTATGAATCTCTTGATAACGACAGTTAAATAAACCAAAAGTTTCCATAATAATCAAGTCATATGACATAAGGAAAATTGGTTGAAAACTTTAATTGAAAATATTTCCGAGAAGTTTATTAAACTGTATGAAACTTACTTCATCTTCTTTTCTTTACATTCATCAGCTGGTCTTATTAATTCCCGACACCCAGAGAGTCCACGTCATAAGACTACCACAGAATATTGGGTGGATACATTGCGAAAAACAGGCATTGGTGAGTCATTCTATATCATTGACTGCTTGGGATATCTTTGTCAAAAATAAAAATTATTTCTCAATTTTTATGATATCATTGCCTGCCTGGGATTCAACTTTGAAAAATGTCAGTGCTGACACTGAAAAAGCATTGCTACTATAGATTGATAACAAATAAACTATCCTTGAATAAGGAAATGATATAAAACTACATATAACCATGTCATAAACTTTTATTTCTTGTATGGCTGTTGTTGATGTATGTATAGCAGATGTAAGGTTTTTGATTTTTTCATTTTATATGGCTGTCAAAACTTTTGACAGGACGTTAAATGTTTCTGCAAAATAACTTGCTTTACCACATTCCAGGAATAGTTCTCAACTTTCTTGAGTAACACAGTACAAATGTTATTTCTTCAATTATTTAAAGTTCTTATGTTTCTATATTTTGAAACTTTTCGGTAGATATACAATAAGAAGGATTTTAAGTGTATGTCAGATTGGCAATGGACGGGCATATATTGTTCCTCTCGGGTACTCTTGTTTCTATTTTGAATGTAAATTATTCTAACTGAATTATCGTAGATAAATATGTTCATCATATAATCATATTCTTCTACCTAATGTATGATTATTTGTGTTGTTTGTGCAGGTCGCAGTACAGAGAGTACTGGTATGAACACATTCTCTGGCCTGAAAAAGCCCAAAGAACGAGACATGCCTTACCTAAGTACATCCTCCTATCTTCGCCAGATGGTTGGTACAGAAAAAACAAAGAAATATGATAACCCTACAAGTAAGTCAGAAGTCAGAATTATCTGTTAATTTGATATTAATGTGAATACATGTTTATTATCATGAATTTGGCATTGATGGATCTAGGGGGGGGAGCTTTAAATCTACCCATCCTACCTACACATTCCTACTGAGGCCTTGCTCCTGGACCCTTCCCTTCACAAAATCCTGGATTTGTTAATGCTTGGTGTCATGGCACACCCAGCTTCTAATTAGGTAAGGGTTTTAGGTTACTTAAAATATCTTCTCAAAAGTACAATCCAGCATGCTGAAGACAGTTAATGCAGTGCACATTCTTCCTAAAGAATGAGATGTAATATGTCTTTTACATTTTAACACCACAAACCCATGGCACAAAGAGTAGATTATAACATGCACACATGGAGGGATCTAAACAATAGTATTTAAATAAAAATTGTGTTATGCTTATTTTGATAAATAGTAGATTTAATAATTAAATTCTTATTTCAGCAAAACCGCCCATGGGTACCCCTGCTTATCGAACTCCTGAAGAATACTATGAGCAGATCCTGGAGTTGAAGAAGGTGTGTTGTTTCTAGGATTCAGACAGAATGTGTATTATATGAATTAAAGGATGTTCAAGATTCTGATATGCTTTTTTAACTAAATGCATTACATGTTTTGTATTACATTTGAATTAATCTGACATAGCACTGCTGAGGAGCATAGATATAGGAAAACTACATATTCATCAGACTACAACTATCTGTAAAGAAATATGTAAAGAAATTTAGAAAAGAAAATTATTCACACTTTTTGGAACCATTTTTGCTTAACCAAACATTTTTTTCCAGCAAATACAAAGTTTGAATCAGGATAATGGTACATTGAAGGCGAAAGTGCGAAGGACAGAGGAAGATAACATCAAAAAGGTAGACTGATTAAGTGTCATAGGAAAGAACAAATATTGAAAGAAGAAGTACTCCTTTCCTCTGTAAAGTTTGAATGATTATCCTAGTTTACTACTATAATGACAGATCTCTTACATACAAATAAATACACAAAGACTAGGAGGACATTTTACATAATATTTCTTTTTATCTGGATTTAGTTAGTATCTGGACTGTGAAAACCTTCTTTGTGTGTAATGATGATGTATTGAATAATATATATTTGTATGATGTTTCTTGTTTTAATTTTGTATATGAAGATGTTTTCAAATAAATGACACAATTTCAATGTAATTTTTGATAGGAAAAAGAAATAGATGGTCTTCTTAACCCAACAAAGGTAAGATTATTATTGTTCAGAAAATCTTCAACCTTTAAATCATTCATGTTCACAGATTGTTCAGCAAAACTGATTTAACGCTGATTTAACGCTCCTTGTTTTATAAACTGCCAACATATTTAAATACCAACGATTCCATGTTCCTTTTTTTTAAGAATTTCCTTGTATATGTCCCTTGACATATACAAAGAACAAAAATATACCCCTGTCCCTCAATGATGCCAAAATTTGGTTTGTCAAATTGCGATAGTATAGATAGATTAACTCTGCTTGTGTTTTACAAGCTATAACCTGTATATTATACATATAACACCATGGAAATATAGCACAGACGAGTGTAAGTTTGTATCATGATCATGATCAATATTAATCTTGTTTTCATGAATTTGTATTTGTTGTAACCAGAGTGAAGAGATGAGACGGACACTGGGTGACAAACGACCAGACTCTGGGGCCATGGTTCATAGCCTGAAACAAAAAATCTTGAAGCTGGAGACACAGCTCAGAGATAGAGAGGCAGCTCTTTTGTAAGTCTATTAACCCTTAGGGTGCTACGCACGGCATATGCCGTTCTGAAAAGACGGGTCGTCAGTGCTTTGCATGGCATATGCCGTTTCTCGGTCTGTAGGTTTTGATCGGAAGCCAGGAAGTGAGAAGTCGGGTTGTTGCTATACCAAACCCGAACTCGTATAGTAGAAGGCTTCTGATTGGTTGTTTTGTCATTACTTTCGATATTCCCGGCAGTGTACCCTAGTAATACCCAAAGGTGTGCGAGAGAATTTCAAATAGAAAAAAAAATGTCATAAAAATGGCAGAGGTGTAGATTGAAGCGATGAATATGATGGTAAACATTTATTCTCCGGCGTCACCTACGATGATAATAAAGGTTTTGAAGGGTTTAACATGGTTGATGTGGAAATACTTCGGTGTAACATTATATGTAACTTTCCAATGAACGGCTTTGTGCCCTACGCAAACTGGAAAATATCAGCGGACTGAGGCGCACATGTCGTCTACAGGTGAGGCCGATTTGAACATTGACATTGATACGTTTTGAGCCGATTTATTTCTTCAAACAATTTATCGATGATTTAATCATAAACTAGACTNTAACATGGTTGATGTGGAAATACTTCGGTGTAACATTATATGTAACTTTCCAATGAACGGCTTTGTGCCCTACGCAAACTGGAAAATATCAGCGGACTAAGGCGCACATGTCGTCTGCAGGTGAGGCCGATTTGAACATTGACATTGATACGTTTTGAGCCAATTGATTTCTTCAAACAATTTATCAATGATTTAATCATAAACTAGACCGCAGCTAAGATATATCTATATGCCGACTGTGACAGTAAATATATTGAAAGACGACCTGAAACCTGTAGAAAATCACATGAAATACCTGACCTTTTTACTTGAGAAAAAATGCATTTTTAGATGTGAAAATATTAATTAGATCTGAAAAAAGCATTAGGTAAAGTTGAATGTTTACTCCTTTACTCTTGAGTCATTATTATTACGGTATAAATGATAGTCATTTGGCGTTATATATAGACTCAGAGTCAATAATGAAAAGTCATTTGGGATTCCTGAGCAATAACAAACATAGGTAGTTATATACCTAGCAATTATATATTTTCTGCAGAAAATTGCAAGCTGATTTGAAAACTACAAAGATTGATGAAATGAAAGTCCAATTGGAGGCCTGCTTTCACGAGATTGTAAGACTTCAACAGTCTAAAGACACTGGCATAGAGAAATCAATCAAGTAAGTTACATAAAAAAGCTTCATGAATATATTGTCATACTGAAACAAAACATTTTGGAGTTTTTCAGATATATACATCCTTGCATTGACAACGTTTAGAGAGATTTTAAGTCACACTAACTGTTAATCTCAGATGGGATATGTTCAAGTTTTCTCACTTTAGATTTCATAAAAGTGAATGGTTTCTCAAAAATGTTTGTGATTGGATTATTATCAGCAACCTTGGATGAGCCTGACCAGGAAATCATGAAGAAACCCTAATCCAACCTAATACATATTAAAGTTACCTTTTATAATTCTAACTCTGTTTTATTTAGACATAAAAATGAAGGTGGAAAGATGGACAAAGCTGTGAAGGATACCATAATCCGACTGAACAAACAGATTGAGCAGCTCCGTTCTGAGAACAAAGGTCTGAAACAGGACCTGGAGCGGGACCTGTCTGGTACCACAGGTAATCTTATCATGTTACACTGTAGATACAGTCGTGTACATGTTCATAGATATATCCACATATTTTACTTTATAATCGTTTTCTAAAAAAAGTCTTATCAAATATCAGAACTGAAATCTATTTCTTGAAACTTCATAGATACAGGAAATATGGCTCGACAATGTGGTTTATCATGACCCAGAACTTCTATCTACCAGAACTTATCTAGAAGTTACAATTACACCAGCAATAATTCCATCAGATAGCATCAGTCTTTCAATGTTTAAGTCACAAAGTTTCACATCAAGCATTCAGGTGTGTTTGTTCTGGCAGGTGGTTTTTGTGTCCATAGATATGAAATGTCACTAAACTTGATTAGATTTGTCAGTGATTCAAGGATCACAAAATGTCAGGAATTGTTTGGAAACAATATGAAAGTGTATACACGTATTGATTCCAAATCTTCTTAATATTATGAAATAGCATCAGTTACCCTGTTTATGATCTATAGAGTAGATTATACTACATGTAGAAAGATCTACTACCGGTACATAGTAGATTATACTACATGTAGAAAGATCTACTACCGGTACATAGTAGATTATACTACATGTAGAAAGATCTACTACCGGTACATAGTAGATCATACTACATGTAGAAAGATCTACTACCGGTACATAGTAGATCATACTACATGTAGAAAGATCTACTACCGGTACATAGTAGATCATACTACATGTAGAAAGATCTACTACCGGTACATAGTAGATCATACTACATGTAGAAAGATCTACTACCGGTACATAGTAGATCATACTACATGTAGAAAGATCTACTACCGGTACATAGTAGATCATACTACATGTAGAAAGATCTACTACCGGTACATAGTAGATCATACTACATGTAGAAAGATCTACTACCGGTACATAGTAGATCATACTACATGTAGAAAGATCTACTACCGGTACATAGTAGATCATACTACATGTAGAAAGATCTACTACCGGTACATAGTAGATCATACTACATGTAGAAAGATCTACTACCGGTACATAGTAGATCATACTACATGTAGAAAGATCTACTACCGGTACATAGTAGATCATACTACATGTAGAAAGATCTACTACCGGTACATAGTAGATCATACTACATGTAGAAAGATCTACTACCGGTACATAGTAGATCATACTACATGTAGAAAGATCTACTACCGGTACATAGTAGATCATACTACATGTAGAAAGATCTACTACCGGTACATAGTAGATCATACTACATGTAGAAAGATCTACTACCGGTACATAGTAGATCATACTACATGTAGAAAGATCTACTACCGGTACATAGTAGATCATACTACATGTAGAAAGATCTACTACCGGTACATAGTAGATCATACTACATGTAGAAAGATCTACTACCGGTACATAGTAGATCATACTACATGTAGAAAGATCTACTACCGGTACATAGTAGATCATACTACATGTAGAAAGATCTACTACCGGTACATAGTAGATCATACTACATGTAGAAAGATCTACTACCGGTACATAGTAGATCATACTACATGTAGAAAGATCTACTACCGGTACATAGTAGATCATACTACATGTAGAAAGATCTACTACCGGTACATAGTAGATCATACTACATGTAGAAAGATCTACTACCGGTACATAGTAGATCATACTACATGTAGAAAGATCTACTACCGGTACATAGTAGATCATACTACATGTAGAAAGATCTACTACCGGTACATAGTAGATCATACTACATGTAGAAAGATCTACTACCGGTACATAGTAGATCATACTACATGTAGAAAGATCTACTACCGGTACATAGTAGATCATACTACATGTAGAAAGATCTACTACCGGTACATAGTAGATCATACTACATGTAGAAAGATCTACTACCGGTACATAGTAGATCATACTACATGTAGAAAGATCTACTACCGGTACATAGTAGATCATACTACATGTAGAAAGATCTACTACCGGTACATAGTAGATCATACTACATGTAGAAAGATCTACTACCGGTACATAGTAGATCATACTACATGTAGAAAGATCTACTACCGGTACATAGTAGATCATACTACATGTAGAAAGATCTACTACCGGTACATAGTAGATCATACTACATGTAGAAAGATCTACTACCGGTACATAGTAGATCATACTACATGTAGAAAGATCTACTACCGGTACATAGTAGATCATACTACATGTAGAAAGATCTACTACCGGTACATAGTAGATCATACTACATGTAGAAAGATCTACTACCGGTACATAGTAGATCATACTACATGTAGAAAGATCTACTACCGGTACATAGTAGATCATACTACATGTAGAAAGATCTACTACCGGTACATAGTAGATCATACTACATGTAGAAAGATCTACTACCGGTACATAGTAGATCATACTACATGTAGAAAGATCTACTACCGGTACATAGTAGATCATACTACATGTAGAAAGATCTACTACCGGTACATAGTAGATCATACCAACATTTGGTCTTTTTGGATTTTTTTGTGAATGACTAATTAAGTTATTTAATTCAATTCATTAAATTAAGTTAATAATAAAAATGTAGTCTATTATAACGAGGATATTCTCAGGGTGTATATGTATCACAGGTGAATCCTTTCCATTGCATATTTTTTAATTTTAAGGACAAATTTTAATATAAATGTAAATGCCTCCTAATGTTGTTGTTTTTTAAATATACGTCAGATCTAAAAGACTGTTCATATTAAAGTGTTTATGAAGACATATATCACAACAAACCAAGAACTATTTTCTTACTTTAAATAAAAGTAAAACATGCAATATTTTACTATAAATTTTACATTAAAAACTAAAAATCAATGTTCTTTATGTTTCAGGCGATTATGAAGACATGGACAGAAAACAGCTACTTAGTGCAATTAAAAAATTGGAAAAGGTAAAAAAGAACTTAATACATGTAAATTTTAAATTATAGTTTGATCAACCTTTGTTCTGTGTATATATCAATCTTCATGAATAAGATCAAAACAAGTAAATTGTATTTAATATAACAGTGTCAAAAATTTTGTAAATCATTCATCTTCAGAGGTCAAAGAGTAGGAGGGTTGACGATGACGACGACGATGATGAATCCTTATATTCTGCGAAGAGAGTTGATGTAAAGAAAGGTAATGCTATCACCTCAATATCCACATCACTATTGTTACATGGGATTTCATGGTTAACTCTTTGATTTGTGAAATGAGATGGATCAATAATGAAAAAATGTATGTACCGGGGTATTTAAAAAAAATTAAAATTAAAAAAAATGGAGATGTTTTTTTCTGTTGAGAAAAAAAAAGCATTACAGAAAACTTTCACAAAATCAGTTGCCAATTTCCTTAGGAATATGCATAATATGAACCTTACTTGTTTCTCATAATAAAGATTGGTAAAAGGAGATTTTTTCTATACATACAAAATTTGATAGTAATCGAAATTCATCTGGCTATTATAGGGAAGCTCACCCTTAAAGGAAGTATGGAGGAGCGGCTAGACCAATTGGACAAGAGGGAAACCGAGTTGTTGGACACTATCAATAAACAGACAGACACCATCAAGCGTCTCAAAATCTATCGCAAACGCTGTGAAGAAAAGGAGTGAGTCTTAGACCTTATATTAAATTGCCATTACGCATGATATCTAAACAACAAAATCACCAAGAGACATACTTAAATATTTGTGACATTTAATTACCTCAATTGTGTGGTTTCATTATTCAACATTTAAATATACTGCTAATTCACCTGTGATACATATGCACCCTTAGCATATCCTCGTTATAATAGACTACATTTTTATTATTTACATAATTGAATTTAATAGAATTGAATTAAATCATTTTATAAGTCTTTCACAAAAAATTCCAATTCTGCAACTGTTTAAATTTTGCACCAAAGGAATGTTTATTGTACAATATTTTCACTACCACTTATTACTTATTTTTTATGATATCAGACGTGGTTAAAAATGCCAATTTATACATATCAAGTCAAACTGATGTCAGAATTTTAATTTCCTTGGATGCATAAATAGTATTCAGCAGTTATTATACCCCCACTTAGGAGGGTTGTGGGGAGGTATAAAGTAATCCCTTTGTCAATGCATGTGTGTTTGCATGCGCCCATAGTAAAAAGATATCTCATTAACCCCTAACACATTCAGATTTTTATTTTTTACACCATAGTATGGTTATATGCCTAGATCTGATTAGACTTTGGGGGTGTCAGTCGAGGTTAAAAGGTAAAAGGTCATGTTCAAAGATTAACTTTACCACTTTTGAAGTAAAACCTTGTGTATGAGATCACAAACCTCTTGACAAGTTAAGTCTACATTAACATCGTGGTATTGTAACATTGAGTTCTAAACCTGATTTTAGTGGTCATCAGGCAAATCGGGGTGCCAGGGACTCGGTCTTATACCACCTTATCAATATAAGGTGGTACATCGATGTGAGCCTCTGCTCGATTTGTTTTTATTTTAGCGTTCCCTTCCACCCAACCATTAATTTCTGGAAATAGATCAAACATCATATGACTTGTGCAAATGGATACTTTAAGTGTTAATTGTCATGCGTACAAGCAGGTTATTTTCGTAGGGGTTTCATTTTGGTGACTTAGCTGTTGCAGCTTATTTGATTGATTGAAAGAAAACCACCACAATTTGGTATTAAGAAAGCTAAAAATTCAATAGTTGACACATTGGAAATAGAAATTGATGCTGTGGGTTTATTTGTCTGTAAAATGTCCTTGTTTCTTTTTTTTCAGTAAAGATATAAAGGTTCTAGAAGAAGAACTAGGAGGCAGTGGTGTAATATCCGCCCGGCGATCACCCACTCCCAGAACGTGTGTATTTTGTATTCATGTCATCTTTATTTTCCCCACTTCTGTGATACCTTGTTAGGGCTAGATGTAAATGTTGCATAATCTGTCAAACTGTTTGTTTTATTTATTGATACGCATCAAAACATAATTGGTAGTTGTTTTTTTCACTGGTTGTATTTTCTCCAAAAACCTGTTTGAGGTTAACAAAAATCAGCTTTTTACAGGGTCCGAGTAATGTTTCTTTATGATTTGTATATGTACATCTTAATTAATATCTATCATAAATTAATATAATGAAGTTGACTGTAAAACGGTTAGATAGAATACCATAGAATACAATGTTTATCACTAGTTACCTGTTGGCATGTTGTTTTGTCGTGTAGCAGTCGCCCCCCTTCTGGACGACGAGCGTCTATGGAAAGCACAATGTCTGATGACCGTCGAAGCGGAAAAAAGAGCATTGATTCAGCACAGGATAGTGCTGCACGCAAAATACAACAAGGATGGAAGAAGAAACAGTCTGACAGAGAAGAGGTGAGAAATTTTCACAGTGTGACTGCTTACTTATTAGTGTGCTGAACATTGTCAGAGTAGTTCACTGTTTCAGTAGATTTATGCTAAGATAACTTGGCTATATTGTATATAAAATCAAAATTAGACTCGTAAATGTTGTAACTTTACAGCAGTGAATAGAAACATTGAGTATATAGAGAAGACAACAATTTATCACCTCAATATTGATGTAGTTTACACCTACTAAACTTTATCTATAGAACATTTCTGATATACTAATACCTTATATACATAGAATTTTACTTTTTAAGTTCAATTTTGTTGTTCCTTCAAAATAAACAAAATAAAAACAAAATATAATTTACTGACTGAAATGTATTGATAAGAGATGAAAAAAGCGAACTCCATCCTGAAACGTGTTGTGCACATTTTTTTATAGCAAGAGAAGGCAGATTACGAAAGGAGACTGAAGGCAGGTTTTGTTATATGTATTGTGATATGCTTTGAGGGATTTGATATTATGTGTGATTGTAATGTCCTATTCCTGCATGAACAGAAATGGTGGCTTCCTTTGTGAGCATGGGGGTATTTGTCTGCAGCATGTGGCATGTTTGTTATCACTAGCGATACACTTTTGAATTATGATAGGTTATAGGTAATAATCATATTGGTTAATAGTTCAATTAATTTAAAGTCAAAATACAAATTTCAATGCATTATGTATTAGATGTATTGAATATAATCTGTTGAAATCTGTTTTCATAAGTATTTTTACTGAATAAAATAATGTATGTAACTTGATGAAATCTTAATTCAAAAGTGTTTACTGTGTAAATAAATAATTTTCACTTGTTGAAATCTTAATTCAGAAGTGTTCTGTGAAAATAATATTGTGATATTTGACCTTTAATCTGCACAGAACAAAACTTTAATCCACGACAGGGAATTTACATAATTAAAAACTTGACGGATTATAGCCAATATTTTCTTCCTTTATCATGTCACATATTTACCGAGTTTATAAATATCACGTCACATATTACTGAGTTATGAATAAAAACCATATAGCAATGATTCAAGTACCTGTAGTAATCTGAAACAATTCAATATTTGATTCCATAGATCAGAGATATTTCAGCTTTCATTTAGATTGCTTGCTTATCTTTCTCAGCTTTATTTAATGCCTATCAGTTAGAGTACCACTATCAGCAAAGATACATGTATTCAGAATTAAAATGCTTGCAATTGAAATATTTGATACATTTCTGTATTTAAATTGTTCTCTGAAATAACAAATCAACAAATAATTGTTGCCGATTAGATAGAACTACTAGTTAACCTTTTAGGCATTGTTCAATATCAGTAAGGACTTTTCAGTATTGTATTAAAATATGAACCATTTATGATATTGGCTATATTAAAGTTTTGTCCAGGTTTTTCCTTTTGTCCAGGTTTTCCTTGATCATTAATCCTGGTCTTTTCATGTACTGCTTCTCAGTGCAGAAGTTACTCTAAGTCACTTTACTTCAGTGATCAATTGTATGTATCTCATACAGTGAGTAACCAACACTGACCAAATATGTTCATGTACTAAACGTTTGTGTTTAACTTGTGCATGCCCGAGTTGGTAATGTGTGCCATTAACACTAATGACATTATTCATTTCTTATCGTTTACATTTAGTATATTGGGGACATGCTAATAATAGGAAAAATGGCTGAACAAACATGTACATGCTCTTTCTGACAAAGTCTCTTACATTTAAGGATACTATTCCATCTTAAAAACTGTAACTTTGATTGTCAAATAACTTCAAAATTTGTTTATTTCTGATTAGTCCAAAAGAGGAAAGAAACATTAATATTCAGCAATTGTATTTCACAGGAATTTTAATGTCACAGCCAGATAAATGCACAAAAAAACCACCCTGCAAATTTGTTGACAGATTGAAACGTAGTGAGGACAATTAAAATACTGCAAATTGTTCCAGGGACAATTGGATTAAAAAATTATCTACAAATGTTTGAATTTTGAACTCTAATAACTTTTTTCTGATATAACAAGGCATTCCATTAGTTTAGAAAAATGTAGACACGGAAACCATGATATGATATTTAAAATTAACAATATTTTTACCCAATAAATGTACATCTGACCAAATAAAATTTCAACAACACTTTGTGTTTTAGGCGGCTGAGCGTCTACAGGAAAAACATGCTGTGCGAACAATAGAGAAAAATTGGACAAATTACAAAACTACAAAGAAAAGACAAGACCAAGAACAGGCAGTATGTTACAGTTTCTTGCAACTTTGAATATAAGAACATGATATTAAAACTATGAGTAAGGGAACTTTGTGAAACCATTTATGTCCTGGTAAGAGGCTGAAACCATATATGTCCTGGTAAGAGGCTGAAACCATATATGTCCTGGTAAGAGGGCGAAACCATACATGTCCAGGTAAGAGGGTGAAACTATATATGTGCTGGTAAGAAGGTGAAACCGTACATGCCCTGGTAAGAGGGTGAAACCATACCTGCCCTGGTAAGAGGGTGAAACCACACATGCCCTGGTAAGAGGTTGAAACCATATTTGTCCAGGTTAGAGAGTATGTCCTAATAACCAGAGAAATAGACAAGATTCACAAATTATTGAGTATGTTAAAGATCTTGTAAGATATATGGTCCACTACTGTAGATACCCAGACTATCATTGCTATTATTTCAGAATTTTGTATTATGATCCTCCTCTGAGAGGGTCTTAGATAGCCCCCCATAACACCTTACCAATATAGGACAGATCTATGTAGAACAAATATATTGTGTTTATTTGTGCATGAATTTCACTCTTCTATTGAACCTATATATAGTTTTCATTTTTTTGTCTTTCTTATAAATATATATAATATATGCACTTGTATTTCTGTTTCTTTTATGTGTGATTGTCAGGAATTTTTCCAGCAAGATTTCGTGTAAAATTTTCTGAAACAGAAGAAGAATTCTTTGAAAATAAGTTTTTGTGTCAAGCTTTTTACTACATTAGAGATTAGGTGAATTTAGAAATCAAATGGGAATGTTTTCTTGAAAAATTTAGAAATACCATAATGTGTTCCATTTCATTACACATTGATATCAAGGTCTTAATTTCTACTAATATCTATCAACTCTAAAAGAAGGATACACAAAAACAAAATACTAAATGCTTTGTATTGAGACAGGGTTAAAGAGTAATTCCAAAATGGATATATTGTTTGGAAACTTCCAAAATTATACTGGTCGAAGATTAATATCTGTAAACCATGGAATTTTCACCTGTTTAATTTTCGCTTTTTTCACCCACCTGAATGAGAGTGATTATGTTCTGACAGTGAATATCAATAGATAGGGATTTTACAAGTAAATGGCAAAAGTTTCTTGGTAGACACCATGTCCTTAAAAATGTTCGTCAGACTACCAGATACCTACACATCCTCCAATGTTTTCATATCTTCCCAGTAGAATCACATATTTTCAGCTATATCTTCTGAATCTTGCACAGTATAATGTATGTACTATGTTATTATATATTTGAAGTTATAGCTCCACCATGCATGAAATATGTTTCTGAACCAGCGCCATGATGCAAATATTCCTATTAATTCTATCGCTTTGATTGTAAATCTTTCTTACCCTTGCACACTTGATAATGCACACAGGATAAAATACAGAACTTCCGAGAGGAAAGGGCAGCCAAGAAAATCCAAAAAGAGTGGCTCGTCCACAAAAAGCGCCAGTATGACGATGAGGTGGAAGACGTAGGTATCCAAGGGATAAACTCACTGTACATGGCAAGATGGTACAATTTCTATCAAGGCAATGGAAAAATGGTAGCTTCTACAAAAGATATGTAGAAACAAATTAAATTTAGTCTGAAAAATACCCAGGTAACAAGTTTTCAATGGGAAATTTTAAAAAAATTGACAATGATTTTGATTATCAAATCTCTGTAGGAAATTAGATCATTTTTGCCAATCATTTTGTTTCCTAGTCACACCTGCACCAGCTCTATGATGATTCATTGTTTTCACACACATTTACTTGATTTTTTTAACATCATTCAAGGAAATATGTCATTTCACAAATAACAGCACCATTACATGTTATTCTGTGTACAATTATTCTATTCACATCACTCAATGTTCTACCTCATTATTAAGCAATTTTATGTAACCACATCTTTCGTGATTGTAGATCAATTTATTTTCATGATAGTGTTTCAGACAAAACTTGGTTAACTGGATGATTTCAAAACTCCTAACTCCAAAGCTTCATTGGAAAGTGAATCACTGCAATGTTGTTTACTATATCAGTTATAAAGTAGAGGTAGCTTCTTTTTGTAGCTCTTTTCACACAATAACTCACTTCGTGGCTGTTTTTAAAAAGCATTTGAAAGAATATTAGAATCAGGAAAGTTATTGTTGTCCATCCAAAAAAAAGTAAAAAGATCACTCAATAATGCAGTAGTACAATTAAGTACAATACATTGTATTCTGATGTGGTACAATGTGCTTAGCAGACAATGATTAAAGATGACAATTGTCTAATGATATGATGATCTTGTTAACTTTTACTTCTTAAAGGGGCTGGTCGGGGAAAAGATTATAAAATAAATGGGTCTAAATGCGTTCCCTGGCCTTCCAAAAGTTATACCATGGCAATATGATGGTCGAGTTCTGCTTGCAATGTCCAGTTTTGACCACTGAAATATCGGGGAAGCCCTGCGTAAATTTAGCGCAGATCTATTTATATATGTCAAGTGGTTGTTTCGAAAGTGAGGCAGTGAAGATAACAACAATAGCACGCCGTCATGTGCCATGTCAGACTCAACTAGCGGACAAGACAGCAATACTATACGTAAATAATTGTTTTCAAAGGTCATGTATGATGCAAGTGTAGTATTCCTACCTATATGTTGTTGTTATATATAACGGTATTGATACCTCGTGCCTGTCATGACTTTTGCATGCATCTTTTTCTTTCGCCGCGATGTTTACATTTGGCCTTGTTGATGACGCGCGTGCGGTAAAATTACATCACTGATCTGGGTCAATTGAGAGTTTTAGACTGTCAAGGTGACGATTAAGGATTTCTTTAATATAGTTATAATTTTTACTCTTAGGGAGTGAATTTCAGCAAAATTTGTATCGGTATATTTCATAAGAAGGTATTTTAAACATGTGTATGCCATTTTAGCAAATATGACATTTTTTCCCCGACCAGCACTTATGTGTGAGAAAAAGGAGATAAATTTGCAATGTACCCTTATTTATTCAATATTTTAGAGTTCACTATAAGGTCATCAATGTTCCCCTCTGTTTCTTTTAAATTTATTTTCATAGATGATATATTCAGTATAAAGCAAAATTTTCATGTGAGTAAATTACAAATCTCAAAGTATAGGAATCTGTACCTACAGGCATCATGGTAACCATATCTGTTTTACCTGTATGACAATCACCTTGGGCTACAAATCTAGAGCTGATACCGGCATCATTTATCAGTTTAAATTTATGAAAATCTCTCCAGGCTACAGAGCTGATACAGGCATCCATGCGGGGTCACAAAACCAGAAAGGGACGTATGAAAAAGATGCGTGAGCGAGATTATGATGACAGTTACTCGGATGAGAAGGAGTATGATGATGCTGTAAACCTTATCCAGTCCAGTTTCAAAGGTCATGTTGGCCGCAAGAAGAAGCTTAAGAGGTAAATGTTGGTCATGTTGGTCATATTGTTTTTCATTTTTGTTGACAATTTGCTTGTCACAAGGGCAAATAAGTTCAAGTGATGCTATGTCTATTTTCGATCATTTAAAAAAAGAAAAAAAACAAGCAAGCATAAACAACATGTATATATTATCAGCTGATCCTCAAACTTATTAGAAGAAACATTTTTTTTAGGTTGGATTAATTATAAATAAGTAACGGGTAAATGTTGTTTTCTCTAGAATGGAGTATGATGATGACACCGGTGATGACTACGAGCAGCTGTATACTAGAAATCCAAGCTCAGCAAGCTACAAAAACCGTCCAGGCTCCTTAGAGAGAGGTAGACCAGGCTCAGGGGAAAGGATCCGACCAGGCTCAGGGGAAAGGATACGACCAGGCTCTGGGAGTCGGCCTAGCTCAGGTAAGATTCTATTAAAAAAAAAAAAAATCTCTAGTAGTGATTAAGGCTACCTTTGATATGTACACCATGCTGTTCATGGCTTTTGCCAAATCAGTCAATTCTGCTTTCTGTATTCGCTGTATAACTTTCCAGTAATTTTTATTTTAAACTTATAAAATTTAGCCAGTATATCTGGAAAAGCTTTATTTAGATTTCTGTCAAGTTAGAAAAACAATCCACTTCAAACAAAAAGAAATACAGTATAAAGGAATACATGTACTTGTAAATGTTAACATGGCAGGATTACAAAGTTTCCATTCTTATACAGAATTCCTAAATATTATGGGAGATGCAAATCTAATACATCTGTAATTAAACGAATGGGTTGGTTCTTAATACACGAAGAAGAATATCTAAGTGTAGGAAGTACATGGTCATGTTTTTCATGGATTAATACCTATCTTTTCTGTACACAGCACTGTCAAGAGGAAGTATTTCATCAAAGGTAAGCGAAGAAAAAGCATCTGTCAATGGTAGAGAATGATATAGTTGTAGGTCTTTTATTCCTAGAATCTGGTTTTATAGTGTGAGAGCTGTGTTCTTTATCAATTTAAGTAATAATCAAGAAGACAGTATTTTATAACCATCCTTGTAAGTTGACAATTACTATTTAAAATATGTCTGGATGATCTCTGTGCATATTTTTATTTTTATTTTGACAGCGGAGTTTTACTGGTAGTGTTGGGAGAACAACCACAGCAAGCTATCATCAGAGAATGTCTGACCACGAGGATGACAGACACTACTCCACTGGTAGGACCACTCCCACTGGGAGACCGCCATACCAACGAGCATCAGATTATGATGATGATGATGACATTGAATTTTAGCAAAATTTTCCAGATTAGACATTTTATGATACTTTGACATTCAACAGTGTCAGGACTCCCGTGGATGTGTCTTTGACAAGAATATGTTATCCGTGTCATGCAAGAGTTTAGAAGGCCTTTAGAGATCTGTAGTGGGGTAATGGTTCTCTGGATCTCATCTTATCATGATCATCCGTCCTCTCCCAAACTTCTACATATTCCGTTTTCCAGTCTGTGATATTTCCATTTATTGTACTTTTCCTCGATATAGTGCAGCAATTTATTTATGTTTATCTAATAATATTGTGTCCAATTTGTTGACACAATGAAGCTACATTAGATAGTTGGATCTATCTTAATTATAAATCATGTCTACTTAAAACATATTTGTATATTTCTTCCGACTAAATTATCAATTATTTTTAAGATAAGTGCTTCTATTGACAACCTGCTAATGCTTCAGATGTAGATAATTTGTCAGACATACCAAACTGAAATCATTGGAATCAATTGTTATGGTATTAACTTTCAGGTTAGTTAAACACATTTTAAAGTCATTGGTTTATCACAATTTTTAATGACCTTACATGTATTGAGGTATAATTCTCTCATAACAGCTTGCTTCACCTTTTAAAGTAGCTTTTTTATACAGTATGTAGCATATAAACTGAGCATGGCTTACAAACAGCCATGTTACAAACCTCTTCTTATATCCTCTTTTTTGATAGATTTTCAGATTTAATGTTGTTATTCGAAGAATATTCCTAATTTGACATATCTTAATAAACATATTAAATCTTACAGACCCATTAATATCTTTAAACTTAATACACTGTACAAGTATAACATTAGTTTATGAAAGAGGCTTACTTGCAGTATTTTTGTACTTTATGTTAAGTTTGCATTAGAAGACTTTTAAGTATTGTGTTTAGGGTATAGTGTTTAATAAGGAGCTACATTTTTTTTTTACATTTGTTGTTCATAGGATCTGACAGAAAAAATACAGAATTATTGCATTGTATTTACCTTGTTTGTAGAATTAACATGTACAGAATACAGGCGAACATTTCGGGAGTTTATAGTTTTAGCTGGTCTTGGGCCTCCTAGTGTTTGGTAGGTCTTCCTTAATATACCAGAATTTTAAAAAGTTAACAATGTTTCCAGACAAAAAGAATGAAAATTGCCTCCCTGCAACTTTATACTGAAATTTGATTGTAACATGTCATTTAATGGTAAATACGAGGGTAATACAGGGATATTATCTAGAATGGAAACTGTAGGGTTGTATCATAGCACTGTACACTATTCCTTATGGTATAGATAACTATTACCAGTACAATGCTCCATTCAATCAAACACTTTGCCATTTATCAGTCACAGAAACAGAAAATTATGTCACTCAATGTTTGGGTTATCTAAAGTATTCTCATCAGTGTTAAGTGAAACAATTTTCCAGTCGACACATGTAAAGTTGATACTTAGTCACAGATTTTTGGCTGTCTGTCTCAAAAAGATTTTGCAATCACACATTTAGTCGATTATTCTGACTGTATTTGATATTAATCTTTGCATCCTTTCAATTGTTCAATGTCATGAAATTAAATATGGAATCTTGAACTTGGATAATTTGGTCCATTATATTTTTGTAATACATACATATGATATATGTACTATGAAACAGAAGCCCAGCAATGTGGTTGGTACAATAATCATTTGCATGACGTTCACTTGTTTAGCAAGCAATTCATCATAAAATTAATATACTTGTAGTTTTTTATGTATGTATAAACATCCGACGTTTGTCCTACTGGTTTTTGGAGAGTTTCACAAAAAACTCAACTGTCAATCTCATTACATGTTTTCCTTTAGTACAATGTAGAATAAAATTCATATTAAAGCAGTGTTGACGATTGAACATTCAGTGTGATGTGGTCAGTTTTAATTAATCGAAGTAATTAAAAACAGCAATTTTAATTCACAATATTAAAACAGGTTTGACCCATATTATGAATGTTATATGGATTAGAATGATTATAACTTAGAACTTCAATATGTAGCATATAAGGGTAATGCAAGTCCTACAGTACTGCTTGACTGTTAGATTTTGTACCTTTAAATTTATTTATGACATTTTCTAAACAAAATATTTTCAGAATGTTAAAAGATAACTTCTAATAAAAAAAATTGTATATCAACAATTGTTTGTTTTTGTATTGTTGCGCATTGATGAACTTTATTTGTATTTTCTAATTTAAACTGTCATTCCTATGGCTTCAGCCAAGGAGGTGGGGATGCCTTACTAGGAGGAGTCCATTACCCCTTCTAAGCCAAACATATCTTTCCGACCCGAAACCTGTGTTTATAGGTAATCTTTGTTTTCCTTACTATATGCTTTATTAGAACTTCCAGGTTTAACTGTATCTGTGGTAAACAGAAATTCTTCCAACACCTTACAGCAGATGCAATGTGATGATGCTTAATCATTAGTTTTCGAGAGCATGCTTCACTTTTCAGCATGTGTGTACCAATTTGTAAGGCTGAGGATGCTGTATCAATCACATGTTGCCATGGAGACGGAACAGATCCTGTATGACTAAACATGTAATGTTGGAGGTTTAACTGCCATGTATAATATGCAGTAGATAAATTGTGGATGTAATCTCAGGAGAAGCTATAAAATGTGAACTACCCTGGGACATGTACTAGCCCTTGTGGCTGATGATAAAACCTATGCTGATCTTGCTTTGGCAATTTTTGTCTGTCAAGACAAACCTATGGAAACACATGCTGTATATTTTCTTTGACAAATTGCATTCACCTCTACAGTTTACATCATAGAAAATCACTGAACAATTATGTGAAGATATTATACTGATTTCTTTATTCGCAACATAATACAGGTATAGCACATCTGTGCTCTTAACTGTTAACCAGAACTTCCTTTCCGAAATTAATCACAATTAATTTCTGTCTCCTTGTTGGTTACAGTTACTTCCCTACAGACAGTCTGCAATAATGACACAAAGAACATGGTACATACATTGGGGTTATAGTTACAGACCTCCTATTTATATCTTTTGTAATACTACCAGTCACATCTTAGCATTGATCTTCATTCGGTTTATCCAAGAATTATAACATCCAGATGACACAGCTGCAAATATCTCCATCATATTGCAAACAAATTATTTGGGTAATAACAAATTTCAGAAATCAACAACAATGATGAGTGGTCAGCATGTGGAATATCTGTTTATATTTGTAGTGGAAGCTCATTAATCCAAGCTAAAACAGTCCAGGAATGCCACTGCCTGGACATAATGTGTAGAAATCCCACTGCCTGGACACCCATGTGCAGGAATTGAAATGCTTGGGTACTAATGTGTAGAAATTTCACAGCCTGGACACTTATGTAGAACTGATATCCAAACATTTACTCAAAACTATTCAATTGATAGATGAAACCAAAGCAACCGGACTAACAAGGATCCACTGTCAAAATGTCTCAGATGGAGCCAGTCAGGATAATGCACTTAGTCACTCCGACAGCTGTAGTCAGCCAGTCTCGACAGATGTTTCCAGCGCAGGTTTTGAGTGTTCATCCTCAGGCTCGCCCTCTGCTGCAAGTCCAAAGGATTTGAGAACTTTATGCTGGCGTGTGTTTCTTAGCTTTTTCAAGTCCTCAGCATATTGTTGTTCTCGCAACAACTGTTTCCTCTGTTCCTCCAGCTCGCGTTTGTGTTCCTGATATGCTCGGGTTGTCTTAATTAGTTCTAATAACTCCCTCCTAAGATTGCGGTTTTCCGTTTTGATTGCATTTGTATGGTCTGTGAGACACTGTATGGCCTCCTGAAATGGAAATCACATAAGGACTTAAAACAGTATATTTGTACGCAGCATAATGCAATTATGTAGAGACGAACTGTTTTCATTTTCTAAAGTGGTTGTAAGTGGTATTGCCAACTGAACTTCTGTATGTTGATATGAGGGTTTAATCCTTTGTAAAAGTATTGAGATTCAGCATTTTTATCTCCTGATTATAAATGGGTTATTAACACGACCAAATCATTTGTTAGATAGAACTCTAAACAAGATCATGATCCATTTACAGAACAAAACAGTAGGCTACCGACCAGACAGGTCTGCTTCAAAAGTAATTTAAGTGACTGAGCAAACGTTAGTTATTAACGTACCTTGTTGGCCTTTTTCTGTAAAGTAGAAATTCTATTTTCTGAATCATTTTGGAATTCCCTTTTGTCTCTGAGGAAAGTGGATTTGAGTGACTGGATGGTTTCGGAGTGTTTCGTCCTCATCTGCATCACCTCCTTCTCCAGCTCCTTGATCTTGTTGAGTTGTTCTGTTTGTAAGGTCTGGTGAAGAAATTGCAACAATTGTACAGTCCTGTCTAATGTTTTCCACAGTTCACAATCACATAACCAGCTGACTAATGAAGGATCAATTCATATATAATTGTAATTGCTGCAGTTGAAACAATTGCTGTCTCCAAATAAATGACTCATATATATTAATCTTAAACTTATTCTTTAAAACATTATCAACCTGTCTTAATCAATGGACAATATAAATTGTCTGTTTAACCTCCAAAAATATCATAACCACTCCCGAAGGACCCGAGTTTGAATTCCTGGTAATTATGTATGTGACCTCGACCTTTCCTACAGTCTGTTACACTGGCTTAAAAAGCAATCATGTTCCACCACACCTGTTCCAAGGAGAACTGAACATCTGTGTTTAATAAGTGACATCAACCTTTGACCTAGTGACCTAGCTCATAGCCCATGCATCCTGGTTTCTGAAGTGTTTGAAGTTTTAGTACTCTAGGTCAAGGAAAACTAAAACTGTTGTTTGTTGTTCGTGGATAAATCAGTATATGTCTTCCTCTATACAGACTGATAAATTACTCATAGCAGTCAATCTACAAGGCTAACAATGTTAATGTGGTTCATGTGTATGTATTTTTTTTATTTACTCAATTATTTTTAATAGTAAAAGATGCAGGTAAAGTTCAGTATATGGCGTATGAAATAATAAATTTCCATATGAAATGTGTGATAGATTACATACATGTTATAAAGACAATAGGCAATTCAATAAAAGCGCCCATACTTGTTGACATATGTACTATATATAGACAATAAAGAACCGGACAAGAAACCCAATGCTAGCCAACATAAACATACCTTTAGTGGGGTTAGGTCTCCCAACTCATCTTTCGTCTTTTTTAATGAATTTTGTTTTTCCAGGAGCAAAATTTCAAGTGCTGTTCAAGAGAAGAAAGAAATGTTCTATAAATTGAAAGTACACAGTAATTTAAAATACAAATAATTGGAAAGAAACTGCATGAACAATTTTTATTTTTATTTTCAATTCAGTAACATGTACTAGGTCTTCATTTGATAGTTATCATCTCAAAGAAAACATTCATCTGTCATTTTATTGTGACTATTCATATTAATACTATGTAAACCTTACTCTGTTTTCTTTCATCAAACTCCCTTTCCATGATTTCCTTTTCCAAAAGGATATTGCGGATTTGCTGTTTGTTGTGATCACTCAGTGTGATGATGGTTGTCTGTCTCTTGCTTGTCTTCTTCTCCATGTAACTCATGTATTCATGCTGTAATAAGAGACAACCCGTTATTGTATTCATGCTGTAATAAGAGACAACCCGTTATTGTATTCATGCTGTAATAAGAGACAACCAGTTACATATACACCTCATGTATTCATGCTGTAATAAGAAACAACCAGTTATCTATGTAACTCACATATTCATGCTGTAATAAGAGACAACCAGTTATCTATATAACTCATGTATTCATGCTGTAATAAGAAACAACCAGTTATCTATGTAACTCATATATTCATGCTGTAATAAGAGACAACCAGTTATCTATATACCTCATGTATTCATGCTGTAATAAGAGACAACCAGTTATTTATATAACTCATGTATTCATGCTGTAATAAGAGACAACCAGTTATCTATAAACATCATGTATTCATGCTGTAATAAGAGACAACTTGTTCCTATATCACTCATATACAGTTATTTATATACCTCATGTTTTCATGCTGTAATAAGAGACAACCCATTATCTATACACCTCATGTATTCATGCTGTAATAAGAGACAACCAGTTATATATATAACTCATATATTCATGCTGTAATAAAAAAACAGTTATTTATATACCTCATGTATTCATGCTGTATTTAAAGAAACCAGTTATCTATATAACTTGTGTACTCACGCTGTAATTAGAGACAAACATTTATCTATATAACTCACACATTCATTCTGTAATAAGAGAAAACCCATTAGCTATATAACTCATGTATTCATGCTGTAATAAGAGGCAACCAGTTATCTATACACTTCATGTATTCATGCTATAATTAAAGAAACCAGTTATCTATACACCTCATGTATTCATACTGTATTTAGAGAAACCAGTTATCTATATACATCATGTATTCATGCTGTAATAAAAGACAACCCATTATCTATATAACTCATGCATTCATGCTGTAATAAGAGACAACCAGTTACATATACACTTCATGTATTCATGCTGTAATAAGCGACAACCAGTTATCTATACACCTCATGTATTCATGCTGTAATAAGAGACAACCAGTTATCTATACACCTCATGTATTCATGCTGTATTTAGAGAAACCAGTTATCTATATACATCATGTATTCATGCTGTAATAGGAGAAAACCTGTTATCTATATATAAATTGTGTATTCATGCTGTAATAAGAGACAACCAGTTATCTATATAACTCATGTATTCATGCTGTAATAAGAGACAACCAGTTATCTATACATCTCATGTATTCATGCTGTAATAAGAGACGACCAGTTATCTATATAACGCATGTACAGTATTAATTAGTACAGTATTCATGCTATAATAAGTTGTGATATATATATGCTGTAAGAAGTCAAAAACTGATTTCATAATGCTTAGATAAATCGAACAATAAAGATTTTATAATTAAAACTAAATAAATTTTAACGGACACCCATACTTTTATGATATATATATAGCTATTAGCTAGTGATAAATTGTGCTATTACTTACGCTCTCATTGCGGACTCTGTTAGCCTCTTGTTGTAACCAATCATTCTCCTTTCGTCTGCATATTTCGTTAAGGATTAAAAAGTAACAATATTATGGATGATAGGGGAAACACAGTAACCAGTATATCCACCAAGGTTTGAATTATCTTCATACATATAGAAAATAATAATTACCTTTAAAAGTTAAATATTTTTATGTGCATCTGTTTCAACAGAAATCTCAAAAGTTAACTGGAAACTGTTAGATCATGGTACAGTGGGTCATCTGATTACAAACTGATTACAAACTAGTGTCACTGTCAGCACATGGCTGTGAATTATAGTTATTTACCAGTGTAGACTATTAGGTCTGTAACATGGTTTACCATTCCACTAACCTGACCAGGATAGTAGATCGTATATCAGGGCAATACATAGGTCGGGATAGTAGAATTGTTCACAACCTACCTGCAGGCCATTATTTAGTTTAGAATATGAATTTGGAAACCTCTACAAAGCCAATACAATAGTACAATGTCCTTGTTATATAGAGAACACTATTATATGTACTTGTTAAACAGATACTGTTTATTGTAATTATAATTTATATGTTTATTACTTAGTACAGTTGGTATCTCCCGACTCCCTTAGGGGAAACAGATTTTTATTTTATTGTTTGTTTTACCTAAATTCTGGATAAGCAATGAAGATAAATGTATTCAAATAAGAAAGGATACAGATCTTCAACTTTTTTCCTTGCATTCTCCAAATCTGTCGTCACCTTTTCCAATCTGAATGAAAATGTATTTATATAATAACAACAACACAGGATATAGGTACCTAAGTAACAATTAACGTCCAAACAATGACTGATAAAATCATGATAATTAGCTGGGGTACATTCGCGTATCTGGTTGAAACGGTTCAACCTATAAAGAAAACAACAGGCACAGATCTGGACCGCGAGGCTGACCTCAGGAAAATTTGGCACATGTAGATTGAGGGGTCCAGACGTACCTGACCGAAACTAAAATGCTGACTATTGCCAGTTTGCGTTATTTCTTTCAAAAACAATGTCAAGTCACACGTAGTTTTTAAGATATGTTATGTAATTCAGTGGATGGATGAAAGAAGGTGATAACAAGTTGTTTTTTATTCTCCAAAACGGTGCATTTTTAGCTCTGCTTATAGAACGGTACTATTGCGTTCGTTTATCGTGGATTATTTCTGTGCCACACCGTACCATGGTAACGAATAAACTAATGTATTTTAGTATTATAAACAATATACAAAAAAAGTATCTCATTACAGTACTGTAGTCATTTGTAAGGTGTGTGTTTTTCATTTATATTGCTTTTTTTAAATCTTTGTTACGAATAAATGAAAGAAAAAGAAAAGGGGTAACGTTAAGTCGATATATGTTGTGTGAATCGTCATATGTAACTGATGTTTTTGTGATGACAGGTACAAATAATTCTCCAACATTCATTTAGAGCATGATGCATGTTGGTCGACCAAGAAATAACGTCTTTAATTACTCACTCTTGTTGAAGAATCAGCTCTTTTTCTGTAGGCTCAGGGGTTGCTGGCTTTTGTTTAGGTTCATCACCGTCGTCATCTTTGCCACCCTTTCCTTTCTTCCCTTTTTTCCCACCCTTTTTCTTTGGAGGCATTTTCAAAATAACCACAAGAAATGGCGTCCTTGGTGACTACGGTAACAGGTGCTAGCTTTTATTGTAGTTTCGTAGTTTTTCATTTCTTTAAAAGTATTACACCGTGTTTGCCTTAATTTAATCTTATATTTAAAAGAATATATATGTTATCAAATTCAAGTGCTTTTTGGATGAGATTGATCCCTTTCAGAATTAAAAATAATACGAAACCGAGCGTCAATAATTACTTTTTTTTCTTCTAAAAATGGCGGCGCCCATTGAACAACCGGTGAAACGTAAAACTACTAAATTACCGCCAGAAATTGATCTAACGTCTCCACATTTTGACCCATCAAAGGCACTCTTTTCTAGTCACGTACTGCTGCCATTTGCATCTGCAGAACCACTTGACAATTTGGCGAGGTTCGAGAGTTGGTCTAAACAGTCAAAGAAAAATGAAGCTATCCACAATCTCGAAAATCTACCAGTTGAAGTTGAATCAGAAAGGAAGCCAATACATAAAATAATTGTAAAACCAGCTACTGTTGATTTATCCAAACACTCTGGAAGGCATCGAAATAAACTCAACAGAAATGTGCTTACACGAATGAAAGGTTAGTCTTGTGAAATGTCAGACATTTCGTCCCGAAGTAGTTATTTCCCTTTAATCAGCACATACACGAGTGCATACAATTACATATTGGATGGGAAATATGATGAGATTGAGAGTGACGCATTATGAAATTCTCCTATTTATTTAATTTCATAGCCCGAGTTTCCTCTGGCCCTGTCACCAGACTTGGACATTTTGACGGATAGATGTCTGATGTAGGCCAACACCAGACATATATCTGTCCAAATGTCTAAGTCTGGTGTCAGGGCCAGAGTAAACTGGGGCTAATAATTTCCCTGAATAATAATAATATTTATTCTGTAAAAGCAAGATACAGGTACAAATATCACATATGATCACAGATTTCAATTGCATAATAATCACAGATTTATCACAGTATTTAGATTATCACATCAAAGTTAATATCACAAATTTTGGAGCACTATAAATACAATGTATCTGTTTGACTAAGCTTTAACCTAGGATATCCCATGAAAGCTGGGTGGCAGCTTATTTCCAATGGGGTCCTCTAGTATAGATCTTAATTACTTAGATAACAAAAGGTCCTAAGGATTTGACCTTATAATATGAATATAAGATGGTATAATTTCTCGTAATAATATATATATGAATAGAATAAGTTGTAATTGGTCAAATATGATGATGATATATTATTTCATCAAAATAAGATGTTATTTTATTTGACGGTATAAGATGGAGTTGTCATTAGCAAATATGATTTCCTTCTGATAATATATATATGTGGGGCTATGCATGATGTTGTTTCCACTTGTAATATTAAAATATCAGTTATATGTATCACTGTACATATCATAATGCAAGATGATGTCATTCTTGCAGATATTAAGTAACAATATAAGATGGTGTTAGGCCATATACATTTATACTGTGGTACTTGTGTGTAGAACAGACAACAGGTGGTTGGGCAATCCCTACCAACCTATTATCTGTCTAACAAATTATAGCAATTTGGGGTATAATACATATATAAAAATGACTTTTAATAAAATAAAGACTGAGGATGATGGTAATAAAATCTTCCATAACATTTATAAAAAGTACATATTATATTGGTACTTTAGTTAAAATTTTGGTAATACATCATATATTTTTAGAAGAAGTTTAGAGTCACCCACTGGGATAGAATAAAAATTACCTTTAGAAGACAAATTCTTGCTCAAAATCATTTTTTGCCAAAACTTGTAAGTACTTTTTTATCTCGCTTTTGAATTTCTTCTTGTGATCGACAGATTTTATTGAATGTGGTAAGTTATTCCAATCTTTGATAGCATTATAGAAAAAAGATGATGATTCCACACCTTTTATATAAGGAATGTTGAAATTCAGATCACTGTTCCTGGTAAAGTGTTTTTTCTCTGTTCTAGTAAAATTTTCTTTCATATAGGATGGACATTTGTTATGTTGAATATTAAAGACATGGTTAAAACGGAGCTGTTTTACCCTGCCCCTAAAATCCAACATATTAGCTTGTTCCAATTCCTGATGGGTGACTCTTGATCTATTATCAAGTTTCATTTGAAATTGTGTAATTTGTAGTTTTTGTCGAAGTTTTTTGGATATGTTTTCGAACCAGAAGCTAGAAGCATAGTCAAAATGACATTGGATCAGTGCAGACACCAGGGTTTTAAACCAATTATAGCACCACTGAAACAAAATTCAACTTTTTGTCTTTAAAAATGACGAAATCTCTCCAACAGTGCAGAAGTGATGGTCCTGCCAGTGAAACATTAATTAGTATAACTTTAACAACGACCTTGATCTTGGTGAAGTTGCATGGTTCCATGTAGGTTATTAATTAAATTCTGTTCAGCCATACAGAAATTGTAACACATCCTCTGTGGGTGATTCTCTATGGATGATTCATTTGTTCATGGAGTTTCATGAATTTTCTTAAAATCAATAGACATTTGTTTATTGTCATTCCTATATAATATTCATATGTATAGCTGTTTGAATTATCATGTATACAAATAATGAATTTTTGTTTTTATTGAAGAGTATGAGAAAGGACCCTTAAGTTTTCTGAAGAAATGTGTTGAAAACCGCCATGTTGTAAAGATTTGGACTAGAAATGCATGTGAACTAAGAGGATTCTGCACTGGTTATCTAGTGGCCTTTGACAAATACTTCAATCTGGTAAAATAATTTTGATTTTTATATATATTTTCATTTTTGGTTTTATTACTCAGATAAATTATGTTCAATATGTTCAATATTGTTGTCATATAAAAAAAATATGTTAATACAATAAAGGACAGGTCACAATGCCGTAATAAGATGCCAATTGTACCATGTTTATAAAAGTGTTTTCTCCCTATAACCTAATATAAAGGTGAAACTTAACTTTTTTTCTATCAAAAAAATCCCCTTTAGCCCTTTGGCTAAAAGTGCCTGTGAGTTTATGGTAGGGTACATTGTCTGTCTGTTAGTCCATTATCTATGAATTGTTTTATTTAAATGACTTCTTCTTGAAAACCAAAAGTCCTGGAGTCACATTTGACCTATCAATTTCTTAAAAGGGGTACCATAAAAGTTCCTCATATAAGTCACTTTTGATCAACTTTCAAGGTCATTGGTGTAAGGTCCTCATCATATTTACCATGATGTGGTGGCATGCAATGAAGAAATGAATACAAAATTCAATCATAATGCTACCAGGATATGAGCTGGGGTCTGGCCTCACCTTCAGGGACTAAATACCATGGTCATTGCATGGAAAAGATCTTTAGATTCTTACCCTGTAACTATATGTATGAATTTCTTTAAATTTTCCATGACACATCCTTGTTCCTTGGAAGTTCAGATGAAGGAATGAAATGTTATGTAAAAAAACCAGCATTATCCTGCCAGGGACTGAGCCCACAATAGGAATAATATTTAACATGTTTTTTGAATATCAAGGTGAACGGTACAAGTCTTATGTACTTCTTGTTTGATGTTTGAAACAAAGTATTTCACGTGAACCATTTATTTTCAGTTTAGCACTTACCCAATATGAACATGAATGGATTGTGATAGAAAAAAAATTGTTCAACTCTTCATATCATTTTTTATATACTGTAGTAAGAAACATTTGTTTCAGGCTTTGATGGATGTTGATGAAACCTACAGAAAACCTGTCAGTCGAGATAATCGCATCCGGAAATGTACTGAGGTAGGTAATCCAGGAATAAATACATTGCAATTACAATAATGCTTATGAGAAACTTTAAAAGCTGTTTAAATAACAATTGTGAATGCTTTAAAGGGTTTTTAATGTTCTTAAGGAAATGCCTCTTCTCTATAAAATAATGTTTATGAATGTACCAGGTAGTTGGAATGAATTATTTGTATGTACATGTACAATAAAGTACAAAATATAGACAGATATACCCTTTTCAATTTGATATATTTGTTTCTGTATCTTGGCAGATATTACAAGTGATAGCTGTTTCTGATCAAAAGGAGAGTGATCCAGTCATTCATATTGAGGAAGGAGATAGTGCTGAGACTCCGATCACCTCTCAGGAAACCACATTCAGACCTTCTGTAGAAAACAATGTGAATGCTATGGAAAATCTCAAAATTACAACTGTAGAAAAGTCCCAAGAAAGTACTCATTCCTGTAGTGAAAAAGAGATTGCATGTATATCTTCTGTCAGCAATTGTGTAGCTAGTACTGTAAGCAATTGTGAGAAAAAATTAGCTACAAAGAGTTCTCAGGACACATGTCGAGCAGAGGAACAGACCGTTAGAGTTGCTGAAAGTGAAAGTATAGACTTTAATGAGCCATGTACTGATATCAGTGACAAGCCAAGTGATAAAAGTAAGTCAGATAAAAGGACAAAAAAAGTGAAAAGTGAAAATATGGACCAGATGATGCCGTCATTTGATGCTGCAAAAGTTGCCAGAGTGTGGCAAGATACTGTGGCAAGGGATAAATCAAAACCACCTCTCGCACTGAAGTACAGACATGCTAATCAGCTGTTTATCAGGGGAGATAATGTGGTGTCCGTTAGTCTTGTTTATGCTTAAATTTCATCAAAGTTAATAAATTATTATGTTTACATACATACTAGTTGATGTGATACTTATATGTTTACATACATGTTAGTTGCTGTGACACAAATGTTGTTTGGCAGTATTTTGGTGCCACTGATACAAACAATAGAAAGTCATTGTTTTGTGTCTATCAATACTATGTGTTAGGAATATCCATTATCATCTGTCATATGTTACAAAATCATTACCTTTGTGTAGAAAGAGCAGTGTTCCAGTTTAGAATAAAAACAACAGGTGACCAAGGTAAAAACAGAAGGTATAGATGTCCCAGGTATGAAAATAGTTGAACTGGAAAAAAGAAAGTGGTATCCCAGTTAAGGATATAAAGATGCATGCATCCCAAATAAGGACAAAGATGTTCCAGGTATGGATAAAGATGCAGGTGTCCCAAATAAGGATAAAGATAGAGGTGTCCCAGGTATGGATAAAGATGGAGGTGTCCCAGGTATGGATAAATATGGAGGTGATCCAGGTATGAATAAAGATGCAGGTGTCCCAAGTAAGCATAAATATAGAGGTGTCCCAGGTATAGATAAAGATGGAGGTGATCCAGGTATGGATAAAGATGGAGGTGTCCCAGGTATGAAGGCAGTTGAACTGCAACAATCACTATCATTTACATTTCACAAAATATAGCACAGGATCACAAAAACACGGTAAATATTGAGGTTCCATTGCAATGTACATCACATCACATTTGAAGAGAATTGTTTACCTTCAGATCAGTCAAGATTCGTTGTGATGTTCTGAGCAGTTCGCAAAAACATACCCCAAGTGACCTTGCTGCCTTGACATTTAACCCTAAGCATTTACAGCTGCAATGTTTACCTTAGTTGTTGGCAATGTTCCATTCATTTTAAGTTTGAAATTTTCAACCTAATTACATTGTGACCTTGACCTTTGACATTGAGAAAATTTAGTGATGTTCCGATCATCATTTTAAGACAGCTTAAGGCACCTGTATCATTCATCTGCTTTTAACAGGGTTAGACACTAACCTTTTTTGCTTGGTAGTCCACAGGACTAGTTGAATAGATTATTAACTAGTCCTTCGTCAATGCAACTAGTCCAAGATTTCCTTATAAGGAAACATTGCAATCTACAGTACGAAACATCAAAAGTAATTGACTGTAGGGGACTTAAAATAACTACTGCCATAAAAATATGGTGAAGTTTTAGGATGCTTTTGACAATTATCATGCAATAATCTTATTTTAAGCAGTTTTCTAAATTTTAAAAGGGAACATTCTTATTTTATAATCAGATATTTCACAAGTCCAAAGGACCAGTTAGGTTAGGTGATTCACTATTCCTTGCTGAAATCTACTAGTCCAGGACTAGTGGGCTGGTGTTGGTGTCGACCCCTGCAGAAGTATAATTCTGTCCATCACAAGCTATAATGACTATCTTGCACCATAAATTTAAGTTGTAATTCATGTGACCTTGACATTGGGCTAGAGTCATCCATTCAAACAAACTTGATAGCCTGACCACCCCAGTAAGCTGCATTCCAACTATCACCACTCTATCTGTCAATCAAAATTAAAAAAAAAACAAAACAGGATTGACACTTGAATCACAAAGGTCATTTGAGGATACTAATTCCTGTAGAGAACATATATCTGTGTTGCCCCAAAGCAGCGTTTTGGAGCTCTAGTTTGTCTTGTGTTCTTTCATCTGTCTTTTTGCATGAACTGGTCAATCATTTATAATGCAATGCATAAGAGTGTTTTATACCAAGTAGTATCAAATGTTAAAGGTTTTATACCAAGTAGCAGTATTAAATGTTAAAGGTTTTATACAAAGTAGCAGTATTAAATGTGAAAGGTTTTATACCAAGTAGCATCAAATGTTAAAGGTTTTATACCAAGTAGTATCAAATGTTAGAGGTTTTATACCTAGTAGTATCAAATGTTAAAGGTTTTATACCAAGTAGCAGTATTAAATGTGAAAGGTTTTATACCAAGTAGCATCAAATGTTAAAGGTTGTATACCAAGTAGTATCAAATGTTAAAGGTTTTATACCTAGTAGTATCAAATGTTAAAGGTTTTATACCAAGTAGCATCAAATGTTAAAGGTTGTATACCAAGTAGTATCAAATGTTAAAGAATTTATACCAAGTAGTATCAAATGTTAAAGGTTTAATACCAAGTAGTATCAAATATTAAAGGTTTTATACCAAGTAGTATCAAATGTTCAAGGTTTTATACCAAGTAGTATCAAATGTTAAAGGTTTATACCAAGTAGCAGTATTAAATGTTAAAGGTTTTATACCAAGTAGCAGGATTAAATGTTAAAGGTTTTATACCAAGAAGTATCAAATGTTAAAGAATTTATACCAAGTAGTATAAAATGTTAAAGGTTTTATACCAAATAGTATCAAATGTTAAAGGTTTTATACCAAGTAGTATCAGATGTTAAAGGTTTTATACCAAGTAGCAGTATTAAACGTTAAAGGTTTTATACCAAGTAGCAGTATTAAATGTGAAAGGTTTTATACCAAGTAGCATCAAATGTTAAAGGTTGTATACCAAGTAGTATCAAATGTTAAAGAATTTATACCAAGTAGTATCAAATGTTAAAGGTTGTATACCAAGTAGTATCAAATGTTAAAGGTTTATACCAAGTAGCAGTATTAAATGTTAAAGGTTTTATACCAAGAAGTATCAAATGTTAAAGAATTTATACCAAGTAGTATCAAATGTTAAAGGTTTTATACCAAGTAGTATCAAATGTTAAAGGTTTTATACCAAGTAGTATCAAATGTTAAAGGTTTTATACCAAGTAGTATCAAATGTTAAAGGTTTTATACCAAGTAGTATCAAATGTTAAAGGTTTTATACCAAGTAGTATCAAATGTTAAAGGTTTTATACCAAGTAGTATCAAATGTTAAAGGTTTTATACCAAGTAGTATCAAATGTTAAAGGTTTTATACCAAGTAGTATCAAATGTTAAAGGTTTTATACCAAGTAGTATCAAATGTTAAAGGTTTTATACCAAGTAGTATCAAATGTTAAAGGTTTTATACCAAGTAGTATCAAATGTTAAAGGTTTTATACCAAGTAGTATCAAATGTTAAAGGTTTTATACCAAGTAGTATCAAATGTTAAAGGTTTTATACCAAGTAGTATCAAATGTTAAAGGTTTTATACCAAGTAGTATCAAATGTTAAAGGTTTTATACCAAGTAGTATCAAATGTTAAAGGTTTTATACCAAGTAGTATCAAATGTTAAAGGTTTTATACCAAGTAGTATCAAATGTTAAAGGTTTTATACCAAGTAGTATCAAATGTTAAAGGTTTTATACCAAGTAGTATCAAATGTTAAAGGTTTTATACCAAGTAGTATCAAATGTTAAAGGTTTTATACCAAGTAGTATCAAATGTTAAAGGTTTTATACCAAGTAGTATCAAATGTTAAAGGTTTTATACCAAGTAGTATCAAATGTTAAAGGTTTTATACCAAGTAGTATCAAATGTTAAAGGTTTTATACCAAGTAGTATCAAATGTTAAAGGTTTTATACCAAGTAGTATCAAATGTTAAAGGTTTTATACCAAGTAGTATCAAATGTTAAAGGTTTTATACCAAGTAGTATCAAATGTTAAAGGTTTTATACCAAGTAGTATCAAATGTTAAAGGTTGTATACCAAGTAGCATCAAATGTTAAAGGTTGTATACCAAGTAGTATCAAATGTTAAAGGTTTTATACCAAGTAGTATCAAATGTTAAAGGTTGTATACCAAGTAGCATCAAATGTTAAAGGTTTTATACCAAGTAGTATCAAATGTTAAAGGTTTATACCAATAGCAGTATTAAATGTTAAAGGTTTTATACCTAGTAGCAGTATTAAATGTTAAAGGTTTTATACCAAGTAGCATTAAATGTTAAAGGTTTAATACCAAGTAGTATCAAATGTTAAAGGTTTTATACCAAGTAGCAGTATTAAATGTTAAAGGTTTTATACCAAGTAGTATCAAATGTTAAAGGTTCAATACCAAGTAGTATCACATGTTAAAGGTTTTATACCAAGTAGTATCAAATGTTAAAGGTTTTATACCAAGTAGTATCAAATGTTAAAGGTTTTTTACCAAGTAGTATCAAATGTTAAAGGTTTTATACCAATTATCAACAAATGTAACAGAGGTTAATATTTTAAATCAAAATATTCTTGCTTCAACACAACCGCCTTTAAAAAAATCTCTTTAATAGTTGAGTTGCTTCCCCTATTGCACGGTGTCAAACGCAAGACAAACATAAGTGTTTCACATTCTGAATGATAAAATTGAACGTGATGACATCTAACTTGAGCGTTATTCGATGTTTTGTCACGTTAAATTGTGAACGCATTAGTTTATCTACGGTATTCGTTATCCCTCTGAAATGAAACACTAGATTTTGGAGTTATTATCGTGTATGTCTTGCCTTTTTGCCTATCTTTAACTGGTTAATGATTGAGTAAACATGTTGAACTGACAGAATCCGTATCCTTATAGCAGTTCTACAAACCATGGTATCACACACAGATCACAGACGATGTAATATTTTAAGACATCAAAATCGTGCAAAAATGTTGCGACTTTTCCTCGAAATTTTGGTAATGGTTTTTTTGAAAATGATGTGACTTTCTGTCTTCAAAAAACACTCCACTTAGTACAGCGTATGTTGATACAAAAAAATTAAGAAATTTGCAATTGCCCCTGACCAAAAATCGTTCTTAACTTTCTTATTATAATGTAGAGTTTCACATCAATTTTCTACTGTATTAACATCGTAAGAGGTTATTATTTCTGTACTATTTTTCCTCTGTATTTATACAAAGACACTTATAGGTTGTAGGACTTTTTAGGGAGCTAAATTCCATAATAATAATGCAGAAAAATATAACATTACATGATTCCTCGCAGTGGAGCCAAGACATTGTTTTTTTTGTGGGGAAAAAAGGAAGATAAGATGATCGATATATTTCTTTGGTATCTTTGCTATAGTAACTGGACAAGCAACTC